AATCCTTCAATATCTTGTTCCTAGGATGCATCTATCTGACTGGTGGCATCTTAGGATGTCAGAACATACTACACTATTGCTAAATCGGGTAATGACAGGCACGGCAGCCCGGATTCTGAGCATTGCAAGCGGAAACTAAGCCTATTGCGCTATTTACATTGATTCCATTGGCAAACCGAAGAATACTATTTAGTCTGAGGTGGCAAAATATCTCATTGGCCGGGGAGTGTTGATCCTCTCTATTACATTCCCGGCCGAGGTTATCGAACCCTGACAACCCCCTCTTCTGAAAGATAGAACGCCGTCGGGTTAATTGAGTCCGAGCTCTGTTGGGTGAAGAGATTCTCATAAGAAAGGAAAACCCAGTATTACAAGGTATCTCGGAGCTCCCCATACTTTGTTCTATTGGATTTTGCAGGGGTACAAAATGTGGTTATTACTATATTTCCTTGTCGTGATACCTATCGGTGTAATTGCTGAAGCGTCCAATCATTCTTATATATTTTCGTCCGGGCATACTCTCTTGTATTCGAATTCCAGCGCCATCGTCCAATTTGTTGATGGAGCAAGCCCTCAACGAGAATTTCTTCTAAATGAAACGACAGCAACATTCCACACGCGCAGTCATGCATGGGGAGCAGGTACTATTTCCACTGATTCTGGAGACGGGTCCTGGAATCTGGATCATATTCCGTACAACAACTTCACTGGACCTTACAACATCCCCCTTGATGATGGCCTACGACTGAGAATCACACGGTCCCCTGGGCGGGTCCTCACGGAAACGTACATATTCGAGAATACCTCGCCTGAGAGGATCACCGTAACAGGTTTACACATACAGACCCCCTTTAACGACCTTTATGACACAGCCCTCTGGTCTCTGACATCTGCCGTGAATGCCCATGTTTTTACCGGTGGTGCGTGGGCGTGGGCGTTAGCTGAACCTATGTCGGGCGAGGGCCGATCACTAGGCCTTATTGTTCGAAAGGGCCATTTATGGAGCTATTCTATTGAGTCATCTACCAGCTCTGACGTCCGAGGACACATAGTTCTTCAAGTCACGGACGCCAAGAGGGACCCCAATGGTTTTGGTGGTCAACCAGTGGTCCAGATCGACCCCGGAGATTCATACGTTCTGGAGTGGGAAATTGGTTTCTACGACAATGCCAGCGACTTCATTGAAGCTACGAAACCTCCAGCAACCTTCTCAGCATACTCAGCCCCTTTAGACCAAGAAATCACCGTTGATTCAGAGATCAAACCGACTTCGTCATCTTCGAGTCTGAATGTTAGGCGACGAGGAAGTAGCTACACACTCAGTGCAAGTTCACCAGGCACCTACAACGTCGATATTGGCGATTCCCGGACGGAGATTTCATTTCACCTGCCGCTCGAAACTGTTGTGCGAGAGAGGGCCCACTACATCCTAGAACACCAGCGGCCGGTGCAGCGTCCGGCCCCCCTCAATGCTGCTTTTGTTGCCATTGACACTGAGAACCTCACTACGATTGTGTCAAGCACGTGGGACGACTGGGGGGATGGATCGGAGCGAATTGCCATGCCTACACTTCTCCAATTAGCAGCGATGCACGGATATATTTCATCTGAAACAGTGGATATTCCCTTGAGAAACTGGGTCGAGTTTGCCAGCACCTCTCTATTCGACGCTGAAGGGAATACTCGCCGTTGCACTGGATGCACCCAAACTCAGCGGCCGTACGACGCCATATGGCTTGTAATGTTTTTCAACGACCGGTACAAATGGCTCGGCAATAGCACAAACATCGACACCGCAGTGACGCTACTCAATAGAGCATTCGAAGTCGGACAGGTGCAGGAAGCACCAATCATCTTCTTTTCCCAAGCCATCCTAGAACTCTGCGACAGCCTTGACAAACTCGGACGGTACAACGAAAGTATCACGTACAAAAGAAAACTTGTCGATACAACTATGAGCTTCGTGAACGATGGACGCGATCTCCCGGCATCCGAAGTAAGCTATGAGCAGTCTATCGTGGAACCTCTGGTCGAGATGGTCGCAGACACATATAATTTGACTAGAAACGCCACGCTGCTGGGCGAGACGCAGGAGCGTCTTAACTGGCTCATGGCCTTCTCCGGGCCCCAGCCACATGCTCGGCTCTACCAAATCGCTAACCGCCACTGGGATGATTATTGGTTTGGCCTCCGTCGTCAGTGGGGCGACGTATTTCCTCATTACTGGAGTGCGTTGACTAGCCAAGCACTTATCCGCCTTCCTGGGGAGCTGAGAACCAAGCAAACAGATGATATTGCTCTACAGATCCTCCGATCTAATATGGTCAATTTTTTTCCGGGAGGATCGGCAACGTGCGCATTTGTCTATCCTTCGGCAGTTAACGGCGAGTCAGCTAATGTAGCTGATCCTATGGCTAACGATCAGGACTGGCATCTTGTTATTTGGTTGAGGCTGCTTGAATATGGAGTACCAAGCGCTTGACGACCCAAAATACCAAATATAACTCGTTGGAAGTGGAAGGAAATATATAAACAACAAACTCTATGTTATGAACCTCTTCTGGATCTATTTTATCATCGATACCATTTTTTGTTTGTTCTGACACGACGAAGGTTGACATGATCTATGTAAGATTTCAGAATGGTCAAACAGTAATATATGATTACTGACTCTAATACTTTACCAAGATAGAGTCAAAATAAACCTTGCGGATAAGACTTCCTATATTTGCTTAGTTTCCCCAAGGATCACCCGATTACCACCCGGATCTGGGAGGCATCCTATGCTCTAGCTTAGATATTGGACTAGTCAGATCGAATGATGATCTAACTAAATAAACTTGGTATTCTCTCGTAAAAGCTTAGTGTGGATTGAATTCTGTCAAAGAATATGTTTACGAGCTTAAGAAACTTCATACTGGAGATCTAGATCCCAGACCTCGCAGCCCAAGTTATACGAGCTTTCGTAGAAAAGGCTATGCATTATTGCCACCACTATCTTTAGGCTCCACCGGGTCATTGCAATACATTGATAGCTTTCGAAGCCGCACTAAGTGCTTAGAAGGCGCTAAGTTGACAAGAACAGTTGCACTATCACAACATAGCTAAGTAAACCCACTGAGTATATATGTAGTTGAACTACGAAAGACACCCACTAATAATACTCCGGTGTATAATCAATAACATGAAGCCGCAGCATGGTATATATTGACTATCTGTAATGTCCCAGGTTGTACTCCCTTGCTCAATCCTGCCAGCGCCAAGGCATTGGGCTGTATGTCAGCCTCGCCAGCGCACACTGCGTAAAGGTCTCTACGAAGCTTAGCCAACAAAATGGATGGATAATGATGCCCGCCCTGTTTCCTCTCCCTGGTTGGTCTACTGGGTGTGACTATGGCTGCAGTAGCGTCGAAGAAACTTTTGGTCTTTATATTGCACTATTGGTGTTCCTCCAACTTGACGGCCCTGACCTACCAAGGTCTACTAAGAAGTGCTTGCCCTGCCCAGAAGCATTTACATACTACTAGGGACCGTATCCAACAGCGTCAGTTCATAGTCGTTGAGATCAAGGAAGGCTTAATGATGGAGTTGCAGGTTAGACGATAAGCACATTTGTCGGAATACCAATTTGGCTCTGTATCCTATACTCAATCAATTGCCAGAACAGTAGCTGTTTACCTATGTCCATTTGCTAATATGGACAGAAATTCCAGTAGTCCAATTTCGATCCTTACCTGAGATCTCGAGAATGCTACCTAGAAATCGTTTTCAAAGATCAGGATCTCTTCGCATACCCTCGAAATCCTCGCCAAAAAAAAAAAAAAAAAAAAAAAAAAAAACAAACCTACCTCCACCTAATCAGGTTCCCAGGTGCGGCGGAACCCGCCTTATTCCACAGCCCTGAACCCAAAAAAATTTCTCAAGCGAGTCAGAGCGCGAGATCAACAAGACAAATGACACACAGACCCTCCCCTGCATTCACGCACATGCTCTCTTCCACACGCAGGCAATATCCCTGCGCGAATAGTATTCATACCCTTACTTGTGGCGGTCCAGGGCCGTGAAATTGTTGGGGGCAATAGGTGCGGGATTTACGGATAGGGATCTCAAGGCCCGGGGAGGGGAAGGGGTTCAGGGTCTACAAGGTAAATACCAGATATTGATTATCAAAGCTTAGCTTAGTGAAACAGGCCCAGACAGTCTTAAAGGCCTGTAGTACAGGGAACAGGAGTGAGACAACAGATAACCATGCTTGTCAGTCCTTCGGAGCCCCGGCGGGAATATGAGATAATATAACCTTAGGGACTAATACAATCACCAAACCAGCACTTGTTTATCACACACTATCCCACTAGGATTTGTCTTAAAAGGCTAATCTCACAGTTTAGCTCCTCGGAAGTATCTTTCAGCTCCATGTATTGAAAAAGGGTAAATATTTATCGGGAAGCATCTTTATCGAAAATTCTTTTTAATCATGAATTCCTGCGCCTGATCCAATATTGTTCCATGACTTTTGATTTGTACAGAAATGTCCAATAGAATCCCAGTTTATACCCCACCCGGCTTGCGTATTAGAATGAACCCTTGTTATTTTTTATATCTTCGGCCTATAGGGTACATCAAACTCTCCAGTCCCTGTCAGTAATCACCACGACAAGCGCAACCCAACGTAGGCAGCAACATTTACCAAACAACACCTCATTCCGGCATCCCCGGGTCTGTAATGCTAGCATCATCGTACCATTGAAGTGGCCAAACCTTCCTGATGTGGCTTTGACAATCGGACCTAACACCAAGTATTTAGCGCGTGATCATGCAGGGTCTCATACTCCCCCAATGCCATGAACCTGAACTTTCAAGCCACCGAGAGAATCCTAGAACTGACATTAAATTCGTAGGGCACAGGTATATAGCATTTAAAGTAAATACGCTCCCCCTTTTCAATTCCATTTTTCCATCCCCAAATCCCAACAATGCTCTTCCCACTGCTACTGATCACCATGCTTCTGAACCCATTTCGACCATGTGAAGGCTCTCCGACCTTCCAAGAGGAATACCGGAGTAGTAGCTACGTCCCAGAAGTGATTGAAACCTCTCTGGGCCGTCGAATTGTGGCGCCAGATACTCCCTACGTGGCTGCAGCCGGTCGTAACACTCTATACTTCATCGACACCCGGTTCGACCCTGAGACGGCGCAGCATATTAAACTACAACTTGAGAAGGCCTCCGTGCCGCAACCAGACGAGTACATTGCTATTGACGAGATTGAGGCCACGGCCGAAATCAAGAACAGTGTGACCGGGGAAACAACCTTCGTGTTTGGTCCTGTATATGCTCGGCTGCTGTTCGCTAGGGGCATTAATCGACATAATCCGGATATCAAATTGCCGGAGTATGAGCCGGATGGTGATTGGTTGGTGGTATATGACTTAGATGATATTGTGAACAGGAAGGGTGTGAAGAAGGGTTGATGAATGCCGTCGGTATACGTCATACAGGGATCTGCTTTAAAGCTGCTGATGGTAGTGAGGGGGGGTGGAGCGTGTTACTGTCTGCGTATGGATGAGGTGATTTGGGGAGTATGAGAAGACCTGTGATAGGGTTGCAAACGAAGGTAGGATACCAAGGGGCTAATGGGCCTGGGTGATTTTCAGGGTCTTTTGATATTGTGAGTCGTTCAAAGAGGCATTTCGATTGTACAAGTTTCATCGACTATTTAGACCATTCACTATAAAGACGGAATGGGGGGGAAAGCTGGGGAAACGAAATCTGCTTATAATGGTGGATATCTAAGAACTGGATTGGTGAGATGGAGATAGGATCGAATTATAACAGTCTTCAAGATACAATAATTGTCTAAGACAAAGTCCTATCCTCACACCTTGAGAGGTCATACATATAGTACTAGTAAAATGGTCGAGACAGTTGCCGAACCGCCACACGCAGAGCGTATATTGCCAAAAGGACGAGAAGAGATTAGCAGGCCAAAGTACTGACTGAGCACAAATAAACAGAGAATGTGGCTGTTCAGATGCCTCCCTCGAAACCAGTCCCAAACTTTAGCATATACCCACGTCAGATCCACATTTTCTCATCCGAGCCCAACGGCTTCGGCATAAAGTCCCAGCCTACGGCGACACCATCAATAGCCGCGGAATGGCGCACAGCCACCATGGGCCCGAATGCGGTATCGCGTGTCTCGAGAAACTGTGGGGGAACATCGTTGGTGCATTGGTAGTCTGCGGTCTCAAAGCCAGAGCGGCCATCGAACTGGCCGAGCGAGCGCAGGTACTTCATGACTCCGGCCAGGGAGACATCGACTTGCCAAGAGCCGCCCACGGTAGCTTGTTTGTACAAGGCCGCCTGGATACCGGCGGCGAGGAAGTAGCCGCCAGCGTGATCAAGAGCCTGACAGGGGGTGGGTCGGGCGGCCTCGCCGGCGCCGAAGTGCTCCGCTTCGGAGACGTTCATGCCGGAACAGGTCTGGACGAGGGAATCAAAGCCACGCCTGTTGGCCCAAGGGCCCTCAGGTCCGTAGGCGGACATATTGGCGCAGATGATATTGCGGTTTTGGAAGCGTTGGGCAAGGGCCGCGGGGGAGTAGCCTCGCTGCGCGAGGCCGCCGGGCCGAAAGCCTTGAGTGAACACATGGGCGTCGACCAGCAGTCGGTCGAGCTCCGCCTGATCCGCCTCAGTGGTCAGATCTAGCTGGATGGTGCGCTTCCCACGGCCAAAGTCCCGGTCCATTGTCGGGAGATCGGGGAGGTTGGGGCTGGTGACCCAGAGAACGTCGGCACCGTGCGCCGCCAACGTCTTGCCAGATAGCGGGGCAGCGATGACACGCGAGAGCTCCAGTACGCGGAGGCCCCTTAGACACTTGTCCGGCCTCGTAGAGGTCATGGTCGCGGGCAGCCCGACTGGTCCATCGCACAGCTTCCGTAGGGTAATTGGAAAGTCGCTGACGGCACGGGCTTGCGGGAGCACGTCCCATTGCGAGTAGCTGCGCAGAGCGGAGATAACCAACTTCGCATCGAAGGCGGCCGCCTCCACATCCACCGAACGCCAGCTTACAAGCCGCGATGCGAGTTGCGCCCGGTCGGCATCTGGGGGGCATCCAACCAGGGCTTTTGCGCCGTCCCGGTGGTTGGGGAACGAGTCGTGCACGCGAACGTAGCCATCAGCTGTTTTGTGGAGTCCTCCGATGGGGCCCCAGGGCGACGGTGCCGGCTTGCCGTCTAGGGTGTACAGGCGCTCAGATTTGAACTCGATGGCCGCATGTTGCAGGGGAACTGAGACGGCGGGGACGGCGGAGCCGCTGCGAAGGGCGTATATCTGGGCGGCAAGTAGGGCGGAGAGCCCAATCGAAGCCTGAGCGAGGTGGGCAACTTTGAAGGATGAGGGAAGGCCTAGACCTTGTCCGGGCAGCTGAAGCCGGTCGTTTGGGACACCCGCTGGGAGGCCGAGAGTGTTCCATAGGTAGTTGACACTATCCTTGGCCGAAAAGTGAGAGCGGTCTGCAAAGGGCGTCTCGTCGTCCCCAGGAACGGTGATGGTCAGCAAGGGCCCATGTTGCTGCGTTCCCAGGGTGTCTCTCTCCCCTACGGTTCCCTGCTCCCAGGGGCGGCGAATAGTACATTTCCAGGCGAGAGCAGGCTCGAAGAACATGTTGGTAATGATGTCTTCTTCTTGGAGGCGGTACAATCTCATGATTCGGCTGTTCGTCAAGACATATGCGTTCTTGACCCGCTCATACGCCTCTTTGGTGTCAAACATAATGTCGAATGTCAACTCGAACGGACCAGAGTTCTTGGAACGGATAATTTTGGCGATGTCCAGCATCTGGCAGGTACGGTTGGGGATTGATTTGGAGGATAAGGGCTCTAGGGGCTCGGCTGCAAGCCGTTCCCGGTCACCGTCGGTCAGACCGGGGCACACGCGATTTGGGGCAGTCGGGACACTGTCAATAGTCCTCAGCTCCACGGGGAACAGGTTCGTCTCTTCGCCCGGCTTCAAGTCGACCAAGTGATAGACATTGAAGCGAAACACGGGGCCAGCATTGGTTTCATGTGGCGAGAGAGGGGAAGCAAAGTTTCCTGTGGTCGCGACCTGGTTCTTGTAGGGCATGTGAAGGATAGAGGCTCGGGCATTGTTGGCGATGGTGTAGGAAAGCTCCTGGGACGGGGCCACCACTTCGCCCAAGATACCCAGTTCATGGCCCGCCACCGCCGCGGGCTCGATCGGTCCCATCACGCCATCGCGGCCATAGAAGTGAAAGATCAGCTGGCACTGCGGCGACTGATCGAGCTGGGGGAACAGGTTCCGAGTATACGCGCGCACGTCGGCCAGAAAAGAATCGATTTGATCGATCAAAATCGGGTCTCGAATCCCTCCAATGAAGATTGTCCGGTATCCGAGTTTTTCGACGCCTTCCAGCTTGACCTGATAAACCGGAGTCGGGAAAAATTCAGCGCCACGAACTCGGACTGTCTTCTCGGTCAGCTGCTCGTAAGATGCATGGTCCAGACAAAGGACACCTCCGGGTCCCGGCAGACGGTCGGGACACGTTTTCTCGTATAGGGTATGAGCAGCGACTGACAGAGGAGTGCAACGTTCGCGAGGTGCCAAAGGCGTGAGATCGAAAGAGTCGGGGCGCATAGTTGCAATCATTGACCGTCCCTTTGGTATGGCACAGATGCCTCCACACTCCATGATCTTCCCCATATGCCATGCAACGCCTGGCTGCACTCCATGATGCATGGCAAAGGCGGCAAAGGGAGCCGGATCGTAGCAACGACCGCCCAGAATGATATCGGGGTTGCTCTTCAGGGCCTCCGTGAAGCTGTGAAACGAGGTACCTGGTGAGCAGGGGATACATGAGGAAAGGGATGGACGTACGGTTCTGAACCCATCTGGGCGACGAGGTCAATGGCACGATCAACACTTTCAACCGTCAATTCTTCCACGGGACCGCAGGGCGACACCTTGTTGTTGACGATGCGATGTGTAAGTAGATCCCGTCGGAAGCCTGCATTGATGGTCGCCACTTTGAAAGATAATCCCTCGTGGGCGGCGATTTCCCGAACAATCTCGAACATTTCTTGGACGTGCTTATCACTACCATCTCCGCCCACAGATCCAATGAGAACTTGAATTTTCTTGTGAAAACAGGCTTGCAGAATAGGAGTTAGATCGCGGACATATGAGTCGCGACCGCAGGTCATCTTATTCAAGCCCAATTTGTAGGGGCCGCCATCGGTAGAGCCACTGTCGACGATAATGGCTTTTGGGGAGTATTGCTCAACGCCAAACCAGAAATGCTCGAGTTTGTAGCCATAGCCAAGCATGGCATTAGGAGTCAGAATACTGAACTCTGCCATGATGTCGGAGTCCCGGGGTCTATTCTGTCCTTGCCATAATCGAAAATCTTCTGGGCCCGTGCCTTTATTATGTATTGGGACGAGTGCAGCTTCGGCATCTTACCGAGACTCCGCAGTGCTCAGATGGCAACATGCCGAACCCTACCGAGCACAAGTGCCGCTGGCAAATCGGAGACAATCAATTACTCCCAAGTAGTTGACTTGGCTTCAACATTTATGCACCCTCTCGTCATTGGATTTTGGATTTTTATCAAAGTATCTCTTCTTCCGCCTCGGAGCATCCCACATCAATCCTGCTTGGTACTGATTTCTCCCAAAGAGCTACCTATCATGACGCGCGGCCTGGCTTCTGAGATGCGTCTTCCAGGCTTTGACGAGCTGCCCCTGCGCTTGGGAGACCCCAAAGGATCCGCTTGGGGGCTTTGGGGACCGGACGATGAGCTGGGAACGCTGAATCTGATTACGAACGAGGTCACCCAGTTAGCTTTGCTCGAAGCCAAGCTAGGCCGCGTCGTCAATCTCAAGTATAGCGACTTCGCGTGTTTGTGTGTAGTGGAACGTTAACGCATTTTTGTGCAGTCTTCCTTTAAACGTACCCCTCAAGCCAATGAACCCTCGCCGAAAGCCGTGTGCGCATAATTTGATCGCTAAAGGCCTCGCAAACGACGATGAAGTGAGTGAGCTTTTCTTCTCTCCTTCTGCCCCTACCTATGGCTATAAACATGAGAAATTCGCAGGATTACTGACAAGAAGGGCAGTTAGATTTCAACACTCAAAGTTCCAGCCACTGGGATGGACTGCGCCACTATCCCTACACTGAGACGAAGCAATTCTACAATGGGGTGCTTCAGGGTGAGATAGCCACAACAAAGAAACTTGGTATACAAAGTAAGTCAATTATTAGAAATATACCAAGGCGTCGCGGCTGAGACACGGATCTAATGAACATCGGCTTTCTAGATATGGCTCAGAAACCGATTGTCACCCGTGGCGTTCTTCTCGACTGGTATGAATATGCGCTTAAAAAGGGGTTTGAGCTCCGACCCTTCACCAACCAGCCCATTCGCCTAAACGAGCTGTTGGACATTGCCCGTGAGCAGCAGGTCATTTTCAGACCAGGGGACGTCCTCATGATCCGCACTGGTTGGACTGATGCGTACTCTAAGCTGACTGACGTGGAGAAGAGGCACTTGGGAGGCCGAGATGATCGCGCCTCGTGTGGTGTTGAAGCAACGGAGGCCGCCATCCGATGGCATTGGGACAATGGATTCGCCGCCGTTGCCAGTGACACTGTTGCCTATGAAGCCTGGCCCTCACCAAAACCATGGGGCGTGTGTATGCATGAGGTAAGGCTTGATCAATAGCAAGTTCTGACACCAGCGACTGGACTATTTCGATGACTTATACTTCTCTCTCTCTGTACTTTAGGTCTTCCTAAGCGGGTGGGGAATGCCAATTGGGGAATGTTGGGATCTCGAAGAGTTGAGCCAAACATGCAGGGAGCTGGGTCGCTGGACTTTTCTTCTGACTAGTCAACCTCTGAATCTGCCTGGCGGAGTGGCTAGTCCCCCCAATGCCTGTGCAATCTTCTGAGCATTTTTCTTTCCCTCTTCACCTCTTGAATTTGATAAAAGAACAAGAGGAATGTTACTGCGATAATAGAACATTTGCTCAGAAGCCGAACGTATACTACGGTACTTCTAATGTTAAAGTTTGTCTTCACGATGGCTTACGAGACTCCCCATTTCCTCCGGCTACTAGATAAATGGAGACCTTCGGCATGATTCCGTGCGCTAACCCCAAATCCCTGATCCAAGTCTGCCCCAGACTAACCCTTCCCCACACATAGTATCTACCAACCGGTTATTGTGGAGGATGTTATCCCCATGCCACAAGCCACAATACAAGACTCTGTATCTGGGAAAGGGAGGTAATTACTGGAACCTTTGACATGGTACAATTGCAGTTGTAGCTCTTATTGTGATCGCTGGGAGGATATAGGAAAATCCTTTGACATGGAGAGACTCGCATTCAAACAGCTAGTCATGAGAAGTAAGTTCTGACCATAAAAACAGAAAAGAAAAGAGAGGGAAAAAGAACTTGTTAAAGACAATCGATGTGCTTGGGTGAGAAAATTGAACTACCCACATAGAGATTAGTCATCCGAGTCATTCGGACTCACCACTTCGTAGTCAATCAGAATACCATAAAATTCCCCGCAAATTCTGTCCATCAAACATAGTATCGTCTGTCACAAATGGTTTCCTGCTAACGCCCTTTTTGACAATGGACTCACGTGGCCGTCTGTCCGGAAGAAAGTATAATTTTGCATGTCTTGCCTGCCGCCAGCGTAAAGTGAAATGTGATGGCCGCAAGCCAACCTGCAAAAACTGTGCGCGGTCGAACTCGAGCTGTTATTACAAGAATGACTCGACAGCCGCCTTACACATGGCCGGGGAGCTGCACACCAAAGAGGCCCGAATACGCGAGCTAGAAGATCGAGTCCGGGAGCTCACTGCCATGGAGACCGGCGCCCACGATAGTCGCCCTGCCAGTTCATCCTCACAGCCGCAGCCGCAACCGGACATGCCATCACTCAACACCCCAACACAGGCAACAACGACGGGCCCGGTAGCATTGTCGGCATTGTCGATGCCAGTTCCTCCAGAGGCGCATACTGAACCGGCGGATCAGGAGCGCTACGAGGGTGATAATGTTATCATCACTAATACAGATGGAAAAGTAAGCTCCAGATATTTCCATCACCACTGCTCCCGAAGAGACCATGTTTGTGCTAAGTGGTTATGCGAGCAGCAATATTTTGGCGCCACCTCGCGGTTTCGTGGTCTCTCGGAGCATAAGGAGGTGCTCGATGGACAGACGGAGAAAAAGGAGACGGAGGTTCGAGCGACAGAGCTGTACCACCAGAGATGGCTGTCTTCCAATGCCCGATTTCAGCCCTCTTGGGAGCGTACAGCGTACGAGAATATCCCTCGCTATACAGACGTGGATCCCACCATCTGTATTAATCTCCTGGAAGTGTATTGGGCATGGCAAGCTCCTTTGCATAACTGTGTCTATCGACGCTGTAGGTCTCCGAAGAACAAACTCAACTGCCTCTCTCTGCTTGGTCTGACGAAACTTCTGACATGTTCCGTGCCTCTCTCTTGCAAGGTTTCTTCCGCGACATGGCTCTTGGGGGGCCATACTTTTCCACCTTTCTCTTGAATGTAATCCTCGCGCATGCCTGTCGACACCTGCCGGAGGATGATCTACGGTTTGCGTCCTTTGAGCGAGGAGAGCTCTTTCTACGGGAGGCGCTGCACCTCTTGGTTCGAGAGATGAGACAGAGCAAACCTCGGATTCCAACCATTCAAGGACTCTTGATCTTAGGTGGCCGGCAGTGCGCAGTTGGGAATAGTAGCGAAGGATGGCTATATACGGGCATGGTAAGGACCTATGTCAACCCGCAGCCGTTTTTGTCTCGAGTCTTTGTTGACTCGTGGTCTCCAGGCAATACGAATGCTCACAGACCTCGGCCTACACATAAAGCGTAGCGATGCGGAACTCACGAAAATAATGGAGCCAGATGATTTGGAAGTACGGAAGCGATTGTTTTTATCTTGTTATGCGTGGGACAAGTGAGTGAAATTCCTCGCTAAAGATGAAGAGTAAAGAAAAAGACTGCGGACGCTTGTTGACCGGCAGCAGATCAATCAGTCTTTGCCTAGGACGATCACCGTCTTTGCCTGACATGCTCTTTTCCCCTTCCACGCTTTGTAGGTGTTATGATCCCAGGACAGCAGTTCACATGTTAACAACAATCTCATATTCCAGTTGACTTGTCCGACGATGATGACCTTTGGCAGCCTCCGCACCTATTGGGGACTGGTAAAATCTACCCTGCAACGAAATGTCATAGTACATTGACCTTTATAAATTTCTGCAAACTAGCTAAGGTTAGAGACATTACACGGGATATCCTCTCCTTTTCTCGTGCGCAGCCCTATTGACATATCATCGCCTCACCTTTTGTTTCCCAGATCATCAATGAGACCTACAATGTTATCTACAACGGGCCGGTTGGGAACGTCGAAATGAACGTCATATCGGATTTGGAAAACAAATTGATGGCATTTAGGCAGGAACTCCCAGCTGCCCTTCAGATTGAAGACCCGGCAAGCTTACAGTCCTGCGTTCCTCCTCACATTCTCTGTCTCAAGTACGTACAGCCTCTGATATCCCCTCTGCACTACCCGTTAATATTGAATGTGCTGATTGCTTGCTAGTATATTATGCCACACCGTACTAATCTTGCTTTACCGACCGTTTTTCGTCTGGTTGTGGCACCCGAATTTGCAGAACAATTCCCTGGCACTACGAGCGCAAGTGGTGTGCACCGAGCAAGCCATGTGCGTAAACGAGCTCTTCCGCGCGTATGGCCGACTATTCAACTTCGAATTCCAAAGCTATTTAATTTCCTATTGCGTGTACACGGCGGCTACAATCGATGTGCGACTAGCGCAACACAACAACAAAGGTCTGGCAAACATGGCGATAGATCGCCTGGCGGTTACATTGCACATGTTGGAGACGGAAGTCAAGCAAACACCGGGCATGCGGCGCAGCATCGAGATTATTCATTCGCATATTGGGCAGCGCTGGTCGTTGAAGGGACAAATGCAGCAGCCTCAGGCCTCTCCCTCCACCAACGGACAGGAGCAGCTACCCATCGGTTTGCTGGAGAAGGGAGGACCCGTAGGAGTAGGGGAGGGAGGAGAAGGCGGAGGGAGAGGCCAGCCTTTTTCGAAGTCCCAGTTCGATAAATCTACTCATGATCACGCATTTTCCCCCGGGTCGTCGTTTGTTTCGTCGGGGACCAGCCTGCATGGCTCAGCTGCCGACAGAATGGTACCCGAGTCATTATCCTCTCTCAACATCTCCTATGTACAGCAGCAGCAGGGGCCCATTCTCGATCCTGATTTGGACCTGGAATCTTTGTGGGTTGATTGGCAAATGGATGATGCTGGTGGTGGGTTTGTGCCTGAACTGGCGTATGATACCCCATTCAGCCAGCCATTCTCATGACGCTCTAGGAGCGTATAGGAATATATGAACATTCAATATTCAGCCCACACGAACAGTAGGCAACGTATCAGCGAAGTTATCTAGTAATTTTTGTTCCCCCAGAAGTTTCATCGTTTCTGCTGTTGCTTCTCTATGCCTGTAGAGATTCAGTATAGTGTGACAAAGATGTAAAGAACTACGCACCGTAGAACCAAGTCTCATGCAAATAGGTTACTTACATTTCGAAGACTCTATCCACCGATGGAAATGTGGTTCGACTCCTAAACGGTACGGGAAAACGGTCAATTGACCGGCACTCTTCGTATACTGTGGGTGGACCTTCCCCACACAAGCCGAGGGAATGCGGAGGAAAGGGAAATCATTCGCGGGGAAAGATGGCGGCCAGCTTGCCCTTGCTCGGTAAGATGCCGACACCGATCAGACCGATCAGACCACAAGGCAGTCCCTACATCCCTAGATTCCAAATGCCATCAAAAACCTCCCACAGATCTTCTCAAAAAGGTTCTTACAACCGTATATGTTCAAATTCATCAGTAATTCACCGTTTCTCGTTATGGACAAGAACATTCAGCAAGATGGGCTGGTGGACTGCGTGGAGAACGTCGACGTCGACAAAACTGGTGACCCAAATCTGCTTCCAGAGCAGGCTTGGACCAAGGAAGAAGAGCGGCAAGCCCTAAGGAAACTGGACTGGGTGCTCATTCCTCTGTTAGTCCATATCCTTCTTTCATGATCAATGATTCAATGACATGAAGAAGCATTTACTGACTAAAACAGACTTGGATCCTTATATCTCTGCTCCTATATGGACAGAGGCAATATTGGCAATGCGTACACAGCTGGTATGGGTAAAGCCTGGGGGATCACCTCCTCTCAGTACTCGATGGTGGTAACTGTTTACTATATCGCTTATATTTGCTTTCATTGGGTAGGGCAATCCTTCCTTTCCAGGAGCGGTGGTGTGGAAAAAACCGAGATATTGGCTAATATCATGGTATCCTATAACAGCTAATTCTGGCCTGGAAGGTAGTTCCACTGCCGGTATGCCTTCCTTGAATTCAATCAATCCTTAGAACAGACACGAACAATACCGCTAACTCCAAGCACAGTTATGGGCAGCTTGCATGGCGTTTGGCTGGGGTACTCTGGACATGATTCAAGCTGCCACCACTAGCTATGCCGGCCTGCTCGTGTGCCGCATTCTGGTGGGTATTTTCGAGGCCGGGTTTGTTCCCGCTATCGCTCTATATATGAGCTTTTTTTACCATCGGCACGAGATGGGGTTGCGATACGGTTTGTTCATGGCTTGCTCGCCTCTGGCCAATGCCCTAGCGTCGGCCATCGCTTACGGGGTGGTTACCAGCCACGAAGATATAGAACACTGGCAGTTGCTTTTCATCATCGGTAAGTTGGCTTTCTATCTCTCTCTTTCTTCATTTCCCGTGACAGTAAAGGTTCTGACAATTACCTTTCGCAGAGGGAATACCTACCTTGATCCTTGCCGTTGTCGCCTACTTCTACCTTCCAAACGGACCTTTCGAGAGTCCGTTCCTCACCGAGCAACAAAACCTAATTATTGGCCAGCGGGCAATCCTCGGCCGGGGTCGAGACCAAGAGAAGAAAGTCAACTTCAAGCAAGCCTTCGCGGCTTTCAAGGACTACAAGAACTACTTCCAGGCGGGGATTATCTTCTGCCTCAACACCGCATTTGGCTCTCTCCCAGCCTACCTCCCCACAATTCTATCCCACATGGGATACACCAAGACGCAAGCCGAGGGATTCTCCGCCATCCCTTACTTCGCATCCCTAGTCTGCTGCATCGGCGCCAGTTTTCTCTCCGACCATGTCCGCCAACGCGCCATCTTTATCTCCTTTTTCGCTGCCCTAGGCGGTGCCGGCTACATCATACTGGCACTGGTCGCGACAAACGCGGTGCGCTTCTTTGCCACCTTCCTGATCTGCGCGGGCGTCTTTCCCGCCGTCTCGCTCACCTTCACTTGGGTAACCGACAACCAGGGCTCTTCCTCCAAGCGCGGCGTCGGCCTGGCCATCTTTGGCATGATCGGCCAGTGCGGTCCCCTGCTGGGCGCTCGTCTATTTCCCTCGCAGGACTCGCCTATGTTCTCCAAAGGCATGTGGATCTGCGCCGGCGTGCTCTTCGGCGCCTGTACACTCGCTCTCATCCTGCGCCTGCTGCTTTCTCGCGAGAACACCCGCCGGGACCGCCAGCACGGTTCTTGTGACCCTAATTACACCCCTCCTGATATTGCGGAGAAGGGTGATGAGCATCCCATGTTCCGCTTCGTTTTATAAGTGCAATTGAGTGCAATATAGGGACAGAAAGAGCGCCTACAAGTGGTGGGGGAAGGACGCGAGTGACAAAGGGCTATGGCGACTGAGTGCGTCATGACCCGATTATCGTTGTGTGAGGGCCTATCTTCCAATATAAACCATCGCTAGTACAGATAGAAATGATTTCGCATTCTCACACAACCCCACAGAAAACCGGAAATGTCTGTGGTGCCCTCTGGTGGATATAGATAGCTACGAGCACTGCTAATCTCATTGAGCTGTCTGGTTTCTCATAGCCCTGCCAACTAGAGACCCAGATGTTCCTAATCTGTTCCAATTTATTTCCAAAGATGTTTCCATGAAGCCTAAGCTTGTTAGATCATGCCATTCAAATCAGCCTGGATACATGAATGGTCACAGCGATTGTTAGTACTGAGTTTATCTATGGTATCCTCATGCTCATAATTTGTAGTCGCGGGATTAGTATTCGAAGCATTAGAAAAACAGGGGACATTTTCTTTATCTATATATCTGAATTGATTACATTACTTTGTTTGCATCCACTAGAGTATCCTTATCACTTAAAGCCATTCGTTGTCGAGAATGCCGTCTTCCAGTATTCCAAAGTCAAGAGGAATTGTTGCCATTTGTGACTCTCGTTCAAAGTTCAGTGGTTCATGACTACCCAGGCCAGCTGGAGGTGTGAAGATGAATGATGAGGGAGAGGTTTGAGCCATCGAAGAAGCCGGTACAGCCGACACGGGCGCATCTCCTGCATGCTCTATGCGACTCGAAAACAACCGAACAAGGTCTTGAGCAGCTGAGACCGTCTGAACGTCAATAGTCGTGTTTGAACCGGTATTCGGAGTAACTAGTTCCGTCTTGTGCATATCGAGAAGCTTGAGGGCAGTATCTACTATTTTGCCCATCAAGGGATCAAGATTGTGGCTTGGCGTTAATGAAGACGCCATGCACATCCATTGATGATAGAAGCACAGCAGCGCCGACTGGAAGACTATGGATGACTTGTTCGGGAACAGACAGTGAAGTCTTTGGTTATCATGACTGCTTCCCAACATACTGAGTATATTGAGTGCTGCACGAACGCACCTCGACAGGCTCTTCGTGAATTGAGGGTGCTTCGGGTCGAATGTCAATGCTGGCTGGTGAATCAAGACAACAGCCACGTTTCCTAAGAAGTGTAGAAACAGTGTCTCGAACGACTGATCTGCTGAGTTCATATGAAGAGTGTCCGGTAGACCATCGTCATGGTCTTTCATCTCATTGCCTTGGAACTGGACTACGCTGTGGCGCCACACTGATAGCTCGTGATCCAGTGCTGTGATTTTGGCGACACCGTTTCGTCGTTTGGTAGTAGTATATAGCGACTTGAGGCAGCTGGAGAATATTCTGAGCAATTTCACGTAGAGGATGAATGTAGCCATGCTTGTTGTCTCTCCCGGAAGGGGGAGCGGTATGTCAGTCGCAGCCACATCGTCCAGATCCGTGTCAACAGGTAGGTCGGTATCCACATCATCGTCTTGGATCATTTTCGGCAGACCGTGTACTATGCTGCAGGCACTGTTTATGAAGATTAGTGACTTACAGGCAGTCTTTGTTGTTGGGAGCCTTACACGTCTACAGCGTAAACGCACCACCATATGCGTTTTCTTAACTCCATCTCCCCAGAACAAAATTGGAAGCGTCGGGAATGTCGATGGAGTCCTAGAGATTGCGCAAGTCGAACAACCTGTCCGCATGTTTGTGTCCACTCATCGTGCTTCCGGGTAAGTTGAAGATATAGACAAGTTAAAAGATGGGACTGCAGCCCTGGAAGGTCCTCGTTTTCAGGTGCAGTCGTTAACCGAGCACATTCCAGGGTATTAAGGTAGTAAGTGTTGCACTCTGTGGGCGATCGACTTTTCCATGCGGTAATTGAGAGGACAAGAAATATTTGCCTCAGAATAATATAGTCAGACGGTGAGAGATTAGGGTCGTGGGCCTCAACACGATCGAAGATCCGGTGGAAGGCGGAAAGAAACTGCTTCTTCATGAGTACTGGCCAGATAGACGACCAAGATTGGAAAAACTCTGTTATAGCACCCAGGTAGAATGCTCGTGGCTTATCGAGCATGAAATGTGGTGGTCGAGAAAGATCCATTGAGTTTAAAAAATGCAGATGTTGGGAATATTCTGGGCAAGCCCCGAGTAAATGGAGCCGATTAACGACATCTGGAAAACCTTCTTCTTGGTCGAAAAGAGATTTATATACTGATTCGGCACAGCGTATGAAATAAATTCCTGTTGTTGATCCTGCGAATCGATTGACACTCGGTGTTAAGGGCACTAAGCGTCCTAGATGCTTTATGATAGGATGACTTTGTTGATTTGGAGTAGTTGCCGCATCAGACGAACCTGCAACTTGCAGTTCTGTATAACCGTGGGCTTGGAATCCAGGTGCAGTGTCGTTCCATACTGATTTGTCAACAGTTGTGGAATGGCTAGCACGTAGTTGCCGAATTTCGCGCTGCAGATTCTGATTTTGGATCCTGAGCTCATCGAGCAACCTTTCTTGTTGCTCAAGGTGCCTAACAAATTCATTAACATCATCCCTGGAAAACTAAATAATGTGACGAGATACAGCACTAACCTTCTGGGCCGCGTTCGTCTTTTGAGTTGCTTAGATGTGACACAGGAAGCTCCAGCGGTTCTACAGTTGCTACACTATACGGGTCCCACCGTATCAGTCCAATCCATTCATCTATAGAGTGGTTGGGGGAGCAATACCGATGGGAGTAATCCGTCACAACGGATCTTCTTTCTGAAGATACCGAATCAGCTTCTTTCCGACCAACGATCCGTAAGTTTCAGAGAATCTACATACATGCGGCAACGATCGCTGAAAATTTGTTTGTCAATAACATATCCAGTAAAATTCGGGAGACGGAAACACACCACACTTGAGACGAGAGTTGCAGCCTGGGTATAGCACCCCCTTGTCCAATGGCTTCCATTATACCTGGTATCCCAGAAGTACAGGGCTATCCCAATAAGATTGAAGCCCAGGAATGTAGAGGCGCGGGGAAAGTCCCAAGTGGGTCACCTGAGCCATAGCAAGCACCTAGTCACGTGATCCCGGCTGGAACCGAGACAGAATGGCAGTCGGAACTGTCCTCGCTCCACCTGCCACAATAGAATAGATCGACTGTGTGATTCAGCCACAACAATTCGCAGAACGATGCTCCAATATTGTAGAACAACCAGAAACGGAGCTGGGATTAAGGCTACAAATGTCCAACTTTACCAACAGGCCAGTCAACTTTCAGCTACTATCCCGACTTAGTAGTATACTGACAGCAGTGCAAAATATATATTAAAACTTGGACAGCTCTATGGTGTTTCACACCTAAGGCATCGGCATCTGACACTGACATTAGTAGACATGATACTACTTTTGTCTATTCTTTTACAAGCTGAAATACAATGCTCGTGCTTACTGAGTATTGTGAGGCATGTACGTTCTGGAACAGCGTATTGCTATACTAAATTGACTCCGAATCCTACTTGTATCCGATGACACATACCTAAAGGTCCCTATGCTCAACTTCTTCAACCTCACTTTTTTCAAATGAAACCCGGCCTTCTGCATCACAGTTTGGAGGCAGATAAGACGACCTAACAATCCCTCGAATGCTCAGCCCTTGTTTGAACAGTATATCCAAGTCTTCCAGCTTCCACCCCATAGTTTCCGGATATAGGAAGTACACCGAGATAGGGATACATGCACCAATCACGGCATATACTATATAATACTGATAGCCAATATTGTTGATTGCGACAGGAGTTATCATCGTGACAACAAAATTCCTAACAAATCAGCACTGGCACTTTCCAAGAAAATGTCTGCAGCAAGAATGGAAGCTTACCAAAGCCAATGATTTGCGGTTGAGATCGAAGCCATGGCAACTCTCAGACGGAGCGGCGCCACCTCGGTACAGTATAGAAAGTTTGCACCCAGAAATCCGATGGGGATGAAAAAGTTAAACAAGAAAATAAAAAGCGCCGAAATAATGGAAGCGGGCTTGTTTGTATGTGGAAAGCTCGTGGTGATTGCTAAGGCCAGCATACAAAGCGACATTCCCGACCCGCTCACAATAAACACCACGCGGCGACCGAACCGATCAATGCAGTAAAAAGCCACGAAACACGAGAGGAACTTCCACGAAAGCGTCGCGGCAGCTAGTATTCGAGACATCATGCTGGTCATTTGGAGGTTATCTTCGAAGATAACCGGAGCGTAGACTGAGATAAGGTTTCCTAAAAGTAGTTGCGTCAGCTATGGTATGCATACATGTAGGGCATGTCCTCTATGGGCACTTACCTCCCGACATTTGCTGGTAGAATTGGAGCATGATGCACAGAGCGAAGCGGTAGAATAACCTTTCATCGTTTGGGCGCCAAATATCCATTATTGAGACACCACGAGAGTGATTCTCTAGTGTTGACTGGATTGCCGCAATATCGCCGTTCACGTCTTCCGACTGGGCTGATGTATTGTTCAGACTGACTAGTGTTGCACGAGCCTGCTCAAGGCGGCCCTTTTGAACAAGCCATCGAGGAGATTCTGGGAGAAAGAAAATTGAAAACATGGGGATAAGCGAAACCAGTCCCGGAATTGCCAATGGCACTCTCCAGGCAACCGAGCCGGTTTTGACCTGATAGAGTCCCAGATTAACCCACGACGTGATTGCGTACCCAGCGCTGATGAAAAGACCATCCAGAACAACGTGTTTGCCCCTATTATGTGCCGATGAACATTCGGACTGCCAGACAGGTACTGTTCCACTAAGCATTCCAATGCCGATTCCAATTATAAGCCTTCCCAGAATCAACTGAGCGAGCCCAAAAGAGGAACAACACAGGGCTTCCCCAATCAACGTTGCAAGTGAGCCTGCAAATATGACCTTTCTTCTTCCCAAGATGTCACCGATCAATGAGCATGAAAGAGACCCAACCAATGCACCAAGGGTAAATGTCGAGATAACAACACCTTGGACTGTTAAATTGTGGCTTTTCAATGCGCCTGATGTGTGGATAGTATCGATTTCGGGGAAGGTTGTGGTCCAGTCTTCCACAGATACGAGACCGCCGACGCCGGCTTGATTGTAGCCAAAGAGGAAAAAGGCAGGGCATACTACCAGAATCAACTGGGCAAGCGACAGTGCGTGACCATGGAGTGCCATGCTTGATGACCACTGTTGTTCACAGGATCCTTGTCAAAAATAATATGCAGTCCATTTGAATGCATTTATAGTTGACAGGCTACCCCACAACCAGACACTCTTCCCCGGATGATTGTGTAGAAGAGCCTGGGGGTATGTAGGTACCCCATGTTAGCCAAGAAGAGTGACGCGTGGTTAGCCCGAAATTGCGGGGATGGAATAGGGCTGGCTCGGGAGACTAATTTCGGGATAAGGCCTATCCCGTCGGAATAGTACCAAGCTCCGGCATTATACCAGCGTAGTCTTCGGAATACCAGTGACTGTTCCGATCGCTCTCATTTAAAGGGAAATTCACCAGCCACAATCATCGACTGCGCATACCTTCAATTCTTTTCATAGCAGCATCACCTATACAAATCCCAAACAATGTTGAACAGTGCGGTCGATTCCCGCATTTTCCGCAATCTTTTTGGAACGGAAGAAATCCGCGACATATTCGCAGATGAAGCTTACATCAAGTGCTTGGTTGAAGTTGAAATTGCTCTTGCGCGGGCTGAAGCAAAGGTGAATGTTATCCCACACGAATCGGCCAATGTTATTGCAGAGAACGCCAAGTACGAAAACCTAGAGTATGTATCCCCCTTTCCGAACCCTACAATTATGGACTAATAACATCTATGAAAATAGCCTCGACCGCATGGCCGCAGACACCGAAAATGTTGGGTATCCTGTCTTGCCGCTGGTGTGGCAATTGGCCGAGATGGTGCCCGAGGAACATGCCAAGTACATCCATTGGGGTGCCACAACACAAGATATCATGGACTGCGCTTCCATGGTGCAAATGCGTAGAGGACTTGCTATCGTCCGTCGGAACCTTCATGAGTTGGACGCAACTCTAAAGTCTCTTTCGGAGAAATATGCCGACACGTACGTCTTACAAATGCAACACTGTTAAAGAGGTGCTGACACTTCCAAGACCCATGGCAGGCAGGACCCATCTCCAACATGCTCTTCCAATCACATTTGGCTATAAATGCGCCGTATATCTCTCTGGTATCCAACGGCATATCCAACGATTGACAGAAATAGAACGTCGATGTTTGCTGGTCCAGTTCGGCGGCGCAGCAGGAACATTGGCATCACTCGGCTCGGATGATACCGGTCTAAAGGTGCGAAAACAACTTGCCACGGAGCTCGGGTTACATGATCCATCAATTACATGGCATGTGGCACGGGATCACATTGCAGAAATCATCAACTTTCTAGCACTCATCGGGGGATCTCTAGGGAAAATCGCTCTAGATATCATCATCATGTCGTCTAACGAGGTTGCCGAGGTGGCTGAGCCCTTCGTACCGTTTCGGGGAGCGTCATCAACTATGCCTCAGAAGCGAAACCCTATATCAAGCGAAGCTATACTTGCCTCTTCGAAGTTGCTTCGGTCGAACGCATCATTAGCTCTGGATGCTATGGTGTCCGATTTCGAACGAGCCTCTGGCCCCTGGCACCTGGAGTGGAGCTGCGTTCCAGATTCATTTGTCCTATGCTGTGGCGCGCTACACCAAGCGAACTTCATTATGAAGGGTCTTCTCGTCAACACTGAAGCCATGTCAGACAATCTCAACATGACCAAGGGCCTGATTGTTGCGGAGGCAGTGATGATGGGAACTGCGCCGAAACTTGGTCGCCAGAGGGCACATGATGTGGTTTATGAGGCCTGTACAAAGGCAATTGAGGGAAATCTCCCCTTAATCGATGTTCTTCAACAGGATAACAGTCTGGTAGCTGAAGTCGGAGTGGAGAGGCTAAGGTCCCTTTGTGATCCATGTCAGTATCTTGGGTGCTGCCGACAGATGATTGAGAATGTCATTCGTGATGAATAGAATTTTCCGTCAGTGATTAACAAGAGAAAGATATGAATTATAATACGTGGGAATTTATTTGCTCTTCACACTGGATCGGAATCTATTGGATAACCTGCAGGTGGTTTACGTTATCATCCTACTTTCCTGCCCATTGCCATGGCTGGGGTATGTGCCTCTAGGGAATCACAATAACGCAAGTCAGAGTGTGTATTGAAAGTACAAGGAAACATTTTTTACCTCAAACCATAAACCTTTCATCTTTTTCATTACCTCTAGAGTTGCTGCCAAACAGGTTGGATGACTTTCTGAACAGGTTTTCGCTGGTCGCGAAAAATTTGCTGCCGACTTGGCGAGGACGGTGACATTCATCTGCAGGGATTTACGCATCAATTAATATAATCTCGGGTTAAAGGTGCCCGGTTCATGTACGCCTACAATATTGCAATGAAACACATGCTGCAGGTGTATAAGGTCTACTATATATATAATTACACGTAGGTCACTAGCCTACTAATAATATTTATGATGCTTGAGTAGTTAATCTGTTAGTCCTGGTGTAGGGGCAAGATGTAGGCATTGTATAGAAATATCGCTCTCTCCCAAGTGTAAATATCACCCCACAAATGAGTTTCTCTGTCTCAAGAAGGGAAAAATAACAAGGAGAGGCATATATGTAAGACAGCCAAAGCTCTCAATCAGCCCGTACTGTTTTCCGCGGCAAAACGTCTGATAGCTGCGGGGTCGTTGGTTGAAAGCTGTAGATCAAGGACAAGGAAGAATTTCTCCTCAAATAAGAACAAAGAGCATCAGCCGTTTCAGACTACATATTTGGTCGGCTAAATTGGCTTTCTGGGAGTTTTGCCTGTTTCTTTACTATAAGAGCATAACGAAGAACGCTTTGAACGGACTTGTTCACTGCAAAGGTGGCCCCAAGCAAAGTGTCCATAATGCCTTCTCTTGCAAGCATCATCACTTTTGTAATTTTTATTCCATTTGCAGTATCTGATCTATCCGTTAAGCTTAATGTTACCCGCGAAATAAAGCTTTCTCCGCCGGCTAGCCCTAGGCCTGGGAAGCAGATTGTGGATGCAGCATATCAATCATTTTCCATCGAGTTTTCGTTCATGGCAGATTATGCCGGAAATGATACGTATGGTCAACCCTAGATACCATTGGTGACGTACTTTAACTTTTTCAAGACACCCAAACCTTTTTTCAAGGCAAGTGATTCAAAACTTGTACGACATATCGGGCGCATATCCGATCTTCCGTGTGGGCGGCAGCACCCAAAGCTCTGCCATATATTATCCGAATCAAACCGAAGCTATAATCGACCCATTTAGCTCTGTCGCTTCTGACCAGCCATCGCATACGCTCGTTGGCCCTTCTTGGTTTCAATCTTTCAGACAATTTCCCAGTGGCACCCAATACATATATGGTATAGTTTTCACGACACCATAGAGAACAAAATGCTAACAATTTTGTGCAAGGCCTCAATTTCTTCAATACGGTAAACGAGACATATTACAATATTGGGAATGGCCTTGATCAATGTGTACTCGAGGCAAACGCTGCCTACGAGACCATGGGCAACTCATTATATGCGTTCGAGATTGGAAATGAGGTAGATAGTAAGTTGGCTCGATATCAAATTGTGATTGTCTACCCTGCGTTTAACAGTATAAACCAGGCTGGGGAAATGGTAAGCATAGAGACGGGAATTGGACGGTCCAACGCTACGTGAACCAATGGAACGAATTTGCGTCGGCTATCAGTCGGAACTTGACTGGTAAGGACGCAACGAGATTGTTCCAAGGATGTGCATTTGAGGCACCTCGCCATCTCGACGAAAGGACGGACTGGAATGTTGAAAATGCGGAGCTAGATGGTATGGGCCCAGACAAGACAAAGACGGTTTCTGACCACGAGGTGAATGAGCATCAAATCAGTAAATGCATCTGTGGACTATCTGCTAACGGGGTATCCTCAGTATATGGGTGCTAACTGCCACTATACGGGTGCTGGGCCAACAATCGAAGACACCCTTTTCGATCGCACCAACATGCTCTCTCGTGTTTGGTACCATGACTATCTGGGCAATGCGACAGCGAGTTCAGGTATCAAATATGTTATCGGTGAGACCAACTCTATTTCTTGCCAGGGCGCGTTCAATATCTCAGATGTTATGGCATCTGCTGTTTGGGCCATCGACTATGTCATGTATCTTTCTTCACTCAAGGTATCCCGTGTTCATTTTCACATGGGAACACGCTATCGCTACTCACCCTGGCAGCCTATCCTCTACAACGACAGTGCTCCTCACGTCAACCCAATGTACTATGGGAATCTTTTCAACGCTGCTGTGTTTGCAGGCGGGAACAAGCAGACGGAAGTTCTTGTCAACGAAACGAACTTCGGTGCATATGCGGTCTACAAAGCGGGAAGTCTTGATGCTATTGTGGCGGTCAATCTCAACATCTGGAACTCAACATCTGATCCTGTCGCTAGGCCTTACACAGAGCTAGCCCTTACAGATGAGTGGGAAGATGCAAAGGTTTCTAGGCTGACAAGTCCTGGTGTGGATATCGCTGATAATATTACATTTGCTGGCCAATATGTTGATGAGAATGCCCGGATTGTTGGACCAAAGACATATGATACAGTGACTGATGGCAAGGTCCTAGTGGGTGCAGGTGAAGCAATACTTGTTCAAAAGTGATGAGTTGCTGGAGCTTCGAGAGTGAAAATATACTCGATATTGGATGGTATATATTTTAGGATGCGTATGATGGTACACCATGTATCGGCTGTTTCTTGAAGCAGGCAAGCATTCAGGCCAAGGAGATTGAATCATCAGATGTCACCAACTTTTGGACTTCCAGTGGACAATAAACCCGACGATCAAAATCATGAGCAGTTACATAAATTCTATATGGAAGGATCATCTGTCAGAAGATATACTCATTATCCATTCCGGGTAATTATCATCTATCACGTCAAATCAGGTCATATAAGAACCTCGGTATGTTTTATTAGGTTGCCACAAATACTTCATTAGCTGTAAAGTTCTAAATTGCATGGTATCGGCTATACTGTATCATACCATTCACATCAATACATGTACAGCGGAGGTATACTGAGTAGTGCTTTATCCGGGCGGTGATATTCGATGCACAGGCTCCAGGTTCGAGTAGATTAGCCACATCATAAGGAGCAATGCGAGAGCGGAACTTCCCGCTTCAGGACACCGGAACTGGCCCCAAGTGAGATTAGCCTCACCCCCACTCTTTCTTCAATACAGATATTGATATAAATGCTGCTTTCCATTCCCGCCTCTGCACACGAATGATGTGGCTTTTTGTCAAAATCTTTCTAGGCTGACGGTATCTGAACCCACTTCAGCTCCTCATTTCGACTTCAACAAATCGACAGCAGAATGCCCATCACCTCCTCCCTCCTAAAATGGAGGAACTGCTGACTCCCTTTCTACAATATACAGAAAAGGACCGTCGGTGAGCTGGTCCCGCTACTTAACGAAGTTCTGATCAAGCAACTGAACCTAGTGGTCACTTGCAATAGGTCTGACGCGCCTGCTTTTTCGCTCGCTCTTCACGGTCCAGAAAGACTGTCACGCACATCCCCATACCTGTTTCATGTGACCCTACAGCGGGTGGATGAAGTTAGCGATTACTGTGTCTTTGCATGGTACCCGCAGACCCATGGCTTTGCTACCTCAGACGGGTTTATTCTCCTTCAACGTACCGCACAGGGCGGGCTGCACCAAGTCAATCTCCCCGAGTATACTATACTCCCTCAACTAGAACATGGGCACTTCTCCCCTTACAATATTCATAAGCCCGGTAATGTCAAGCAATTTTACGATGCTATCCCCGACCGTCTTATCCCATACCTACAGACAGGCGAGCGATATGTACTCCTCTGCCCAGGTCAACAATATGACTCATGGAATTGGACCGATAAAGCAGAAAATTCTAAACTCGTCTTGCCAGGCGGGCCCTTTTTATCCTTCATAGTCGAGGACAATGAGACCATGCCGATTATGCCGACGTTGATCTGCGGGTGGGAACCTTCCTTTCTTCTCTTCTGCTTGTACTACCCCAGAACACATGCTAAGCTCCCTATGCACCCATATGTTTAGAGCGAAAGAATGCTGTCCTACTCTGATTGCAAAAGTCGAATGTTGCCCTCAAGGCCAGGTGGCTTTACAGGATGACCTCGTGCTTGCGACCCTTCATGTGACATACGTGCCAACAAGTGGTAGCGGTGGTAGGCCGTTTACTTTCAACACGGCAGGATTGACCGTCGAGCTCTGGGTTTGGCGGGATCGGTGGGTCAACCTGGAAGGGTTCGTCTGCGGCGGAGGATGGGCATTTGTCGATGACCCAGATATGCAAGTCTCGCCAGGCCGTGATAATGGCTTTGCCAGTTTGCGGAACGTGGTCCGAGGTCTTGCGGCTTCACTTGCTCACGGACATGGAGAGCAATGATGGCGGGGAAGCCCGGGTTGGGGAGGGGATCCGGTGTCTCTTTAAGGGCCTCCGGCTCGAGTGGTGGGTTTGGAGAAGTAGGGAAGACCATTTGGAGACGACAGTCACAATTCTAGCCACGGGAAGCTGGAAGGTACGGGAGCCGGGCGAACAGCCTGACGTTCTTATTCCTGCGGCGGCACCAGTGGATTTGGAAATTATATAGAACGAGCCGATGGGAGGAGACGGATTCTAAACACGCTACTTGCGATATGTCTCAGGCAACTTGTGGGTCATCTGAATTTTAAGCAATGCATCCAATTACACAGAAGTCGCCATCAAGCAGGCCTCCTCGGACGACGAAAGCGACTACATCAGCAGCCTGCAGGGAATTACACGGCTCAGGATATTGGATGATTGAAGCCGACCCGATGAATCAAGACATTCCATCCCCGAAGCGCGGGTGTGGCGCCGTATCGCGATGCCATTTTGCACTTGACACAAGAAGATTGAGGGCTGGATTCATCTGGCATGCAGCCATGACCGAACCCTATGTATTATATTGTGGATATAGACTGGCATTGTTTTGTGCCGTGTGATACTGTAATATACAATACATTACATTCCATGCCCAGGCGGTAAGCATCATGGCCATTTACCATGATTGACTTTGTTTTAAAGATGGGTGTTCGAGATGGTAAAAAGAGCCCAATAATAGCTCTTACGGTAGCTAGAAAAATAAAACTTTATTTCTTCCAGGGGTTGAAGCTCATTTCTTATCAACCGGTTACTCTGTGATAATCACGTGCTCTGTGTCTTTGTAACTTGTTTGTAACATGCAGGTGCCCTACCCCTAAGACATTTTTCTCTCCTCATTTTCGATTCCAAGACGCTAAGGGGCCGCTAAAATAGTGGCATGTGTCTTGCGCTGTTTATATAACTATGGGATGGGGAGTCCGTCTTTCTAACCTTTTCTCTCATCTCCTGCAGCCCACAACATCCCACAGCATTCCATACGTTTTGAGGATCCCACTCCCCAAATATTTCAATCCAATGGGGCTGACTCTCGCTTTCCCTTTCAGTTTGTATGACTATTCTTAGCCAAAATGCCTTTCCGTTGTTGTGGTATGTATTCTGGTGCTGACAGAGCATGACATCAGGATCATCCTTGCCCTAACCTGGGCCTCCTTCATCCCCCAGATCAAGCATGTGTGGAAGACGAAACACAGCCGGGGGATCTCCACTGCCTACCTGCTTTTTAACGTCCTCTGCATCACAGAATATGTCTTTTTTCAATCCCTTGACACCGCCTATCTTTGGGATATCTCCAAATTGCCCTCAGCGCCGGTCTCTGTCTCCCCTTTGGACTGGGTCAATCTCGCTCAAGTATTAGGGGTGTGGGTATTGTCCAACGTCTTGTAAGTCCAAACCACCAGCGCCACCACCACATCTCGCTGGGATGCCTATCACCCGGCTAACTGTCTATCTATAAATGCAACAACCCCAGCTTCTTGCTGTGTCTCTTCTACTCCCCTCCGACCGGACCCCATCGTCATCTTCTGCGAATCCTCCTTACTCTCGCTCTCTATTCCTTCTTCCTACTTTTCACTCTGGTCCCGCTCATATTAGACCTCACCACCGACGTCTTCTGCCGGCCGAACAATCCGCACGATTGCCCGCTGCCTGAGCGGGACGTGGTCCCTTTCCTTCGCGGCATCCACTGCTACTTTCTCTTGCCCATCACGACGCTGATTCTCCCTGTTCTGGGTTTCTATAAGCAAGCACAGCGCCAGAGGCGACAGCGACATCAAGAACAATCAAGGAGGCAGCATCATCAGGAGCCCCGCGAACAGGCCATAATGATACCTCCGTCTCATCCCCCATCACCGACCACCCCCACAGATCTTAACCGCCTACTTGCCCGCTCCCGCCTTTTTCAGGCTGCTATCTTCGCGCTCTCGGCCATCCTCTGGATTTTCCGCTTGCCTCCAGGGAAGCAGGAGCGAGCGTACGAACCGCCACCGCCGACCGATGATCCTCTTCCGCCCCCGCCCTGGCTGTTGGTCTGCTTTCAATGGTGGATATTCATGGGGTATATGACCGTCGATGAGGCCATTTTTGCGGTCGGACAGGGTTTGTTGGGGTGCTTGGGTCTACGGAAGGCGATAGCAGCCGAGGGGAGAAGTGAAGGTGAGGAGGCGGAGAGAAGGCTGTTGTTGGTAGCGGCTGAGGAACGTTCCACATACGGATCTGAAAGTTGAACTTTCCTGCAATCGATACAAAAAACGTGCAAGGAAGCTGGCTAGTTAACGGGTTCTTTCTCATATTGAGAACACTTGCACTGCCGAGGGGAAAAGGAAAGGCAAGGGGAGATGATCTAGTCATCTCATATGAAGTGTAATCAGATTCTAGTTCATCCTTTGTATAATAGTCCCACCCAATGTCTCTAGCTTAATAACAAGATTTCATAAAGAAATCTTGAGCACCTTGTGAGCAGACTCAAGAGTCTAAACAAATCCAACTGGTAAGACTACTGTAATGATCAATGGTTGGTTTATAACGACTTAATTGACACCCAAATAGAGGGTCATATCGCTGAAGCTATGCGTGGATTCTTTCGCATGGTCAACTAACATCCAAATGGTGTAGGTTGGTTGCCGATAATTGAAGCCTGCTGGGGCCAGGCGGCCAAAGGCGGCTGACGTCTATGGGCTAATGTGTATGAATAAACCTTTCAAGACAGGAACATAAAGGGTTCTAAGAGTGATAGTCAAAGGGTAAGACGAGATTATATCAACGAGAGCTTTTGGCTCGAGAATATACTGGCAAGGAAGAGAATTCTTGAGAAAAGAAAACAAGTTTCGTTAGTTGCACAGTCATGAACTTGCTTTGCTGTGTATCTTTCGAGGCCACAGCACTTCCGATGAGTTGCCACCCTTTGTGCATCACATGAAGTGTGGGAAGCGTGTCGCTGAATGCTGGATTAGTACCCCCAGAAGCGGTGTGGATGACACAAAGGGCAGGGATACTCTCTTCAACTTATGGGAGTGGACCCTCCATAGTAAGCAATGGCGGATAGGCGAAGGGCGTGGGAAAGGATAAACGAAGCAAGGAGGTAGGTACAACATGAAGCCCACACACACCATCGCCCTCTCCAAGCTGACTAGTAAAGGGATGCGCGCGAAGTACAGGATTCACAAAGGTCGATGAAGCACAACTATAAACGGACGAACTCGGTATACCAGAATGCATGTTACGCTTCCAACAAGTTCTTAGATAAAAGGAAGGCCACATAGGGCCCAAAATCTATCATATGGCTTTGATTTCTCGAACTTGAACACATCTATTCCGTTCTTCAATTTATAATCTATTGTTGCTACCCTCGCCCCATCAGACTACTTAGACCTCCTAGTCAGGGCAATGAGTTTAGAGTTTCGAGAGACGGCGTCATAGCCACCAATACCCTTGTGTCTCTAGTGACTGATCTCATGTTCTATGTCTCCCAGCTCCGAGCAGAACCTGACCAGGCTACTCAGCACCGGATCTAGTTTATCACGATCTATGCCTAACAGTATGAACTAGCGAACCAGCATGCACAGTGTATCTGGAATACTGGCCGATTCGGTGGGTCCAAAAGATACGTGCTGCCTACATCCTTGAATTGATGGGGGACGGTATTCCACATTTTGCCAATAGAGCTTCCTATCGAACAGGATCCACAGCATATTTAGCATTCTATCATTATGTGAACGGCTGGGGAACTTATGGCCCTTTTTGCTCTACGGAATTACTATGGGTAGGTACATGTAATACTTGCCCTACACTGCAAAGTAAGCTTATCAACACTGATGTGCAGAATGATAGCAGTAGTGTGTAGTGCAGACACGCGCGAAGGAAAACCAGTTGACACGGGCCACGTCGGAAGGGGACGCTATCAAGGCAGTACGCAAGAGAAGACGGGCGCAAATCAATCTCGAAATTAGGGAGAGTATAGAAGAGTCCTGAAAGCGCAGAACTGGAAGGTATATGATATCAGATCAGAGAGCCACGCAATCAAGTTGAATAGTAGAGCTTGCATCCATCCACACACGTCCAATCATAGGATATTGGATCCAACATTAAAGTGATGTGAAGTCATTAGTATGAATGTAAATTAATCATGATAGAGGCTAGGTTGGGTTAAATTTAACTTTCGTGCGATGACAATCGATTCAGCGAGATTACAGAACAGCGGCCAGGATTGCTCGCCTATGAGATAATGATATCCATCTGACCAGATAGCCCCACCCACCTATTGCTCTCGCGTAGGATTAGAATTGCTACTGGTTACACAACTAGTACCATCATCGCTTGTCCTTACTATGAGAATACTTGCAACACCTATCGCCGCTGCCTGATATCTCGACTTATCTTCGTGGTTTTCTTTTAGATATGGTACCACAACTAGTTTCAAAAATAGGTCGGGCAAAGAACTGTCCAATGACGTACAATCATGCAGTCGTTGACATGACACCCCACACTGGCGATTTCGTCCAGTATCTTCCTAAGTAGATGAGGCATGAACGATTTCAAAATGATCCAGAAATATAGCCAACAACTGCATTCCTCTACACTAACCTATAGACCAGACAGGACAGAGATGTAAAGGATAGGTTTCATGAGTGGGCTAAACTCCCTGCCGTGATACAAGTCGCATTGGATGTTAATCAGTTTCTCCTTACTGGCTTCCCTGTACGTGACTAAATTGTTGCATGAAAGCCCTATGGCATGTGGCAATAATGTAGATGATCGGTTTATATACTGGAAACAGGAGTGACCCATAAGCCCAGCCAATGATCAGTGATGGTACTACATCCAAAGCTGCGAGCGTTCCTTGTTATGAAGTTTGAGGCTTCACACACGGAAACACTCAAATTACATCACACTGCTTTTTATTAACGTTATACTTGGTAAACAGCACATTTGGCATCCCTTTCGTTACTTGAACCCCCCCTAAAACTGTGTTCCTCAACTAAATTGGCAACACGTCGGAGTATGTCTCAGAGTTCCAAGAGGCAATAGATAATAGAAAAGTATCAGTGTTTGTTGTCTTAGCTAGCTTGGCCTATCACATCTGGGGATCTTTCTCGTTCGAGGAGGAACAATTTGCCTGTCTATGACTTCATCCTTACCTTACTTCTGTCACAAGTGGAGAGTCACAGTCACATGGGAGATCTGACTAGGACTTAAATGCTGTACAATCCCACATGCGTGATCATTCATCTGTTTCCAACCTTTTCAGCTACGAGTTATGATCGGTGGTGGCTTTTCAAATCCTTGTGCAAGACCAAGACAAATGCCCAAAAAGCAATCCACATGCTAACACCTGTCGCAATCAGAAACACGTTTCTCATACCCGCAAATTCAGTCGACTATGGCAATCGGCGGCAAAGAAGGAGTGACAGCAACCTCCTTGCTTGATCCCAGAGACAGTTACAACCCCGTTTGGATAGAACAGTTAGAATCTTCAGCGGACATTGCATCAATTCGTGCTGTGCTAAACGACCACCATGTTGCAGCATTTCCAGCAACGATCAGTGGTGTTCACCAGGCACTGACAGTGGCACTGCGAGTTGTTGTGCTGATTTGTGACTCGATTGATGATCTGATAACGGATCAAGCGACTGGGGCTTTCCATGACACTAGAGCCTATAGGCCTTGCCTCCGCTGTACTGGATCAGGTTTCCAGATCCAAAGTCAGTCCGTGTTATCTGATTTGACATCAATAATTCATGTATCGACAGAGTATTTGCTGCGGTTGGGTTTATTTGCTGATTATGCAACACTGATTGTCAGCAAGCTGATGTCAGCCTCCGCCTTTGGTGCTGAAAATGATGATCTACTCATCCACCGCTGCCTCATGGCTTGTCATGCGTTGTCCGAAGTGTACGCAATGGAAAGTCAAAGTAGGCTTGTTGCTGAGGAATATCACCTTGCACCGTGTGCTGCACGCTACGGGAAGGATGATGTCAAGAACGATGTTGCTCTATCAGCTAGTGGACCCATTCTTGGTAATCATCAAATAATGACCCTCAACTTTCCGACGTGCACCCACGCAGATATGAAGCCAAAGCTGGCATTCACGTCTTACAGAGACAATTTCTGTTGGTTCGAGGACTGGGCGACAGCGAATCGCGAAGACGGGGATGCACCTGCACTTTTGAGTTCTGTAATTACACTTAACAGAAGCTTCGAGACTGTTTTTGCAAAGCATCCGATCTATAACTGTCCTTGGCGAGCGCGGAATAAGATAGGGACGGAACTTACGCGTTGGCTGGCGAAGCTCGACCACACCACAAAGGATGCCAGCAATGCATATCTGACACATACCGGCATACTCTGTACGAGCCATGTTTGGGTCCGCAAATTAATGGTGGCATCTATTTCATACGGGTCCTACGGCATGTGGCCTGCGCCCCTTGACCTGGCTTTGGAGGACTATGCCGAAGTTGTTTGTGCGTACATCGGTGCAATGTGGCGGGGCTGGAGCGTTGATCATGATGTGGAAGCATCGATTGGAGAGCATAATGCTATGAACTGGCTATGCAGATCCTGTGCAATGGCCACAGCACGCGAATGCTTCTCTCCTGCCAATGCCAAGGCTATAAGAAAGAAACACATTCTCCGCTTGGCATGGCCTCTGCAATCATATTTCTACTTTGGTCTGAGACATCACGGCTTCGAGCGGCGAGTAGACAATCTGCTCGAGACCAGTACTAGCCTATCATCATCACACCGGCGTCTATTCCAGCAAATCGCACCAGTTTACTCGCCCATAGTGTCTGGGGACAACGTGAGCACCATTGTCACAAAGTTGCTTGGTATATGCGGCATGATGATAGTGGATGATATCGGAGATCTCGGTGACAAGAATTGGGCATGTCATCATCGCATTTGTTCCAAATGTGACTTCGAAAATTCTCGGTCTCAGCTCTTCATGATATCTGTTGGAGCGGCACGCTTGGCCGTAACGTTGCCCAAAGATTGTAGGCCACATTTTATCCATCTTATAGACACCTTTGGCCTTCGACTGTTTCCAGCACTTCAAGCCAGAATCCTTTGTCAATGCCATTGTGTGCCTGAATGGTTGGCGGACGTGATGGCCCACGCATATACCGAGGCCGGTACGAGATGCGGTCAAAGTGACTGTACAATTCAAAGTGACTCAAGGAAGGATGATCTATTACCATTCTTGCCAGGTAGCAATAAGGGGACGGTGCCACCTATTGGTGATATTTCACTAAGGTCAGTGCTCCTAAATCAGACCATGGCGGAAGCTGCAAAGTATGCAGAGAGGAGCGGACAACTGGATTGGCTTGAGATTGTATCTCAACCCCTTGTGAACCTAGAACCATGAGATTGGATATAAGAACAGGATATGACGATGAAAACGCTGGGTTCAAGTTATTCTTGAGATTATATACAACTGCCATTATAGAATGCTTATCTTACGAATACTAGCTAACCTACTTGACGCCCTTGCGTGGCACTGGTGCGTGAATTCATTTATTCGGAGGGATTTCATTGCGGACTTTTCTATGTCAGTATGTATGGGCCGTGATGGAAAGGGATAGAGAATTCGCATTCTTATTAATACTGGAACAGAGGACGACGAGGAACATGAAGCGAAACCGAAAATAGAGAAAAGGGTTAATTTGATCAATGCGCATTCTGTGTCAGGCAAACTATATGGAGCTGACGGAACACACTGAAAACATCCCTGTATCGCATGGACAATCACAGTACAGCAGGTGCAGTAGGGTTAAAGTAATAATCACGAGACCCGAATAACCACCTTCCCGGTGTGACTAGAACTCCAGAGGTAGTCATACGCCTGCCTGGTCTCACCGAAGTCGAATACCCGATCAATCACTGGCCGGATAGAGTGCGCCTCGAAGCACTCCAGCATATCCTGTAACTGCTCGCGCGAACCTACCACCACTCCCCGGACGATACAGACTCGATCCAACGCTAGGAAAGCAGCATCAGGACCGCGTAGCTCCTTGCCCGCACCAAGTGGATCAGGGTTCGTGATGTGGCCAATGCAGTGGATAAGGCCATGCAATGCGATCGAGTCAAAGGATTGCTGCAAGGTTAGAGTACCACCAACCTCGATGATGTGGTCAACGCCGTTACCCATGGTGAGCCGCTTGGCCTCCCCTGCCCAGTCTGGATTCTTCCGATAATTAATAAGGTGGGTGGCACCGAGCTCCTTGGCCTTGGCTAACTTTTCATCTGAGGACGAGGTCACGATTGTGGTTGCGCCTGCGGCATGGGCAATCTGTAGTCCGAACGTGGACACGCCTCCAGTTCCCTGCAACAGGACAGTCTGTCCAGGGCGAATGGGAACTAATCCATAGAGTGCGTTCCACGCCGTGAGGGCAGCGCAGGGAAGGCAAGATGCCTCCTCGAAATTCAAGTAATCGGGAATCTTGACCACTCCTAGCTTAGGGAAGATGAAGTATTCACCTAGAAGGCCCTGAATCTCGCCACCCAGTTGTGAGAGGAGAGTTTGCTTGTTCAGCTTTCCTGCAATGTGATCTTGCGTGAAGTTGGCAAGCACTCTATCGCCAACTTTCCATTCGGTCACACCTTCCCCGACTTCTTCAACAATGCCTATTTGCATACCCTAAGCATACTGTAATGAAAGAGGAGAAACATAGTATACCTGCTCCATCACTTCCAGGTACAAGAGCATCTGGACCAGGAAACGGATAGGTTCCAAGGGCAATGATGCCATCTCTCCAGTTCAGTGACACGGCTTTGATGCGCACGAGGATTTGGCCTTGCTTCGGAGACGGCTTTGAGACTTCACGGAGCACCAAGCTGTCGAAACCTTTCTTCTCGGGAAGATAAAATTGCTTGAAAGTAGGAGTAGACATGGTGAGGAATATGTGAGTATATTTCCTTTGGGGTTGCTAAGATGATTTTCCGGTTCACGGTGCTGGAGGTGCCAGATTATAAGCTACTCGAGCCATGTTATTCATGATAAATAACACCTATCACGCAATTCAGTGCTATAGATCTTGGCCATGCAAGACCCTTCTGTACAACAATGCGAGACGGCCTGCCACAGCCGACGATGCTGATCATTGGTGGATGTGCCGGACATACCAGCCAAAAGCCGGCCCGGGCATACTGAATTTCAAAGTGCCCTGCCGAAGGACTCATGGTTATGGATTGATATTACTCTCTTTGATTTATAATCTTGCTCGGCATACGTCTTCATTTTTGTTTGGAGCGTGAGTAGAGTGTAGAAATGAAGCTACTAGGGCATAGGCTTTTTCTTGGACACGCGAGTCACCAATCACACCACTCGGGTCATATTTACAATTGTATTCATCACACACAGCGGGTACTGTCAACTAGAATCTCTACATCATGGGCCTAGGGCAACGTTTGTCACACCAGTCGGACAAGAATCCGAGAAAGGGAGTTAAAGTTATCCTGTGATTTATAATACCAAATGCCCTAACAAAATAATCCTATCCTTAGCGCCATGTTTATCTATGGAATGAGTGGTCATATCGTTCCATGCAATTCCCGCATTTCTCGGGCCGAGAATGCGGCTCGGATTGCTTCCCGAGTGGATGTTTGCGCCGATTGCCCTTCTTCCCCTCCGCATCGCCTGGTTGCAGTGCTATCCACATCATTCTTCTTCGTGTTTCTGGTAGCATTTTAGATAGTAGCACGCCTCCACAATGACGCTCTAAAGACCTACGCCAACAGACTTGGACTGTGTATCTACGTAAAATGCCTAGTGAGCCCCGAAAACTAGACTTCCTCGGGAAATCCGACTTTCCGCAGTACTTGTCAGAGAGAATGTCATAGCCCGCAGGCTACTATCGGCTGTACCTACTTAGAAGGGATTAGATCAAAAAAAGTTAGCAGCAAGAAACTAAGGCAATAAAATCCTGCATCTATACTCCGCGATGAACTCTACTACCCGCCTAGCAGCCCTTACAACAGAATCTCAAGGAACAGAACTGACCTTGTCTAGTAGATCTCAGAAAAAAAGATAGAAAACGGTTCTTACTTCTTTATAATTGCTCAATCTTTTGGAATTCTATTATTGATTCCTTCATTCCATTCCCAATGTACTTGCTGGAAAGCTAGAGCAGAGTGTAAACATGGGTGACAACAAAGTGTACCGATCCACTTCACCCACTGCAAGGGCAAATGTATGTCATTCGCCACGAACGCCGCAGATGGCCAGTCGCTGCTTCATGTAGTCATCTTCAGTTAGATTCGGAAGCGTTATCAGCGCCTTGAGTAGAGCCCTCTGAAAGCTAAGTATTAATAGTATATGATAATAGAAAATTTCAGTAAAGTAAGAATGCTGGGGAAATTACTTGGTGCACTGTTATTGTGGGGAAGAAGTAACCATCATCTGCCTGTTAGTTCTTGTACGTTCTCTTCCATTTTAGTAGCTAGTATTTAGCATATTACTTAAATCTATGATAAAACTAGTACATACGACCACAGGGTGTGGAAAACAGGGCTTCCCGTCCGCTCAGCCGTACTTTAGCCACATTGGAACCGCACGGTCAATTCTTAAAAGCCCTAGGCTCTAATCTTTCTCTGAAACCAAGACATACACTAGATACAGGTAATAAAGATATGATATTTATACCTGCTCACACCAGGGGTGCGATATTAACATCACTGGTGTGATAGCCTTCCCTTTTCAAGTACTATATCACACTAGCGGTGCTTAAGGTTGACCAGGCAGGCGAAGCAAAATAATTTGGAGTGATAATAAGTAGAATCAGAGCTCCAGGCCGATTTTACTATATCCTTTTCTTTTGCAAGACTTTGAGGATCAGGATCTATTTCGTATCCAGAACATGTGACATCACATAATCATGATTAACCAAGATCTCTAGGAACTGACAGAGGAACAGCGTCGCCTCGCTACCTCCTGTGGATTTACTATGAATTATCAGAAGGAGCAGGAGTGTTAAGAGAATACTATATATTCTAAGGAATTAGTTTCTGTGATATACAACAAACATAATCAGGCAACTAAAGAATGGAAAGTGTAAGTCAAACCTCAATTTACCTTTTATACAGTGAACTGCTTCTAACCTTATCGACCAATAGTTGGAGGCTCACCCGTGACGAACCGTTAAGAAATCTTTTAAAGAAGAGCCAGATCCACCGCCTCAAATTTTGAGACTTTTTGCTGAAAACTACATTATAACACGGAGCAAGAGACTCCCTGCTAAGAAGACTGTCTGCTATCAGGTTACTAGTCTCATATCTTGCTAGGAACGAAAGACGACCAGAGGACTACCGCTTAAAGTAAAAACAGATGTGAACAACATTTAATAGCCCTATTATTAATAACATCCTCTGCTGATATACCCTTAGTTCACGCAAAACGCGCTTACACGGAAGTGCAAACTGCCGTAGATGTTGCGGTATTGGTTGGGCATCTTGAGTTGCTTCGTCTGTTTCCCAGGAATAGATGTGGATGGCTTGAATGAAAGACGTGTCTTCAACAATATATAATTCTTGTCTTTATTAGAAAAAGCCCACATTAGTATTCAGGTTATGAATCGAAGGGGTATTTGGAACAATGGATAAATAATTGAACCATCTATTAGCTGTGGTTGGAGATAGGTGCAACCTCGGCTAACCGGCCTATGCTGGGGTTCAACCAACACCGAATGGCCCGAATGGTCCGAATGCCTCCTGCTGACTAGGAAATAATTAATTCAACGTCAGAAGAACAAACTCCAGTTAATTCCACCAATGCGGAAAGGGTGTTAGAAGCCAATAGGCCGTGACCGTTCGCTAATTCAATCATTGGGTTCCGTGATTACAGACGCATAAGGTCTTGCTAGAGCGATTGATAAGGGCAGGTCAAGAGTAAGGTACATTTGAGTATAATATAGAAAAGTAGCGAAACTAAAACACCATATCTTCACAAACAATCACAGCCCTTTAGCTGAACTAAGCTGCGATTCTAGGAAATCGAAAACAACTTGATGCAATCGAAAGAAGGATCCTTGGTGACAGTGTGCGTCTCCCCCTTCGTCTGTTCGTAGACTGACAAATTTGTGCTCACAGTTCAGATTTCTCCGAAGCTCCTCTGGCTGGCCTCTCAGGAAATGATCATTTTCTGCGTCGAGTATCAGACACGGTGTGGCAATAAGTTGACTGATCCCCTCCAGAGTGTATTTGTTGACTGCACGACTCAGCTCTGCCGGGGATGCCACGCCAAAAGTCCACTTCCCGTTGCGCAGAGCCCACCGGATCCCTGTCGAGAGGGACTGAACACAGTGGAATATTGGGTTGACAATCGAATCGTATCTGAGTTCAACAAGCTTTTGAATAACGGACGGCTGTTGGGCCCGAAATGCAGAACCAAAATCGTACACGCCATCATCCAGGATGATGGCTCGGGCCCGATGCTCCTGCGTAGCTCCTCGCGCCACTAGGAACCCACCCATGCTCCAGCCAAAGATGACTATTGCATCTGCATCAATGTCCATGCGACTCACAGCATAGTCGACAACAGGGGTCAGTACGTTCTCCCAGTCGGGCCGAAAATGTAGGTGCTGTCGCCGGATAGCTGCACCCTGCCCAGGCCCGTCGAAGGCAAGGAAGTTATAGCCTCTTGCTATAGCCGCCGCTCCAATCGCAAACCACCCTTCACTCATGGTCGAGTCAAAACCGCCGTTGAAGATGATTGTCCGTCGTGGTTTCTTGGAGCTGTCAGGACTAACAAAATACCCTGGTAATGATGTGCCTTCGTAGGGGATGCTGATCGACTCGTAGGAAAACGTAGACAGCCCCATCGCCTCGACGAAAGCAGTCTCTGATCTTTCGTACAATGACTGGGAGATTTTGTCTTCGTCCACATTTTCTCGACGGAAGAACTCGGCGGTGCGGAAATAATTCGATGCACGGAGGTATCCATGGTAGGCACTCTCTTTGTTCTGCACGGACTTCGAGAACTCTGCATTAGACACTGCCCGTTCTGCAGCGCCTTGCCATTCGCGAAGCCAGTCATCTTCGTTCCCGGGCCTGATTTTGGAACAGAGAGCTATCACTTCGCCGAGGTCTGCCCCACCATAGTTGCTATAGCCGGCAGCTCGAAGCGCTTCATAGCTGAAGGACTCGTTGGACTTGAAGAAATGATTGATAAGCATAGGTGGCATGTTTGGAGCCTTCCAGGGATAGAAGTGTGGAAGGAGTAATCCCCAGCCAGGATATACAGGAAAGGCCTTTAATATTATTGTCGGTCGCTACCACGTGATTGCAGACCGAGGACATTCCTTGCTGTCACGCCATCCGCGGGCTGGTTCTAGTTCTTCGCCCTGCCGGAGTACGTGAACTATTGAATTAACTTTTGCTGACAGATACCTATTCGGACCGATTCGGACCAACTTTGGATCTTATACCCTTCTTAGGTACTCCTTCCTTTCTTCGATGATTTGAAGAAAAATGGAGAATGACTCCCATACTGAGCTATAACCTCATCGCCTCGCTGGCACAGCATGGAACTTCCTCAGGTGCATCACCCGCAAAAAGCGAAACTAACCCCGAATCTCGGCTTTGCCCTCTACCGCTTCATATATTGGCACATCAGCTATTTGGTAACGGTCATAGGCAAGTAGGCTCAGCGAACTCTCAGCACCGCACTGCTATTCCAAAGTCCCTACATCTTTAGCGCATATAAAGGCATTATACTAAATAAGGTGGACGGTTCAAAGTGCGGACGCTCCCCTCCGAAGGTGCTCCAAATACCCACTGTACATGGGATTCGGCCCGAATTGAATTTGGCCAATTCGCCATGAGACACACCAGATGGCGCTCAAATTGACTACCCCGCCCTCTAGAGGTAGCAATGAAGACATTCCCAGAGACTCAATTCATAGCGAGAGATACAACGGCATGCAAGATCCGCGCGATTCAATTCTGTAAGTTGTTGTTTCGATCGCACCGCGAAAAACAACGTGATGTTGAAGCACAAGGTAGGTGCAGAGAAAACAGCAGGCGGTGAGAGGAACCTGGGAATTTCCGCCGAGCAAATGAGACATAACCCGTGGGAACGTACGTACATATATGCAACCTACATTCTTTTGCGAAGCTTGGAGACCATGGACAGTACCCAAGTTCTAGGGAGGGGAGATGAAAATAATGAAAATACCAGAATCTTGTCGCACTCGTCTATCACTGCATGTTTGCGGTGCCGGGAACAGAAGGTGACTACATGTCCCTCCGATGCCAGAACCACTTCGCTTAACGTTGAATGACTCCCAGCTAAAGTGTGGTCGCGAACGTCCCACGTGCACTCGATGCGAGCGACTCAGTGCAAGATGTAACTATCCGCGGCCTCCAAATCGCCGGGGTCCACGGGGCCGGCGCCTAGGGACTCAACGCCGGCGCAACGAAGCAGTTTCGCAACAAACTTCTGCCGCTGAGACCCAGAAAAGCAGTCCGATCCCTGGATATGATGCTTCGAATTCCGTTGGTCCTAATGCTCGTCGTGAAGACGATCCACTTCTTCCTAGTTCCGCTGGATTGGATGACACATCGGCGGCTCTAGGTATAGGAACACGTACTCCGTCTAATGTACGTGCTGATCATAGCTGCACCAGGGCTGCTATCCAATAGCTAATTGGTCCGTAGACATACCCAAGTCAGCTACGTACGATGACGCCTGTCGCATTTGAGCCAGGACGTTCCTCAGAACAGACACAATTACCACCACCCGCCCTGTGTCTTTCTCTGCTGGAGGTATACTTTACGCGCGTATATAACGCACCTCTTTTATTTCATAAACCCACTCTTTTTCAGAATTATCTGGAACGGAGACTCCATTGCTCTCTTCTTAAAGCTTTACTCGCGCTAGCAACTCTGTATGTCACTTTAAGACTCCAATGCTTCTCCACGTTCAACTCAGCTAAAACGATGCCCAAGATTTCTTCAGCCGAGGAATCATTCAAATGACATTTTACCTGCAATAGAAGGGCAAGCAGAAGAATTAAAAATTTTGAGCTCATATCATTCTTGCGGTCGCCCATGGGCGAAAGCTGCTTTAAGAGAACTTCTGATCTCAGCCTTAGAGTGTCCATCTCTGATGATTGTCCAAGCGTTGGAGTGTCTGCAGCTGTATTGGTTTGGCATTGGTGACTTTCATTCTGGCAGTTTATGTCTTGGTAAGCTCTTGTGTCTACCATTGGTCAAAAGCATGCCTATGGATGCCTGAGGAACTTGTGTTGACAAGTTCACAGCCCTCGCCTATCGTTCATGTCATCTGCTTGGATATAGCAGGAAGTCTACGGACAACAACGACTATTATGACGAGTCGCTCGAATCTGAACTTTCCCGTCGATGCTTCTGGGCTTGCTGGACATCTACATGCATCGTTATGGAACCAGAACCATATATCAAATTGGCCTGGCAGGAAGTGGGCTTGGTGCCGCTTCCGGGACTGATCTCCAATACGTCGTCCGGCTATACGATAACTCTAAATCAGACAATGGATGAGAATTGGATTTCTAGATCCTTGGATCGTCGGATAAGCAGTGACAGCTACCCTGGGAGTGCAGCCATCTTAATGAAAATGGTTGGTGTGTGGTCAGTACACATGTTGACCTGCAAATCTTCTAGCCTTGTATAGGTTTAACTGAAATGATGTTCTTTTTAGGGCGAAAATTCAACAATTGTGCAAAGAGCACACCTCTGCTCCAAATGCTCAAAATTTTGGCCAACTCGAAAAATTATCTCACTTGGCAACATCGCTATTTGATGAGTCAACCACCCTGAGAAATTCCGGTCATCAGAATGATCCAAAAACCGAAGGCGAGAGCCTATTACTCGTCCACGATGCGCTCTACCACCAATGTCAAATCGCCGCCCATTGGATGATTGTCCCCCTTCTTTCGGGTATCCCTACTGACCCAACAATTAGATCTGATAAGCAAAGAGAAAGTGCAGATACTGTTCTAAAACATGCAGAGCTGCTTGAACGGCTACTGGCGCCTTATCTCTATGGTCGAAGTGATATTTCACGTCTGCCTCCCCTTGTTGGCTTTGGTGCTTTTGTCGCAGGTATTGTGCTTCTGGCAACCGAAATTTCCCGCCAGGACTGTGGAGTGAATGGATCATTCACAAAAGAATGTCGAAACGGTCCCAGAATACCCGCAGTGAGAGCGATTGTGCATTTATTAGATCATCTGCGAGTCTATTGGAGAGCGTTGGAACGTCCGGTAAGTTGTACCTCGTTCTGATTGCCACATTTGATGTCGTACTTTGACTTAAACGATAACCAGTGGGAAACCTTGAATTCCGCATTGTCGACAGACTCTTTCAAGTATAAAAGACACGCCACACCAATGATTGTACGAGGTGGTATGTTGATGAGAATGCTCGTGCAATCCAGAACGTTTCATTCGGCTAGACTAATACGAATCTAGATCGTCGTGTGGCATCATCCAGTGACTGTGAACGTCTCGAAATGCCTAGCGGATATAATCAAAGCGAGGATATCTCAAGCAAGCAGCTGCAACCCTCTGAAGCCGAGATACGTACAGGAGAACTTGAAGCCCAACTCTGCTCGTCTACAGCTCCCTTGAACGGGAATGGGTTAGGGGCGCCAGATGTATTAGGACGAAGTGGCTCACCCATCGATCAGGTCAGTCTATCACGCGACTATGACTGGTATAGCTTGTCTTTCGCGGAGGCCGGACTTGAGCAGTTTGCTGGGCTTGAGCCTTCTACACTTTTTCAGCAAGGCTGGGGGTGGGGGTCATTTGGCTAGAGATCTACCGCCCAGAGAACACCTTGCAATAATGAAAAAAATGGCTCGCATTGACGGCTTGCCAGAAAGCCGAACGCCAGTACTTGGCTTCCTCCTGCTTTCGCAAAAACAGAGTCGTAAAAGACCTTACTAAAGCATCCGGGGCGGTAAGTATGGCCAAACCTGTTCCCGGAACAGTTTGCTGCGACGCCAAGATGAGCGTGCTTAGGAGAATTCGGCTATTTATGTTTACGCCGGGGCTCGATAGCATCATACCGTCATGTAGAAACTCAAGTATCCCTTAGCTAAACCCAAAGGTTGCGGCCACCTGTCCGTCGCGTCCTTTACAACCCACTGCGCATAGGGCTACACTAGGCCCTTGCCTCTTTTGGGGAAGATAATACGGTCTCCTTCTGTTTTGTATGTGTAAAATAACATCAATTTCCTTAGTTGACGTCCTGAAATAGACCACCAGTAGTCATGTACACTTGGAATTGCTATGATGAGAAACACCCCAATTGACATTGCCATCCGATTTTAAAGAGGCGCTATGACCTACACAACAGGCTTAAAGGAGCAATCAAAGCATGACAGGGAGGAAGCGTTGCATGTGTAAACCGATTCAAGATGTGGCAGAACTGAGCTGCTTATCTAGAACTAATAGATATGAAAGAAGAACATACTCCTTTCCTCAACCACGCTAGCTGTATACGTCTTGGAGACGTTACCTTCTAATAAGAGGATCATTTAGTGGTATTTTGGAGTCACAGGAGGGGGGACCGAAAATTGGGCGCTATCTTTGATTCAAGAAATACATATGTGTGCCTGGTGGGCAGACAGATATCAACATCCTTCTAATATCTTTAAAGCATATGAGGACTTATGATGTCTGTGGAACGTGATTATCTATTCTGTTTGCCCTACCGCGTCTCATAACCGGTAGGTGGATTTCCTATATACACGCAAGCCAAGCGATCGGTAGTTGCACGGATCTGTAAACAAGAGAATTGTTTAAATGTCGTGCCGCGCAAACTTGCTACTAAACCGAAGCTGTCTTCCGCGCCAATATAGGACAAAAGGAAAAGGTACAAAAAGGCAGGTCAAACAACCTAGCAATGTACAGGCCCAACCTACGCCCAAGTTGTGGAACATCGCAGCCGCGAATAATGGAAATCCGGCCCCGAATGATGAACGCATGAAATCATTCCCGGCGAGCACCGACGCGGCATACCTTGGATATGCATGCGCCAGGTAGCAGAATATCGGATTGAAGATTAGACATCCACCGACCGAGAACAGGCCCGCCGCAGCAATTGGGGCTATCCAGTGAACTGACCCAAAGTTCCCAGTCCACCCGAACCAAAAGAGGGAGATTGGCAAGCAAATACTCCCCACGCATGCTGGAGGGAGCTCGTATTCTGGCGCGATGGACCCATCGTCCCCGATCCTTTTCGACTGACAGTAATACTTCCATGTGAAGTATCCTGGAATGGCAAAAAGGATTGTACCGGTGATGATTCCTAAAAATGACATCCCGCTTTGTCCTGGGTTGAACCCATGTATCTCTTCAAAGACAATTGGGAAGGCCTCGAACCATATGTAGAGTATGCCATAGACGAGCGAAATATATACATTCATGACGAGGACGATCGGCTCCAGGAAACACAGTTGGAGAGGACGAACCAGTGCTTCAAACAGAATATCCTGAGAATTTGTGAGGTCTGATCAAGGAAAGGGAGTCGCGCGCAATGGCATACCGTGGGTGGAATTTGGCGTAGCTCGAGCTCCGCCTCAGAGCAAAAGTTCGAGTTTCCAATCATGTGGCGTATCCGTCGTGCTCGTCGGTAGAGAATGTTTGGACCATATGTCTCCGGCAGCAGAAAGAATAACAAGACAGCAGCGAAGCCAGACACCCAGATAAGCTGCCAGATAGTCCACGTCCAGTCTTGCGCGGATGATGCAAACCCACCCACCATCGGCCCAAGAACAGGTGCAGCGATAGCGAATGTTCCCCATATGACAATCATATAATCGCGTGCCCTGGGGCTCCAGATGTCAGCCATTGATGCACCCCCCGTCGCGAGGGCTGGCGAGCCGATGAACCCAGTTAGAAATCGAAAGGTTAGGAACATCGCAAAGCTTTTCGAGTATACGACAGCGAAATTCAAGCCCACGAAAACAAAGAGCGTAAGCACATAAATTGGACTCCTTCCGACCATGGGAAGTTCAGAAAGAGGGGACCAAATCATTGGACCTGACAGTTCGCCAAATATCAGTTATGGTGCAACCAGTAAGCGGAATAGCCAAACTAACCGACTCCATAACCTAGGACGAACAATGTGAGACCCAAAGTTGCAGCAACATTGCTTACTCCAAATTGCTTCGCTGCCCCCGGAATACCTGGGGAGTAGATGGCTGAGCCAATGTAGATTGCAAAGGTCAATACCCATACCAGGGAACTAACGAGAAGCTTTTTGGCGAAGCTCCAGTTCTGTGGATTCTATCAGTGGTCAGCTTGTCTGCAAAGAGTATACAATCCGCTGCAAGTTACATACCTCACTATCACCTGATCTCCAGCCTACAATAATAGCCTTCTCGTCCCGAGGGGCAGGAATGGGCCAGGACTCTTGGCGTGACCGGTAGGACGCTTGAGACATGATAGTCTCTAATCCATTTGGCTCAACGATGCTTTCATTGGGAATCAGTTCAGGAAGTGCCACCCCTACTTCTGCGGCGGTAGCAACCATCTCCTGGATGAAAGATCGATCCCGTTCCTCAGTGTAGAGCAGTAGCCGGCGACCACTCAAGAGTCGAACGATCTTCCCAAACGCCGTGTCTCTAAGCAGCTCCCTCATGGTTGGTGTTGTGGACTGCGGGTTTATACAATATGAAATCTCTGTGTGAGGGTTCCGGCCGGGTAAGCTTGGGAACGAGACAACATTTATGAAAAGAGACTCAGGCAACGCCCGTTCGAGGCCATCTTGGTTCCCAGGGTAATTCAAACCCAAGCAGCACAAAGTTTTACAGATAAATCATTAGGTTTGAAATCAAAGTAGATTACGCTAGCCAATCGCCGGTGAAAATAGAGGGATTGAGGGAATTCTTGGGCGTCCGAAGCTGGATCGAATGCTTCGGAAAGCCGAGAGTATCGGACATTGCTTAACCTTCGAAATGCTCAGGGATTTTAGCAGGCCCGATGGACCGCATTAGGTATACATCCGGCCGGAAATGATCCGGTCTGTTTCTCCACTCCCCACATCTCTTTGAGATGATGAAGCAATGATGCTTGTTTGAGGCACGGCCGCTCTGGAAGACCGCCCGCGGCCGGCGCAAGGGGCAGGGGCAGGGAAATACCAGGGAACAGATGCTCTGCGTATAATTTTAAACGTTCAGCTGCGCCGGCTGCATGTCCATGTTTTCCGCTGCCATAGGCAATTCCTAAAGATTCATATAATTTCAGTTTCCCTTCCTACAAAGTGACCAAGGGACTTATATCTATCACAATCGCAGTCAAAACTCCGCCCTTGACGTTAGCTCAGGCAAACCAGGGCCCATTCGCCTCTCCCATCATGGCTTCTGCGCACGAACTCCGACGAGCGTCTCATGATGAGCGGTTTGTCTGAGCCGTACGACGTTGTGGACTGGGATGGCCCTGAGGACGATGCAAATCCGTTATACTGGGGTTCGCCAAAAAATGTTCTGAACGTTGCATTCGTGTCGATTTTCAACTTTCTGACGCACATCTTGGAACAATCAATTGATGGTCGTCTGGTATACAAAACTGACAGGAGGCTTTAGTCCATTGGGCTCGGCCATGTTTGCGCCTGGCGTCACACAAGTGATGGAGCAGTTCCATTCGACGAGCAAACCTCTCTCATCCTTCGTGGTTTCTGTGTATCTTCTAGGGTTTGCTTTCGGACCCCTGATCGTGGCGCCTCTTTCTGAGCTCTATGGTCGACTGCCGCTCTACCATGGATGCAATATACTTTTCACCTTATCTAACATAGCTTACGCTCTTGCTCCCAGCATGTCATCTTTGATAAGTTTCCCATTTTTGGCTGGGTCAGCTGGTAGTGCGCCCTTAGCACTCGGAGCTGGAACTATAGCAGATGTCATGGAACCCCAGCGTCGTGGACTGGCGATATCTGTGTGGGCTACCGGTCCCGTTGTTGGCCCCGTGGTTGGCCCGTACGTTGCACCAGCCTTATATCCTGCGCCAGTCTCCGTATGTTGGGACGCGGTAGCTGACATGTTCATTATGTACCAGTGTTTGTGGCGGGTTCCTGACAGAAAATGCGTCATAGCGGTGGGTGTTTTGGGTGATTGCGATTCTGGTACCATCCATCCTATCCCGATGAAATGGAAACGGCTTAACAGACTACATTCCAGAGCGGTATCTGCACCGGATTCTCAGTTCTATTCCTCCGTGAAACCTACGCCCCGATCCTCTTATCGCGCAAGACAAAGCGCCTGATTCGTGAGACTTGACACTCCAACAAACGTCCAGCCCTTCATAGTGACTTAACCCCTTTTACTCCCTTTACAATATCTATCACCCGCCCTCTTAAAATGCTGGTATTTTCTCCCATAATATCAGCGTTGTCCTTGTATGTCGCTGTGGTTTATGGCTTCCTCTTTCTACTGTTCACGACAATCTCGCAAGTGTACGGGAATCAGTACAACTTTACTGCCCATGTTGTTAGGCTCACTTACATTAAATTAGGTGCTGGCTCCACCATTGGTCTTCTTGCAATGGGTCGCTTCTCAGACGTCGTATCCAAGCACTTGGCTGGTGGAACGAAAGGTCCTTGGAAGCCAGAATTTCGACTGGCTCTAATGATTCCTCTCAGTCTTGCTCTGCCTATCGGGTTGTTGTGGTATGGCTGGACAGCAGAAAAGAAGGCACATTAGATTTTGCCTATTATTGGAAATGGATGGATTGAGTTTGGGGTCGTGGCTTCGTTTGTAAGATTTGCTTCATAAACACTACTGTCTGGATGGGCTAACGAGGGTCAACGGAATAGGTTGCTATTCAGAGCCATCTGGTGGACGCTTTTACCACACATGCAGCATCCGCAGCGGCTGCTTCGACGGTCCTTCGACAACTGCTGGGAGCGGTGCTACCCCTCGCTGGGCCCTCCATGTACAGCGCCCTTGGCTTAGGATGGGGTAACTCGGTCTTAGCCTTTATAGCCATCGCCATGCTTCCACTTCCACTTGTGTTCTTTATGTCCGGAGAAAGGATTTGAGAGAAACATCTATTTGTGTTTTGACTGATATTTGGTTACCGATGGCATCGTTATCTTAGTGATTGCAAGCAGGCTGAATTGCTTATAGAATGGCACAGGGAGTTTAGATCTGCGTTGAATCGGAAGTCCAGGTCCTTATTTAGACTTGCAAACCCGTTTAAGAAGACTTGATGGCTGATATGCGCCGTCTAATTACAATTTCACGGTATACGGTTAGTCATATTATTACTTTGCTTGAAGTGTTTATTCTTTGCATTACTCTGTTGTGACGGTTGGTTTGTATCCGGCGTTTCTAAAGTTTGATTAGACCATCAGGCCATGCACAGGGAGAAAAACCACTCATTTCTAGAACACAAACCGAACCTACACTGTTAGCAATTCGTATGGTGAAACATACTCCATGACATACCCGGTAGGATCGAGCTTCGTGGTGGGTGGATCTGTGCATGTGGGGCCTGTGACGATCCTGGGCTTCTGCTTTCTTTCGGCTTTCCGAACAGAGAAGACTTGGTTCCGACAGTTCGATGAACGGAGACCAGCCCCACCCATCGGTCACTAACCTTCGGCAAAGGCCTTGACAGCATCTACGCATGTTTTTTGTCCAGCTGTCCGGAGATTCCTGTCTTGCGTCTAACCAGACCATATGTTTAAAGACACGCTGCCCCTTTTACCGATAACTCTGCGCGGGGAATGCGAAAATGCCTATCCGATGGAAAACCCTGCAGAACACGGTTGCGGCCTGTGGAGTCGGGGCTGGAATTTCGTTCCTTTACATGACGCGTGACATTCAACTCGTCCCGTTAGCCCCTGCAGACCGAATATTCCATTCCAAATACTACGCAGAATTCAACCCCAATGGCAACCCCGCAATCCATGACTGGCACGTCAAAAGAGTTCCGCTGGATCAAATAAACCCCGAACTTCTCGACGATCGCCAAAAGCTTCTTGAAAGGTTCTGTGGCGGAGTATGGGCGGGAAATGGTAAGAGGCCGCTGCCCGTTATTATATCGCCCATGTAAACTTACACCTAATACTCACCATGTCAGGTTTTGCCCTCCAGAGGACCCTCCACACGTTGTTTGATCGGACTAGCGCGAGTGAGGACCAGATCTGGTTCTCTGCTGAGCTCCTACAGTCCGATTACAGGGTAGGCACTGATATCGCTGGCAACTTTGAAGTGCTCGACAGGTCAGACGGATCTATTCTCATCCGTGGCGGAGACAAAACGTCCTCTCGAGGCTTACGTTCTCTAGACGGCCTCATCGAGCTCACAGCTTGCATAGATCAAGAAAGAAATGTGGCAGAATTTGGGTTCAAGTCACTTTTCTTCCAAGGTTCCGGGGCCACGAGAAAATTTCCCATGCCCAAGCCGCTGGTGTGGATGCATGAGCAGTATGCCAAGGCCCTTTTGGCCTCGGGCGTGCAATATGTCTTGAAGTAGTGCATGTAATCCAATTGCTGTGAAGTGTTGTTCCGACACAGGCAGCCAAGGGTCCTTGTTCAATGATAGTAAGGATTATTATCCCCCGTCCAAGCGGTTCGGCCTCTGTAGTTGTATTCACAGCCTCCAATCCACTGAAACTGGCAATACCTCAAGAGTAGGGGAACAGTTTGCTGACCCTGTACTACACAGTAGGCCACTGAAGGAGTATTATCATGATTGCACGCGAAAATATATGGGCAAAACGGATCTGTATGGGAAACGTTATTTCTCCTCGCTAAACAAGCTAGCCAGGAAGACGGTATAGCTTTTCCCATAGTTCGGAGCCATATGCTGCGATCTGCATCAGCCGCTATCCTAAATGGAGGAAGGCTGGACCTTCACCTACAATGCTGATCATGTCATTCGGAGCGCATTTATCATGACGGGCCAAAGCCTTAATGGCTAGACGCAGCACGTTTTCCCGCTTAAGTCCAGACTCCAGTATTTCAATAACGGTGTAGCCCTCCTCAGCCCACCTGAACGCGGGTGCAGGGACATCTTTGCCTTGAGTTGGTTGGATTGAATGGTCATCAGGAAGTACAATGACCATGCCGGGGCCAATGCCCCTGCGAGTAAGGGGCGGAAGAAGGAAACATGCCGACTCGGTGTCCAGGGTGCGGTCACCGGATGAGGTGAGAAGATCAGTGCCCATTTGGGTCATGCTTGGTTCGTATAATGAGAAAGAATAACGACTCGTCCACAAAGGATACACAATGTGTCTTAAAAATAACGGTCCTCTGTGGCCCTTAAGTACATCTATAATAAGAGCTGATGACCCGTCTTTTCCCGCCTCTGGTGGGAACTCCGCTCCCCCTCTTCTTGTTCTGGCGGCTAGGCCTTCATTGTCGATGTGGGGGAGTTATATCCGGCATCCCACGCTTTATCGGAGAGAAACGAAGGCCAGCTACGTCCTTTTGCTCGTTGCCGAATTACGTCCATGGTAGTACTCAGCACGAAATTCGAGGAAAGTCTTGATGCGATCTGAACATCACCCGTGTGCCAATTGCACATAAACTCTTGGTATCGTATTCTAGGTACAGTCCTCCACTAGCCCCTCAACAACGCTATCCAAAGTTGGCGGACTCAGTCCCATCGCCGAGTAGTTTATCAACCGGTCAGAAAAGTTCGATCCAAACCCTTCTTGGAAAGTTAACGCGAAGAGAAGGCTGAACACGGCCATATGATCACCATCTTCCATGCCCTTCTTAGCCTCCTGAGCTGCCACCTTGGAATTCACCCTCACTACTTCCCAATCTGCTTGTACTGTCCTTGTCATCCGTATAGCACTCTCAAAAACGTCGCGCTGGCTGACTAAGAAGGAACTGAAATAGATCCAGGTATTCCGATGTTGTTGGATGAACTCGTCCGGCATACTGAAGAAGCGTGCAAGGCTGATGGCTATCCAGGAAAGAGTTGATGTATTGATCTTGACCTGGCCATCATCGTAGAATGTAACTTTGCGGTTCCGGATGTCAAGACCCCAGAAACCGTTGCGCACATTGAAATCGAAGAAGATCCCATTCACAACGCCAATCCATGAACTAACTCCGAGCTCCTCAATCAAAGCACGGAAAGGCTTCTGCATCTCTGCCAAACCTATCTCCCGGTTTAATCTCTCGTGTGTCGGATCCGACCCAAACTCAGTTGGAACGATGTACGGCACTCGGGCACCCGCCGCCGCCCGGATCAGTGAGATCTGCTTTGCGTAGCTCTCTGGGCTCAGAGCTATGATGAGAGCATCCTGACCGATAAGACAGCGAACAAGCGATGCCTCATCATCCAGATCGACCCTATTCACGGAGACTCTGTTGTCGAAGATCTTGCCATTCTCCGGTCTGGTTATGACGGAGATATGGTGGACCCCAGTATCAAGAAGAGCATTAAGTATGTGGGATCCTAAAGCGCCTGTCGCCCCAACGAGCACAATGCGACGCGATTGAATCTTGACCATCATGAAGTAGGAAACGAAGCAAAAGGAAAGCGGGCGTGAACGTAACCATAAAAAAGTTGGGACTCGTGCTTCGTTGTAATAATAACTGGATCGTTCTCAGCATGTTCGAATGCTTCCGGAACTCTGAAATTATAAGGTTTCACTAGCTTGGATCCCGTGTTCCTATTGTGGGCTCACCGGGGAATTACTCCACTGTCCGATCCTTCGGAAATCCGAGTATTTCAGGATAGCGTAATGGAGCTAGTACTTCTACACCCTCCAAAATATCGGTTGATGTGGGTACCCTTGTTTCGGAGGATAAACCACCCCAAGAGGGACTCAGGTGCTTGCAATTGAGCCGTACACACTACCGAAGGCACCGAAGCGTTGTAGTAATGTAAGCAGATATCAGGCATCCTTGCATTCAAATTCACTTTCAACAAACTAATTCAGAGAGTGTACCTGCTACCCGAGAAACATGGCACGAGGCAGTTGGGCATGTCTTTGGCAATGTGACACTTGAATCTCCAGCCCGTACAATGTCCGGCTAGGAGCACCTTGGGGTCCAATTTCTTTAAATCATCCATCGTCGCGTCGAGTTTAGCATCGTCCGCGTCCGCTAGATGATACCCACCCACGACGCAGTAGAGGGGGCTGCCGTTTCCCAGCCTGGCTGCGTCGCGACAGGTGTTCACGATGCCTGCGTGACCGCAACCGGTGAAAACAACAAGACCTTTATCTGAAATGCGACAAGATAAACGTTAGACCTGGCCTTGCGAACACCAAGTTGCTCGGAATGTGGGATCATACCTTTGAGATTACACATCACATATCGTTCTTCCATAATCAAGGTGTCTTCTTCCCATTGGGCAGTTGAGTCATTGAAGCGCAATCCTCCGTGGATGCCATCCTCGTAACTAGTTTTGCGAGGTATCTCACCCGAGACAAGGAAAAAGTCATCCAGCACAGTGTGGGGTTTGTCACTCTTCAGTAAAGTAGCTCCGGCTGTCTCTAGCTCTTCGAAAGAAGGATCAGCTTCGAGAGAGATCGGTTGGTCTGCCTGTACCCCTCGGAATGCAGGCCGATCTGGGTGCACGTCCACCACTACACGTTTTGAGCCAGGGTCGTTGAGCTTTATCAGCTCGATTGCCGTAGTCAGGCCACCTATCGTATTGGTTCAGCTCCACTTTCATGTAAAGTTTCAAGCCTATCCCTGCTTCCATACCGGAGTGGTCTCGGTGATAGTGAGAGAGAGTAATGTGCTCGATCTTGCCAACTTCGGTCCTAAGTCGGCGAGAATTTCTTTCCCACACCTCACCTTCGGGTCCAGCGTCGAAAAGAAGGTAGTGCTTCTGGGAGCCTTTCGTGGCAACCTGTGAAGTATGAGCTATTAACCCTTATTAAAGCGGTGTAAACCTACGAGAAGTAACGAGATACCGTGAGCCGCGCAACAAATGTTATCCATGCGCATTTCCATAGTCGCTCCACCTCGTTGGGTGCCCGACTTCAACGGCGTCAGTGGAATTCCCATAAACCGACTCGCTGCCTTTACGGCAGGATTGGGGCTTGGAGAGATTGGATCAAGTTCATCGTTGACGATGACATGGATCTCGAGTTCTTCAATCTCTGTGAGCATCATATTGCCTCTTCTTCAAACTTTGGCTGAAGGATGGATTAGGTATCATCACGCCCACTACAAATGGATGGGGCGTGCTCTGATTAAAAGGCCAAGGCGGCAGGTGTCATGATATCATGGCGATATCGCCGTATGCCTAGACGGCTCGGTAGCCGACCGTAGAAGCCAACAGTTTTCCGGTGGTTCGGAGGTCCGGCTGTTCCAACATGGCACTACCAGCGGTTAGAACTGCCAGATATGGATCTCGCCGGATGATTATTCTTGTTTAGGCACATGTACCACTATGGAATGATTGAGGTCATCTTGTAGAAAATACAAGATACCGGCGTATACACTGATTATCGCAGGAGAACGCATATCTGTTGATTTGCTTCGTACTTGTGATCTCGTCGAGCCAATTCCACCTGAAATTGGATACTGAGGCACATCTTCATCTCCCAGCATTTGAATCTAAGCCTCGGATCGCAGTCCTCACGGATATATGCAATGAGCCGGATGACGCACAGGCATTGACCCGGTTCCTACTATACGCCAACGAACTATCTATTCGTGCCCTCGTCTCGACAACTTCGACTTGGCAACGAAATTCTATTCACAAGGAAATAATATATCGAATCATCGATGCTTACGACGCCGTATGGGACAATCTCAATGTGTATGTACCTCTCTCCCGGCAGTTTCCATCCCCCTCTTATCTCCGCGAGGTGGTTTGCTCCGGAATTGCATCATACGGGATGGCTGGCATACGAGGACATTAAGTGAGGGAGCTCGTCTCCTCATTCAGGAAGCCGACGAGACTCCGGCTGATGGCTGTTTTTGGGTCCTTCTCTGGGCAGGTGCCAATGTTCTAGCCCAAGCTTTGTGGAGTGTCCAGAACTCTCGGAGTACGGAAAGATTATCGAAATTCGTCCGCAAGCTTCGTGTCTACTCTATTTCTGATCAGGACGACGCAGGGCCCTGGTAAAACAAATTTCCCGCGCATGATTTATATTGCGAGCATACATGCATTTAACATGTTTGGCCTAGCGGCATGGACTGGAATCAGTGGAGAGGAGCATTATGGCTTCGTCAGAGGCGGGCCTGATCACTCTACTCATCAATCATTCACCCTGGTCACAGCATACCTATACAATTCTAGACAACATATCCTCCCGTGGAAGCCATTCTGCCAAGCTAATTCAGCAGGGATTGAGTCAGTTAGATGACGAGCTTTCCCAACTCTTAGTAAAAAATAATATACAAATAGCAGTGCCCACAGGAATTCTCCCTGCACCTGAAGCAGAACCTGATAGTACCAAGTCAGTAGACTCTGTCCCAACTGCTGCGGCTGGAGCCTATCTAGCTGAGCCCAGATCAATTGATAGAGTTAGCGAACTCTCTGGACCTTAATAGCTTTACCTTACCTTTACCATGGATAGATGATTTGCCAGAGACGGGTATATTATTCTTATCTTCAAAATAGTATATCCCATTACACTAGCTATATAGTCTCAAATAGCATAGCATCACTATCCCTGTATCTATAAATACCACCATTTTCACCCAAAACAGGATCTAGACTCTGGAATTAAAGACAGAACAGTCCAAACAAATTCTTATTTCCCATCATCATCTCCCCCTTCTAACTACCCATAGCTCAAATTCCCCGGGTATGCACACATCATAATAAATCTAGATATATTGATGTCTCCTACAGACATGCAAAGATACCCTTTTTCAATTGCAGTTATCCCCCCCCCCCCCCTAGGAGTTCCGGGTCATGGTTAGGTACATTTAGTTCAAAGAATTTAGCACTAGGCCCTTGCCTCTTTTGGAGAAGATATTATGGTCGCCATCTGTTTTGTATGTGTAAAATAACATCAAATTTCTTAGTCGACGTCCTGAATTAGACCATCAGTAGTCATGAACACTCGGAATTGCTATGATGCCCCAATTGATTTTGCTATTTAATTCTTATATCTTCTGGCATCGTGTTTAATCAAGATTAAGATATGGGCAGTCGCTCGGATCCGCGTAGAAGATGCCGCCTAATCTCTTGATCAATTCACAGCGTTCCTCCATGTCCTTCGCATTAAAGATTATAGCTGTGCCCAGTTCACTAGCGCGGCCGTATGTGGTATTCAATACACAAACACCACCACCGTCTGGCCAGCCGAAGGAAACATACGGATCCGTATCCTCGCGTGTGCGAAAGAACATGAATTTCAACTCATCCCGATTCGTCTCGAACCATCTCGCGCCTAAGCGACGCACTAGGGAAAAATGAAATGTGTAAGCGTGACACCTCGACTAATACGTTGAAGGGGAAACGAACTACGATCACAATGTGCCTCCTCTTTGGCCTGCCAATCAGGGTCTGACTTGGATGGTCGTTCGGTGTTCCCGAATCGGTCGATCCCGAGGAAATCCAGTTCTACCCCAACGCACTCGCGAAGAACATAGAAGCCCCCCTTTGAGGGGAAACCGTAAACTGCAACCCCTGGACCCGATCCATATTCAGCCCAGAAGCGCGGCTCCGGCTCAGTGTGTACACAATCAATCCAGTTACTCGGCATGTCGAATGATGGCGCTGGTGCTGTTGCCGGCGCACGACGCATCTCGCTTACTTCACGTTGGGCCGGAGGCGCGTGCCGGCCAAGTAAAGAACTGAAATGATGAAACATGGAACTAGGACCACAAGCATAGATCGCATAGTAGTGGGGTCCAGGCTAACAGAGAAAATAATGTGATGAGCTGAGGTCCTGGAGATGTCAAAAGGCGACCGTCGGACACGCGGAACTTAAGAGCTTGGAGAGGCTGACCCTGATCAGAGCGGAAGGCCAGTGAGATGCGCATTGGGAATGTTTCAACCTGGTCACGATTAGGCTGAAGTGTTCATTAGACAAGCATCGCGGAAGACCTACCCTGTGGCCGGGAACACATCGGTTCGACCCGCCCGTCAAACATTAAGGGTCTGCGTTACCCGTTGATAGTTGGACACAGCCCGCCGATCACGGTCCCTGCTTCTTCCATAGTAGCATTGCCGAGAGCTACCTATCTAAAAGCCCTGAAACCTAGAAGGACCCACCCTTCATCGTAGATGTCCCGGTTCTAAATCCTAACTGATACGTATGACCACAACATAGTATGGAAAATAGGGCGTTCTGTCTGCTCAGCCATATTCAAGCCACATAGAATAGATATATAATATAGATTCCGACAGCTAAAAAATGAGAATAATTTTTATATATAATCAGACTGGCTACTCTGGTTAGTATATTCTAGTAATATTATATATTTCAAAGAGATCTACTTAAGACGCTGACAGCATTATTAATTTATTTAGAAAATGACTGGTTAGACTAAAAAAAATAATGGTAATTAATTTAGGACGTTTAGTGACCACTGACATACACCTTCTGTTGTATTTTTTACACTACTTTTCTAGTCCTGTTGTTGTTAAGCACAAACCCTGAGTCTGAAGGTGGTGTGCCAGTGGCCCTTGGAGCTAACATTGAACGTGGGAGACATAAGTTGATTATATATCGACTTCCGTTGTTGGCATTCACACAAACATGGGATCGCCATTTGAGGCGCCCCTATTGCGGCGTTTAGTAGTCGACCTCTAACTAAAATTCTATTATCGCAGGACTCCTACTGACTGAAGGGAGAAATAATCAGTTGGGGATTGGATCACTGCACAAGCCTTCCAGTCCGCGGATCAATCTCCTGTCGCCCTTTGAAGTCCACTCTCAAGGACTTGGTACCGCTTCGAACCAGCTGCTGAACCCAATCCGGAGCTCCTCGCTACATAACTTCAGTCATTATCCCATAGTAAGTGACAGATGTCGATTTAACTCACCAAGCCAGCAAAATAACGAAAGATTCCTGGGAGGTAGACTGTCTGGCTCAATCCACTGTCGAGTATATCCACAATGGCATCCACAACCGTGTCGACATGAAGAAGCGGCATCAGAAATTTGGACTGGTTCGTCTCGCCTTTAAAAAGCGGTGTTTTTGTGAAGCTCAGCACGGCAACCGAGGTGCGGACCTTCGGTGCATTCTGGACTCGAAGCTCTTGGGCAAGACACTAACTCAAATAAGCATGTTGTAGACCCAAGAAACAAGCAGAGAACAGTGGCCTAATATATCTACCTCATGAAATGCAATCAACCCAGCTTTCGATGCTGCGTAATCAGCTAGCCCCGGAGGCGGGATATAAGCGCTCATCGAGGCCACATTGAAAATATGTCCATGGTTTCGTCGGATCATAGCCGGTAGGAACTCCTTCGTCAGGAAAAATGGTGCCAGTAAATTTGTTTTTAGGGTTATGCTGTTGTCGCTGTAGGTACCCTCGACTACTGTACGCCCGCGTGATAGACCAGCATTGTTCACTGTTACCATATTTACTTATCAGTCAAGTAGACAATTGCTGAAGGGGGTCGCTGCTTAACTTGACTTACCTAGCACAGATGGATCACCAATTTCCGTTCTGATCTTTTCGCAAACACTTGCGATCTCTTTCTCATCACTCAGGTCGCATTTCTGATACAGAATTTGTTTGTTCTCTGCGTTGGGACTTTATTAGAAAGAGTGCTTGTGCGAATAAGGGCTGAAAACGAAATGTTATTCAGAGTACAAACCAGGATTGTAGGTCAATGGGATGATGTCCAACACAACAACGCGTGCGCCCAATGCAGCCAGACGCTGAGCGACCCCCGCTCCAATACCACCGCTTCCCCCCGTAACCACAACCAGCTCCTTGTTCCAGTCCCAAGTATGATCCGTAACCCAATTGTTCAAGCTCTTGGAAGTTAACCAATCGTTGAACCACATGAGGACACTGGTGGTTGCGGTAATATGGATCAGTTGCTGGTATGGGACAAGGAAAGCGAGTTTTGGCGCCAGGAATTGCAACAGCAATGTGGTAAATGGATGAAAGATCGTTATCCGTAACCCTACTATTATCGGATCGATGTAGAGACCTTCGCGGGGAAGGAAGCCGGTTTTAGCCATTGTCATACGCTTCTTCGAGGTTGAAAGAGAAACAGAAGTAACACTAACGGCTCAATCTTATAATTCACATGTAGACCTATACAGTCTTATTAGGCATGGGGTTGCGGAAATACTAATTAGGTAGACTGTCTATCTTACCCCGCGTGTCCGGGAAGCCTCCAGGTTCATGACTGTTCCGGGATGGACCCGAATGGGATCCATCTTCCTGGCGATTGCCCGTACCCCACAATGAACCGAGGCCTTCCGAATGAAATGATTAAACTAAGAGACAGAGCGATAGGTGTGATGCGGACGCGTACAGACATATGTCATCGTTGCGACCCTATGTCATATGAAGCTTCGGAACGGTGCCGGAGATCTATCTCTACGAAGCCTGGGGCATCTCGACAGTATATATCATAGCCGCCTCCCCATCTGCTCAATGAGACGGAACGGTTATTACATTTCCTCAGCCGATGGTAAACTGCATATGTAAAATGTATAAACTTCATAATATGCGCTCTCACGGTACGAGGATGCTGCGCAGGTTTTCCGAAAACTCTCCTAGTCACAAACAAGTGAATCAGGGAAATCCTCACGGTTGACGCGGAACCCTCTGTTAGAATTCCACATTATCAGTGTCGATGAGAGCAAGGAGGACCTTCCATACGGTACCTCGTCTAATTTTCCTCTTTGTGGTAGAACGCTGGCAGTCTTCTGGGTACTGAATTCCCACTCTGTAGAAACTTCGAGGCGCCAAAGACTATAACAACAAAGTATAGATGATCTATCAAGTTGATGAACTCATAAAAAACATTCTTTGATATTACGCTGATATATTCGGGAAACAAAAATTGTTGCCGTGGACAGACACAATACAATGAACAGCTCAGTGGACACCAAAACCAGGCAAACTGCATCAACAAATATGTTAAACCAATCACTGCCCCATTCTTCTCAAATTATTCCTGTGAGGTTACTTGGCCAATATACTGGATTGTGCACTGGCCAAGTAGGTTTTGACAAATTCGGGAGACAGGTTTCCAATGTAACCAAGCTGAGCGACCCCTAAGAACCCAATACAAAGAGCAAGGAATAAAGCCTTGTAGAATTTACGTCCCGATGGCTTTATAGTCTTCTGCTGACAGTTAATGATATGACATGTGTTTGTTTAATCCGATTAAATCGAATAAGAGTGGAATGAAAGAAAACAACGACCCAACCTACCTTAATATGCCAATCGGACCATGTGGGAAACAGACTCCTCCACCAGTAGTGACCTTGGGTCCACGGATAAGACATGGAGTTCCATCTCTTGTCATTGAGGTACCACTGCAAATTCAATTAGATGGTTATGAGGTTAACTGCAATGCATATCCCACTTACTGATACGCAACCCGCGTTCCAAACGCGTTTATTCAATGCGTCTTGCACCCAGTAGACGTAGTCGTGCTCGGCCTTGGGCTTTAGCTCTACTGATGAGGCATCACCGTCCAGAACGGGCTTTAGAACGCGAAGAGCGTAGTTAATCGAGCTAGTATTTATGATTAGATGCGAAGCAAAGGGGACAGGAAGAGGTGGGGGTTGAGATGTTGAACCTACTTCTCAGCGGCCATCATAGCTGATGTGTGTCCGGTTGCAGCATTAGGTCCGAGGAGCATGAAAAAGTTGGGAAAGCCACTAAGAACCGAGCAGTTGTAGGCAGCTGGGCCGTCGTACTTCGTCCAGTGCTGTGACACACTCTCGCCGTTTCGCCCGACCACATCCATGTATGGAATGAATTTGTTAGTCCTGAAGCCTGTCGCGAGAACAATCACGTTCGCCTGAATGAAGCCTTTGTCAGTCTCGAGGCCTTCTGCGGTGATTCTATCAATCTTCGCGTCGGTTAGTAGGACTTTGTCACTATGTAGGCTTTCGAGGTAGCCAGGGTCGAAGATTCGTCTCTTTCCAGTTCATGAAGTTAGCATAATTTTTCGATGCTTCGGGAACCCAAGTATAGAAGGAATATCAAACAAGGGAGGCTGTACTTTGCATCCTACATCAAAGTCCGGAATCAGGAGATCGTGGTATTTCTTTGGACCTGCCTCTCGCATGTATTTCTCTACTTTGATTCGCCGTTTCTCTCGAAGTCTGGCTGCTCCGTTCGTCATCGGAAACAAGCGAAAGTCATTTTCAGCGAGCAAGAAGATGTGAAATCGGTGCAGCTTCATGGCCAAAGGAACGTAGCGGAAGATCCATTGCAGAATCCGAGGATAGGAGAAGTTTGGAGCCGGAAAGATCCAGTGCTTCGTTCGAACGATCTGTGTGAGGGATTTGATCTTTCCCTCGTTGACCAAAGCTGGGACAATCTGGGCAGCAGTGCCTAAAGGACGATCAGTCTGCCTCTTCGGTGGCGATGAGAAATGAACAGAAATTGCATACAGCCATTGCCAATAACAACGACATTCTTCCCTTCGAGATCCACGCTATGATCCCATCGCGCCGAATGGAATATACTCCCGCCGAAGTCTGCAGCACCGGGGATATCACATGGTCGCGGCTCGACAAGCTGTCCAGTTGCTGCAAAGAGGATCTGGCACTCGTGCGTATATTCGAGTCCCGTTTCCAGTTCACGTAGGTATAGAGTCCAGCGATTCACGTCTTCCCGCCACACACTACGGACTACTTCCGTGCCAAAGGTCATCGCTCGACGAAGATTGTATGTGTCAACCACGTTGTCAACATACTCTTTGATCTCCGTGTTCGAAGGCATAAGCCTAGTCCAGTTTGGGTTCAGAGCAAAGGAAAAGCTGTACAATGCGCTAGGGACATCGCAGCTGCATCCTGCATTCGGGCAGTTAAAATAATGAAAAAAAAACGGCAATAATGGGTGAAAGAACCTGGATATGTGTTGATGTACCACGTTCCACCGCTCGTAGGATGTCGTTCGAAGAAATGGATGTCTTCAAGGTTGTACCATCGCTTCAGCGTTGCTCCCAGAGCCACAGCCGACAGGCCGGCACCAACACAGGCTATCTGGCTATAGGACGGAATATCGGGGGTCTTCGCTGTCATGTTGAGAAAGGTGTATGGTTTAGTCTATGCATGTATTTCTCGGTTGTTCTCGTCTTAATAATGCGTAGATTTAAGTATGAATCCTTTGAGAACAAGCGCGCTAGATGGGGTCCAGTTTTACCCGGAACTGGCCCGCAGGTATAGAATGATCCGAGGTAGAATATGACATGTGCAATATAGAATGCGGAGACATCCTTGGAAATGGGAAAGAATTGAGGAGTGCGGCGTGTGGGATTTGCTAGTAATCCAATTAGTCGTGTGTCAGAGGCCTCCACCAGTCTATTCATGGTTCGGGTCAGACCCGGATCATGGGGGTTTGGGGTAGATGATCATTTCCAGTAGTAGCCAGTGATGTAAGTGCATTCCGGAGATGCTCCGCTTGTGTTGATTGAAGAGTCATGGTGCTGCAACAGATGGGTCCGGCAACTACTCATCTTAAGGATTCATTACTCGAGGACTACTGATGTTCTGCTCCATACTATTCAGGAAGTCCACCCCGGCACAACAGAATTCAAAGTACCCAAAGGCAAATGACCCGCAAGCGCACCTTGCCTTCTGCGGAATACATTTTTCCAGCCATATCCAGGGATAAATCGATTCAAATGTCTACATAATCACTTAACAGAAACTAATACAAGTCCTTTAAGTGTCAAGGTAAAGTATCGGGAAAGTCAAGCCTCGTCAAGAACCCCAAATCCTCCAGGCTTTGCCCCATACTTCCGGCATATTCTTCCCAATTGAAGAATGGAGCTTGCGTCAAGTCGTGATCTGGGTGATCAAACGGGGTGTGGGGTTGAGCCATGTCATCTGAATGTAGCAAAGCAGTACCAGCAGTCAGACTGCCTGTTTGTTGCACATCTGCGGGTACCGCTTGCCGATACAAAGCTTTGAGGAACTGAAGCGTGTTGTTCGCTGAACGTTTAACTGTGGCCATCGACTCCAGAACACCCGTAGCTTCTCTCCATGCAGCCCTGGCTTTATCCATAGTAGACAGGTCTAGCATTGACGGGGAGGAGAAGGACATGAGGAGAACTATGGCGGCTGTTGACACATCTAAACTCGGGATGTCAGTACAGATGAGAACGTAGATGGTAATTGGAAAGAGAGGGCGGCATACAGAACCCGTTGTACCACCATGCATCGGTAGCGTTTGTGTGGTATGTCTCATGAACTAGGTGCGTCAGGTCAATGGCTGCCATTACGCAAGCAGTGGCGGATTTATTAGCAGTATACAAGTACAGAGCGCTCCGGGTTGTGGAACTGTGGGCTGTCCATTCTTCTCTAACGCCATTTCCACCTACAGAATCGCGCTTGCGTACTCTTTCCGAGTAGAGCTGAGTAAACATCGGGCGGTGGAGGAGCAGGTGAAGATGCAAGTATCTATACATGTAGGTGAGTAATAGCTACATATATAGTGATAGGACTTACGAGAAGCGCACCTCGCATGGAGAACGTTTTTTTGGTGGGAAATTGGCTGATTCAGTCTTCCATCTGAATTGAACTCCGGCGTGTCCGGGTCCCACTTAAGGCAGGAAGGTAAATTAGCCTCGAACAAAGTCAATTCTTTCTCGATTTCAAGGATTGTGTCCAAGCCCCCCAGGCTCTTCGTCGACGCCTGTGATCTATCCTGGCGTGTCTGACCGCACCAAGCGTAATATACATCGGATAGGATTCTGTCTAGGATGTTGTAGAGCTTGATAGCCTCAATATAATATGACAGCAGTGACGGCTCTCCCGGCGGATCTTGTCGAGACATCTCCGAATCTTCTGGTAGGGGGAGAGGAGTAAGATGGGTGGTCATGGTAGGTCGGCCATGCGTCATGCTAAGAGTGCTGTAGCATGGATGAGCACGATATAGTATATAACCTCTCATAGTGGCCGGACTTACACATCCATCATCACACAGCCGTGCCATGTTCTGCGTCGAATATCGGATTCTAAGGGTGACAGGCTAGCGAGAATATCCGACTCGTGGAGTCCCAAACCAAGAGCAACCCTGCAAGCAACACCAACGGAATGCCAACATCGGCTGGGATAAGGAGAGCTCTGCAAAAATAACGCTGTTATCAATAGAGTCTGAACTACCCCAAGGGTATTAATATCAAGAAAGTCAAGTCCAATGAAACGTTTGGACCTGAGAAAAAAGCAATTCGCAACGGACTCGACATCTTCAATGTCTGCAAATTGACAGCCTAGAGCAAAAATAGAATTCAAGGCAGCATGAAAGACTATTGATCTAGGGCCGGACTCCGCGCCGGAACCCAGTCCAATTCTCAAGTCTGTGAGAGGTACCTTAGCCTCATCTTCAGCACGCCAGAGATTTCGATAGGCTGCTTCAAACGCGGGGCGGTGAAAGAACGGATATAGGGTATATACATGATCGAAAAAGCATCGGACGAGGTGGTCTGCCAGCGTGCGCGGTGGGAGGGCAAAATCGTCGAACCGATACTCGGTGAAAGTATCCTGCAATGTGCTAGATGCAAGTTCGGCACTAGAAGCATTCGCTGGCCGCGAAGGCATTGACTGCCAGGCAAACCTCATGAGGGAAGCAGTGGATGAACTACCATAAAATTGGAATCGGGAGGACTGCCTCCTGCTTTCAGCATCCGGGGCTGTGATCTGCCCCATGCCCGTGACGTGGGCTTCCCCGTCGTCGAACAATGGCGACTCATAGGATCCTATATTTGGTGAGCACTCTATAGTCTGTTCTACTACCAGTCTGGACCGGCTGTTTTCGCTTTCACTGCGTGCAGCTAGCACCGGTTGCTCCGGAGGTATGCCAACCCCGAAACCTGTAGAGGTAGGGACCCGCTCATCGGGTTCCCCAAATGAGGTGGGGACAGCTATGGGAATGCTGCTCGTCTCCACTGGTATTTCGTCACCTCTGTTGAGCTCGCTATGAGGTTCCTGCTGGGCCCGAAGGCCCAGTGAACTGTCGATGGATACCCCGGCCGTCAAACAGGCATTTTCGAGTTCTCTAATTCGGAGATGAAGGGTCTGGAAGTATCTGCGTTGCATTAGTCCCTTCATGCACTATGCTCATGTTCCCGGCTGTTGGATGAACTCCTCATCAAACTTACTCGTCTCGGCTGGCCGTCCGGGCATTATCCGGGTTGTAGAGACACTGGTCTATCCGATAACATCGCCTCTTGCATGGCCCACAGATGGGCTTGTTCCCGTCGCAGCGTACCTTCTTTTCTCTACACGAGTCGCAGGCCAGGGCAACCTTGCGGCGTGCACCACTCCGTCGCTTTGGGTCACCCGATGCTTTCGGGGGCATTTTGTGAAGACGGGGGACACCCGGTTTGCTGTGGAGCAGGTCCTGGGAAGGCCTTATCAACAAAATCACAATCCGGCGGTCCAGGTCCTTAGGAAGACCACAATCACTGAGTTGCAAATTCCAACTTGGGGATGTGAAGAGTAGTGACTTGTTCATCCAGCCGGGAGTGTTCCGGTACCATTTATGGGTGGGGGCTTTTCAGAGGCCAATAGCAAATACAGTAGCTAAGATCGTCACTTCCTAGGCACGGCAGCATTCCGCGGGTTTTTCGGGTCCGTTCCAGACATGCGCTTCCTAAAATGGATAGGCTTCTGAGACTCGTGTGTTCTAGCAGAGTTGGGTGGGCTATGATGGGGTTAAATGAAACCCCCGAAAGCGTAAAAAATGCCTCTTCTCTTCTACTCTTGCACATGTTCGAACTCAAAAATTTACAGTGGTAGACAAAAAATCTAAGTAAAAATGAAACGCAATCTCGCAAAAGTACGCTTCTTTTTTACCTTCGTGCTCTGTGTCCTGCCACGGGCCGCTATAAAAATTCCGGCGGCTGTTATTCGTGCGTGCTTGAAAAGATTGCCATTAGGATCGTCCATATGGAACGGGTTTGCTGGCGCCCTCATGACCAACACACCCCCAGATCAGTTGCAGGCAGTTCTACCATCTACACTAGAGACATATGAAGCATGGGTGCTGTCTCATGGGGTTAGCCGTGCGGTGGATGTCTTAGCAGCGGACAATGGCACTCGTCTGCTTTGGATAGGGCCAAGTGTATCAAAGAAGGTACTTCTTTTCTTCCACGGTATGCTATTCTATCCCCAACGCCGCCCTCTCTACACAGGATTACTGAGTGTTGACTAGGTGGCGGATATGTGATGCCACTTTCTGAAGCGCACTTGGACTGGATGTCATATCTACGAACCGAAGCAGTCAACGCTGGTGTAGATATGAGTGTGTGTATTCTGGAATATGGTTTGTCTTGAATAACAAAAATGATGTTACGGACGTGCTGACAATCTAGACCTGATACCAACCAGCAAATATCCCAGACAGATGAAACAGGCAATTTCTGCATTACAGCGTCTACTGATTTCCGGGTATAGACCTTCTGATGTAGGTTGGCTTGCAGGTCGGTCTTCTTGGACCAAAGAGCTAATCTGAGTTCGCTTAGATCGTCTTCGGAGGAGACTCTGCTGGAGGCCACCTGTCGCTTTCCCTCATGTCGCATCTCCACTATCACTATCAAGCCGATGAGGAAGCAAAGAATGTCGTTCACCTACAGAGCCCTGTGAAAGGATGTTTCCTCGTGTCACCACTAGCATCGTTCGAGTTCAGTACACCGTCCTACCAAAGGTGGTTCAGTGCCGATGTTCTTACTCGCAAAAATGTAGACGAGTGGGGACGTTATCTTGTCGATGATTCTCCATGGCACGAAGAGATATCTGCTGGATATGGCTGGGGAATGGCCCTAGATGTTCCAGATAGCTGGTGGGACAGTTTCACGGCTGTAGATCATATTCTCGTGACCGGCGGCTACGAGGAGGTTTTCAGTGATCATATTCAACTGTTGGGCAAGGTCTTCAAAACAAATTGCAAGGGGAACGTGTCCTTGCACATGAGTAATGAAACCCACGACGGACCGTTTATGGACTTTGCGGCTAGAAGGCCGCCCAGTGCAACTACAAAGGCTATCAGAGACTTTGTTATAGCTTGTTTAAAGGACTAAATCAAGATATCATGTATGTCATGTATTTCCATTTCTTTTTGCTAGCTACGGGTATCTACACTCGTCGTTTGGCGTCCTCCAAAACCTGCAGTGATTCTCCTTCGCGCAAGATCAAATTAACATGGTCCTCGCTTCTTGGGGTTACCTTTACCGGAAACGGTTCATCGGTTTTGTGGTGATTAAGTCGTTTTGGGTTATATGGTCCCGCCTGCCAAATGTCAGAATTATTATTGCTTCCTCGTCAAGACCTTGTAGATAACTTACTGCTGCATAATCGTAACAGAATACTAGGCGTGCCACATTGATGAACAGTCCTCTGAAAGCAAGCCTGTAACCAACGCAGATCCGGCGGCCTCCGCCAAACTGCCACAGGCCGTGTGCAGCGTCAGTTTCATGTCCATCGAGCCACCGCTCAGGCTTGAACTCCTCTGGATCCTCGCATTCGTTGCATACTGGAACCTCGTTGATAACGAAGCCAACGCCTGCCGGAAAGTGATAGCCCTCAAACTCCATGTCAGAGGTAAGCACGTGATCAGGTGTCAGAATGAAAATGGGTCTCCACCGCAGGAGTTCCTTGATCATAGCGCAGATGTAGGGCATTTGCTCAAGGTCGTCGATCCCTGGCAGACGGAGACTCCCATCAGTGCAACACAATCGGTCGACCTCTTCCCTGGCCTTTTGGAAAGTCTTCGGATAGCAAAGAGCTGCCATAGCGAAAATGTTCAATACTTCTCGGGTCGTGTCGGATCCAGCCTCCAGAAGCTGCAGAGCAACATACATGGCCTCCTGGTCGTCCCCAGTAAACTTGGTGTCCGGGTGCAAAAGAACGTCGCGAACCCATGATGGGGGCGCTGTCCCTTGCTCTACCTGCTCTCTAACTGGAATCCACCATGATTTGTAGACCTCCTCGTTCCAATCACCGAGCTTCTCCCAGTGCTTCCTCCATGGCTGCAAAACGCGAGGGAGACGATCAAGTTCGGGAAACCAGTCAATCAGGCTGGATCCGATGCTGCCCACGAAATAGGTAACAACGTTTTGCAGGTCCTCAAGCTCTTTACCTGATTTTACCAGCCGCTCCCCGAGCGCAATGCGGTGGACCACAGAGTTTGCATACCGATAGTGATGACGGTACCATCTCTCCGGTTGGAACAGATATTCAGCAAGCAGTTGGGTACTTTCCAGTTCCTGCCATGATGCATACTGCTTTAACGCGGTGCCACTGAGCAGCGAGTGCATTACTCGTCGCTTCTCGGTCCATCCTGAGGGAGGAAGCAGAAGAGAGCGCCCGTTGCGGCTAACAATACCACTGGCGACGGGCATAGGGCTTCGGCCGTTTGTGAGCGTACCGCGTTTTGCGATGATTTCCAAGACCACGCGCTTGCTATTGAGCAAAATCCACGTTTTTGATCCGAGGTGCAGAGTAGTCATCTCGCCATATTTCGCAAGTTCATTGTTCTATGTTCAATCAGTTCTCCATAAATAATAATCATCGGGAATCCCACACACTATTATGTGATCTTGGTCATCACGAATCTTGCGAACGTCTAACAGGCTTCCGAATATCGGTATTCCTTTAGGGCCAGGAGGGAGCTTCCATCTCTTTCCATGGGGAGGTCTGCGTTTCCCAACCGGAGTAAAAATCTCTCGAATGACGAGGAATATTGTTGCTAGAAAAGCTGCTATAGTCACGAGAGTTGCCGAGAGTGGATTTTCTTTGGCAAGCCCGGAGATCTGGGCATGGATTGAATTGCTCATGGTGCCGTGCGTAGGTGGGTCAACCGAGCGTAGGGATATCAGATTCCTGGATTTATGAAAGACTCATCTACTCCAAATTTCATGCACCAAGTTTGCTGCTCCGTCCATCTTTATCCTGTCGACAATCCGGCTTCTACTACGAAGATCCGGCACTGTGATGTTGCAATTCGGAAAGAACCCGATGTGGCGACGCGCCTCCGGGTCCGTCCCGGTTCCCACATGGGTCCTTTATTAAAGTAGCGGGAGCATAAACTGTTTCGTGGAACGATTACCCCCGATGTCTTCTACTTTGACTCTTGTCATACTCACTCTGACCATATTTTTGTTCCAGCCTAGCCTTTGTGGCATCATGGGTGAGCACGTTCTCGATTGGCTCCGGGAAAAAGCCGTTGGATGGAGCCATACGCCGCCAGTGAACAAGATTGATACTCACCATCATTTCGTTCCACCTTTCTATGCACAGGGTAATGTTCCGTCGTTTGGATTCCATAAGCCCTCTCGGCTAACCCGACCACAGCCGTGGAAGAACAAGGGGGCGACCCCAGTGGCTGGCCTACTCCCAGCTGGAACGCTATAGCATCTAAACTGCTGATGAAGCGAATTGGTGTGAAGACTGCGGTGCTTTCGGTGACAGCTCCAGGTGCATGCATTGCCCCAGTGCGTCAATCACGCGCTCAACTGGCCCGAAGAATGAATGAATATGCGGCAGACCTGCGGGATAAAGACCCCGACCACTTCGCTTTTTTCGTATCTCTGCCCGATATACTTGATACCGAGGACGCGCTCGCAGAAATTGCTTATGGACTAGACACCCTGCATGCTGACGGTGTCACTCTGTTCACACGCTATGGTCATTCCAACACCTATCTCGGCCACAAGGACGTTGAACCCATCTGGGCGGAACTCAACAGACGAGGCTGTGTCGTCTTCGTCCATCCCACCCACCCTGTCGATATTCACCCCGTCAACCCGAAGCTACCCCAGCCGGCTATCGACTATCCTCACGAGACGACTCGCACAGCAATGGACATGATCACCAGCGGAACCAGACAGAAGTATCCGAACTGTAAAGTCATCCTGTCCCACGCAGGCGGGGCCTTGCCGTATCTCATCTCCCGGGTCACGACACCCATGAAGAGGGCACCAGACGTTGCAGTCTCATACCGCATAGGAACAACCCACGACAAGGCGATGGAAGCATTCCGCAGCTTCTACTTTGATCTGGCGTTGAGTTCGTCGCCGCAGGTTCTGGATATGCTGTTGAGGATGGTTCCACATGACCACATCTTGTATGGAAGCGATTTCCCTTATGCGCCAATCACGGCATACCCAGCGTTTTTGGGGGAGCTGGAAAACTATGAGATGGATCAGGAGTTGCGGGACATGATCAATTTCAAGAATGCCTGGAAACTCTTCCCGCGTTTGGCGAACAGGACTCGTCCGGCTATGTAGATAAGGGCTTAATTAATTCACATATGTTCTGCTCTTTTCTGTCTAATTTTGCTGCATCGTCATGATCAAGTAGCAGAACTGAATACCTGATTTACAATGTTGAAGGCTACTTAGATTGCTTTATTGGCCATTTTCGTCGTAGTAGTCATCAAACAAACGTAGAGAGTCTTGATTATGGCCACTTTGCATCATCCGGAGAGTCTCCGTAGCTGGTGCATCCAGTTATTACATTCTGAAAATCTTGGTTTCCTTCCCATAGGTGAAGAACATAGAGAAGGATAAATGCCTCGCCATCTGAGTAGTCTGATGGTTGTGGTCTGTGCTATTGGAGTCGACTATAGATAAAAATATTTTCCTGTGTATATTGACTGCAACAAAACCACCTAGTAACGTGACGAAGCGCTTACCCCTAGATCGAACGGTATATCGCGTCTAGTCAGCCACGCCACGGAGAGACATGTGTCCCAACATATGATTATGCGCATGATATTCATGAAGACGATTCTGAACCCACCTGTCGAGGAGCCTCGGAAAGGATGCCTCGGCTTTGGTGCTGAATGTGGTCACGAATCTCCTGGATTGGCTCACTCTAGTTGTGTTAGTGGTAACATATCGAAAGAGGTCAACATTGCGGGGCTGTCCAATGCTAGTAGAAAGAAAGTTGAAGTTTAACAGTTCATCAAAGCTATAACTCAAGGGGGCTGAAACATAAATATGCTTCGTGCCTAGGCTGACTACTTGTGCTGAGATTGATTTGGCATACAGAACATCAACCATCGTATCATAATGTGTACAAGAAATCTTCATTATTCGTGTTGCACTTCAGATACTAAGGGAAATCTAAGCTTATAGAGACTTGGGAAGATTAAGGATGCCCCGAGAGCAGCAATCACTATAGAAACAGAATGACTATCGATAGTAGCTTGTCCGGATGCCTTGCATAAGTAAACATGCTTACCGCCCTGCTGCAGCTGATGCTGGGTCGGGGGCAAACAAAGACGGAATGTTGCAGCAGTCGCCGCCCCCTGTCTTCGAAGTCAAGAGAGAGACAACCCATCTCTTTCTGCAATCATGAACCTCAACTCCTCAATTAGGTTGAAATTGCGTTGTAATCTCAGGAATTCATTGCCATGCTTGAGTTATGCGTCACAAGCTTGTATGTCTCGTTTCCCTTTTTCTCTCATGAGAACAGTGACTTCACAAGGGCTTCCTCCAAGACAGTTCCCTACTTCGGGCTATGTAGCCTTAGATCCCCTAGATAAGATTGAGGAAGAGGCCTTACCATTATATAAACCGGAGAATTACTATCCCGTTTTCATTGGCGAAGTTTTCGGTTCCAGATACCAAGTGGTTTCAAAGCTAGGATATGGCACTTCCTCTACTGTTTGGCTTTGCCGGGATCTTCGGTAACGTATTCCTGAAATGAGTGCATAATCATGTTTTTAATTGGTCATAGGGAGGGGAATCACTATACCCTCAAAATGTGTGCAAAGGGTGAAAGCTCTGATCGAGAAATCGCTATCTCGAAACATTTGAAGCAATCCGTTATTGAAGGTAGGAAAAGGATGCTCCGCATGGTCCTTGACTCCTTTGATGTTGTTGGACCAGAAGGGAGATCATTTGTCTGCCTGGTATACCAGCCTCTTGGAATGAGTTTCACTGAGTTTCAAGAATTGCTTCCCGATCAAAGGTTCTCGAAGGACCTCATCCAAAGAAGTACCCAGCTTATACTAATAGCATTATCTTCTATGCATGAAAGCGGTGTTGTCCATACCGGTAAGGATACAACAACAAGCGGCAGGAAGATAACTGTAGATAACGTGGGCTGATGAATGCAGATATCTCGCCGAACAATATACTTCAAGGAGTGAAAGATAGCTCTATATTATCCAAGATTGAGGAAGATGAAATCAAACGCCCAATTGCTAGGAAGATTCTGAGCGACCGGAGTATTTACTACTCCCGCCCCATGCCTTTATGTTCAGGTCTTCCTGTGGTCTCCGATCTAGGTGAAGCTAGATTTGGAAAAGAAAAGTACTATGGTGACATCATGCCGGGAATTTATCGCGCACCAGAAGTCATTCTAGGTATGGAATGGGATTACAAGGTTGATATTTGGTCAATTGGCAACATGGTATGTGCTATATATGACTTTAAGACAATCGGAGTAAGCAGCCCTAGCTAATGTATAGGAAAGGTTTGGGATCTTGCAGAGGACCATCATCTTTTCTTTGCCAAAGAAAACGGGACTCTCAGCGATGAGCAGCATCTGGCTGAGATGGTATCTCTAATGGGCCCTCCACCCCCAGAATTCTTAATGAGGAGTAAGCGATGCGAAAGATTCTGGGATGCGGAAGGTATGCCGCTTAGCATTGATTAACTACTATCGATGTGCTTGCTAACAGTAGACTTAGGTAATTGGAAAGGCTCTATATGTATACCAGAGCAGACTTTTGGGCTCAGAGAGCTGCATTTTTCTGGGGAGGACAAGGTTCTTTTTCTAAACTTCTTGCGCAGGATATTTCGATGGCTTCCGGAAGAACGTCCGACAGCAGAAGAGCTTGCGTATGATGATTTTCTAATGCAGCCGATCATGGTAAAAGAAATCAATAAGTTGGGGGCTCAAATTGGGTAGGAATTGGAGATAGTGTGTGTCTACTCATTGAAAATGAATATCTTATTTCAACGCTCTGACCACTACAATCAATCTGACATGATACTACTAACCCCGATTTAGTTATTGTGGGCTGACGGAGAAAATATTGCGGTATCTTGTTCAATGCTCTATGCTCAGTTTGCAAACTATAAAGATATTCAGTTTTATGTAGGATATCATACTCTGCATGGTAATAGGAAAACCCACGGTTGCTGATGGAAAGCGGGTATCCCACAGCCAGATAAAGATGAGCACCGCGTTGGTCAGGAAAAAAGAGATTCCGTCGCGCCCGCTTGCTACCGATACTGGCTAGCACATTACTAACCATCACCTTTCGTTACATACATCTTTTAGAAGATCATCATCATGCCCCAACCACAAACATACCGTAGAAGGGTTTCTGTCGCTTGTGAAGTTTGCCGAAGGAAACGAATCAAGGTAAGCGGACTCGTTGGCAATTCATTACCGTCGAATGGTACCAAATTTATGAGCTTTAACGTTCCGATATCGAGATAGTGTGATGGTGCCAAACCATCTTGTGCTGGATGCTTGAGCTACGCGGAAAACTGCGAGTATAAATATGATAAGGAGAAACGCAAGTAAGCGTATCGGTCACATTGCTTGTTAGTCGGTCGTTGACAAGAACAAGGCCACCAACCAAGCAGCACATACAAGCTCTGAATGCTCGTATAGAATTTTTGGAGTCGCAATTAGCAAAATATCAGCCCCAAGAAAGAGATATAATTAGCAAAACAACTCACCAGTTGCAGAGTCAGGATGGCAAAGGGGGAAATAAAGATATTTCTGGGGCTCAGTCTCAATCCCTAGACCCTATTGATGATATCACCGATGTCCTTGGGGGGCTAAGCATCGGAGAAGGCGACCAGCTGCGGTACTTTGGCTCGCGCAGCAATCTCAGCTTTATGGAACGACAGGGAGCAAAGCCCTTTACCTTTCGCGAAAACCCAAACCAGCCATTACAGCCAATTGATGTAGATCCCGAAATCCGAGAAGAACTCCTTGATATTTACTGGAATTGGCAGAATCCTTGGCAGTATCTGGTTTATCAAAAAGTGTTTCTCAGGAGTCTGGAAGCTCGATTGGATGATGGATACTGTACCCCGTTGCTTCTTTACTCCATGCTGGCCTTGGCAGCGAGATACTCTGATAATCCTAAAGTCCGCACTGTCCCTAATGATTCGAGTACTGCAGGTGACGATTTCTCCAAAAAGGCCCAGGCTCTCCTGTTCGAAGAAATTAAGGCCCCACGAGTTTCAACAGTAGTGGCCGCCGCACATCTATCTCTGTTTGAAATGGCCAAGGACAATGAACCATCTGGTTGGATTTACCTCGGTATGTGTACCTTTCCAATAAAACCTTGATAGCCCCTTCAGGTGATAGCTCACTACCCGCACAGGGATTGCCATTCGAATGGCATATAACCTAGGGCTACATATCAACCCACATTTGTGGGTTTTGTCGGGATCCATGACTCCTGACGAAGTTGAGCTGCGGTCAATCGCATGGTGGGGTTGTTACATGATTGAAAAGTAAGCGTGCAGTTCACTTATATGTAATTAAAAACCTTTTCGCTACATACTAACCGACAAGATTGTTTACTGTCGGCATTGGTCGACCAAGTATCATTATTGAGCGCGATATACAGGTCGATTTTCCATCCAATTTGGCTGTTGTTGAATATGGCCAATGGAATGGACACTCGACACCCTCAGTTAGCCATCCATATCTATCGTACTCTATCACTACTTTCATCAATACATGTCAACTTTTGCGATTAGCAGCTCGTCCACTAGATGACATGTAAGTTATGGCCATCTTTTGGTTATTTCTTTCAAGCTGCTTATGTTCGCCTATAGATATACCCCTGAATATTTCGTTTCCTTGACCGAAAAGAAAAGCATAATGACGAAGACTGATATAGCATTAACTGCTTTCTATAACAACTTGCCAAGTGTTCTTCGCCTGCCACCAACTTCTTCAAGACCCTTGCCGCCGCATATGTATTGTTTCCAGTACGTGCCATGACCTATGCTAGAATCTGTCAAAACCTGTTGACTCTCTTTCAGCATGCACTTTTACACATTGGTTATTCTTCTCCATCGACCATTCATCGTTATACCCAGCGATAACGGCCCTTCCCTTCGCTCCATTAATGAATCCGTCTCTACAAGCTTGGAAACATGCATAAAAGCCGCAGAAAAAGTAACAGTTCTGTTTAGGGCTTACGCTAAGTTCTTTACCTTGGTGAAGACCACACCACTCATCGCTTATACTCACTTACCGTATCTTGTACTAATTCTCTTGACTAACCTAAAAGAGAAAAGTATCGATATCCGTAGTTGATCCTGCCCGTACCGCTGCATTCATCCATCTTTTCAACATGACCTCCAAAGACCGTCAAATTAGGGATAAATCTAGACAGCTTTTCCTGGAGACGCTTCATTACTTGGAGCAAATGAGCATCGCCTGGGGATGGGCAAAGCGTTCAGTACGGGCACTTGGCCTGGTTTCACGGAGATGGAGGGTCCATGATATTCTGAAGAACAGGGACCAGTCGCCTGTTGAATCCTCTCTTGTGTATCAAGACGAACGCCAAAATCATGATTCGGAGATTGCAGGTGGCTTTGATGCATGGCTGCAGGACCCACTAGACTTACCCTTAACATTTCAGGCTGCAGAAGACAATAGCTCTTTACTTGGGGGGAGCTTGCAGCTGGATCAGGAGTTGTTCAATACCCACGATCTTCTATCCGCAGGTGATGATGCATTCTTGTCGGGTCCTTTTCCCGATACCAACTGGGAGCATGAATTCGATCTATGACATTGCAAGGAGGTCTCTAGGGTTTATTTTTGGAAACTATGAATCAAGAGAAGAGAGCATTGGGTGGCATGCGTCTCGAAACTTGTTTGAAAATGATGTGTTGCTTTGAAGATAACATTACTTTATCCACAGTATTCTTGCTGCGTGTATTGTACATGTGATTGTCTTTCTGATATATAATGCCGTCTGCGCAAACCGTATTTCTGTGCTCATAACTGGATGAAAGGAGGCAGACTTTGATTGGTTCAGGTTTGCCACCCCAGCGGAAGCTTCAAAATAATCTTGATTGCCTTTATATTTCAATTTCTTCCTGGAATCCCTTCATCGGTCTCGCAGCTCCACCCTAATTAAAGTAATCCCTATTTGTTATAATCTTCCTTCCCTCCAAATCATAACTCTACCCATACCCTTATAAATCCTGTCTCACTATCACCCCTGTATCCAACAAAGACCGAACGAACGCAGTCACCGCGCGAACAGCAATCTTTGCAATTCTATCGCCATCTCCCACGTCAGGATCAAAAGAACAGACAGTAAGAGACCTAGGTGTGCTCCTCGTAGGCACCAAATCCATACAACCCAACAAGTCCCACTCAAACAACCCCCCCGGGGAAGGGTAATCATTAACCTGCCCATAAGTCTCATCCAACACATCCAAATCTAAATGCACCAAAGCCGGATCATACGACTTGAACTCCAACTCCCTGCGCAACTCACCCACAAAGTCGACCTTACGCTCGCTATCGCCCCATAAAGCACTCATCCCTGCATCAATCACCCGCTGGCGTTGAACATCACTCTGATCCCGTAGCCCACAGTACAGGAAGTTGCCATCATACGTGAAAGGTTTAAATCCAGGAACCGTCCTCATAAGAGCCTTCCAGCTCTCGCCACGGAGCATGGAAAGCCCCATCGCGTCGAGATAGCCGTTCTCGTTGACATCAGGTGAATCGAGATCGTCGTGAGCATCGAAGTAGATGAATTTTAGATTGTTGGTGTTCAATCCGCAGGCTACCGCTGCGCTTGCCATGCAGTTGCCTGATAGGATAATGGGGAAGGTGTTGTTTTCAACGGCATGAGTGACGGCCGTAGACGTGCGTCGGAGGAGCTCGAAGCTACGGCCGATTTCGCCTTCGAATTTGTCGACTGGATCGAGTTCGATCAAATTGACTTCAACACCTAGGCCTTCGAGGGCTTGGATGATGCCGTGTTGGCGGATGCGGTGGGGTCCGTTGCCGACTCGATGGTCGCGGATGCCGACGTGGTAGGGTGAGAAGATGATGGTGATTGCGTTGGCGGGCATTATGGTGATGCTTCAATTATATTGTTGTTTATCGAGGACAAGAAGTGTGTGGGAGAAGTAGTTTTGAGTTTTGAAATATTAATTGAAGAGCTGAAGCCCTATATAGTGATGGGTGCTGGATGCATGTGGGGGAAGGACTTTGTATCGGGACTGTAACTTTGAATGGGGATGTTTAGCTGTAAATTTGATACACACAAATTACCAGTAATCCAGTCTACTTTTACACTATCAATAAAAAAACTATCAAGATAAAAGAAGAGGTTTCCCTAATCCATGATAGTGCAAGACTGGAGCACTTAATGAAATTTAATAAATCAAAGAGTCATTTGAACGGTTCTGATGTTTTGGGGATTGTATAGTGTCCTTGTCTTTCCTGTACACCTACTCTTGTAAAACTGTATATTTCATGTAAAGCATGATTTCAGGATGTTGACCCACACGGAAAGGCATTATCCAGGCGAGATGCATCAAAGTCGTCCTTCACTAACAACTCCAGAAACAATCTTCACGGCTGGTATGCGAACAATATTGGATCATCTGATTAGAATACCATTGGTGAAACTCTATGTACTGAAAATAAGGGACCCCAAAATAGTTAAAGTTGTCCCAGTGAACGCTCCACGCCTAATTATATAGTGAGAAGGAAGATAGACATCCTATCTTGCGGACATATGCACTAATTTATTACTCTGCTCGTGCTATTTCTTATGTATCATGTAACATTCAGTATTCTTGTCATTGAATACCATCACTAGTAGTATTAATCCGATCAGTATACCCATCGCTGTAATAGGCTGTAGCATAATCATGACAATCATGCCCCTAGATCCACGCCAAATAATGCAAAATTCGCTAGGTTCTTTGTGCTTAAAATACTACTGCCACTACAGACTAGCCCCTAGATAGCACGGAATAATACTCAGTTACCTTCCACCTAGAATCCTTCAACTCTAGCCATCTGATACATCTTCGATTCTAGGACCCTGACCATCTTTGTCTTCAAGATTTACGACGCCAATCGCCTCCACATAGGCAGTTGGCAGTTCATCCCCCAATGGCTAGTCAAGTTTTGCCCTTGATGTCAGGCGTTTCGAGTATTAAGTTTGCTCAAAGTAAGACATGATATAGATTATGATCATTCCACCAGGTTGGACTTCCGATCCCAGCGGTCGCAGGTAATTTAATTGCCGTCGAGGCTGGTGAACGTAAAGTTCCCCTGGGCAATTTGAGGTGCGAGAATAGCATCAGTCCAGAACAGTTGCCGCATGTACCTCTTCATGGCCTGTGTGCAAAACGTCAGTCAGGATCCTTTCTGTATAGTTGACCAAGTCACCGCTAAATGACGACACTGATTTGGCAACAAGAAATGTCTGCCCACTAGATCCTTGAGAATTGCTAGCATTTTCTATTTCGTTCCATACAATATATTACTTCCTATGTTTCCGAGGTCTTCCCGGGATCTAGCTATCTTTCCCTTTGATCTCAGTCGTTCTTGCTCTTCTCTCTATGTATGTATTCTCCAGCTTTTCTGGGTTCACCCCCTAAACCGAAGTTCTTGAAGCGACCTTTCAATTGACAATATAATATCATGAATGTCAGCCTCGCTACTATAGGTGTATTGTGAGGTTTCTCGGCGTATCAGACTGGGGCGATTTCGTCTCACATCCGACATTCTTGGAGCCAGATCAAGGGCTGGGCGGCTTATTGGTATCGGAGGCGGACTAATATCTGGATACTCCGCGTCTCTTGAGGCATGCTTTCGCATTTCATCTTGATCATCTGCACGACGGGCACCTAGGCCGACAGGGCTCAGGGTGGACTGAACATGACTTGGTAGATGGTGGTCTATGTGCGACATTTGTATATTCAGCAATTGAGCCTCAATACCTCGTCCTATGCCGATTGAAAGAAGGCACAGTGCTGTTCTTTCCATATATTTCAATAGGGGGTTGTCGAAGAAGACAATATCCGATTTCCGGCGTACGGCTGAATCATGATCAAATAGAAAGGGAAACGAGCTGCCGAATTCAGTCAAGCGACTATGAAGGTCTTTGCGCAGGTGCTCACAGTCAGGAGCATTATTATTTTCCAGGAAGAAAAACTCGTCTAACAGGCACTGGAGATACCCGCAAGCGTCGTTCATCGTTTCGGAATTCAGACTGGATAGTCTTCGTACGGTTTGAAGGCACTTGTCCCAATCCAGCGAATGTCGGAAAATTTGCTCGAGTACGGACCTCTCCAATTGATAATCTTCTAGACCTTTGATGCTTTCAAAAAGTATACCAAGATCATCAAGCAAAGAAGGGTTGCGAATATGCCTTGACATCTCCATCCTTCTTGTGATAAACGGTTTACTCTGCTGAAGGAACTGTAACCTGTCGATGTTATTCCAGGTCCGCATCTCGGGCACATCCCTTGGCTCTTGAACCGGCATTTGGAGTTGACAGGATGCTGGTAAAACCTGAACGCTCTCTAGAAGCATCCAATTCAGATATGGCCGAGTCTTAATCAAGTGCGGATATTCTGAGGATATTGTCGATGCGAGAAAACTAGATCTCCTCGAGAATTGTTTGTAGGCTATCTGGACAGCCTCAACAGAGCATTCCGTGTTGAAAAAGTTGGCAAGCATGTATGCATTCGCAAATTCCGTCAACAGAAACTGCTCATCATCCAGTTGATCTTCGTCCAGCTGAAAGAAGGAGTCGCCAGCTTGAGAGATGTCTTCCAGTTGGGCAAATTCTTCAAAATATCCGTTGAAGACGTAATGCCCTCCCTGGTCGCCAAGCATGGGCAATATAGATCGTAAGATACGATGTGCATCCCAGAAGAAGCCTTTTTGGAGCAAAAGGCGATACCAGGCACCCACGTAGGGGCAATTGCTTTGTGGCAGGCCTGTAGAATATAAGTCCCAAGTCCATCGTCCCCATATCTCATCAGTATTGTTCCATTATCCGTAATAGACCAGTTCAAGAGGTCCTGGAAGGCTCTTGTTTCAAGAAAGTTCGAATGTGCAGCTACGTATGCAATGATGCGCAAGCAGATCTCTATCATTTGAATCTACATAACGGGGAACAGTCAGCAAACCCCAACAACAAGTCTCTGGAAAAGAAAGGAGTGGGAGGGACAAGGAAACCTACCTTGATCCCGATCCCTATAGAAGGCCTAGTGTCTGTTAAATCACGATCCTCAATCAAGTAATAGCCCAGCGCTGCTCTTGCCATGTTCAACGCCGGTATTAATGCTCCTCTAGTATGCATTTCTGCAAGAGCTCTGATAGCCTTCAACAGGATAACTTCCTCTTCTGTGTATTTAGCAAGAGTGTCTGTCAGGCGACTTGCGATAAATTGACGCAGCTGACCGAAGCTCCCTTGCTCCAACAGAAGGTCCGCGTATTCGGCCGCCACGGGGAAGAAATCAACATGGGGGGCTAGGCGTTCTTCGAAGAGACGGATACCTTTCGTAAAATGCCCCAATCGATTTAGTCGCGCTAGGATTCCGAGCTCATGCTCTAGATCTAAAGCAATGTCCAGATCTAGGTGTGCGGTAATGTCTGTGGCATTATTGTCGGGCCAATTCAGCCAGTCCTCCTCGTTGGGAGAGTTAGACACACCACTAGACCGTGCAAGTTTCGGCGAATATTCATACGCGTCCGGATATTCATGGTTGCTGGGATCAGGCGACGGCAAGTCTTGTACGCCAGCTAATTCCTCGGGCAATTCTTCTTGGCCTGAAGCATAAGGTCTTGATCCCATGGCAGTATCGGGGGTTATGATTTCTGATTATGTGGGAGCATAGAGTGTGTGATTCATCTCTGCTTCAGCTGAAGTTCTTATGGGGCGGCTTTGCCAAGACCACTGAATTGAGATATATCACAAATGTGAGAGCTCAGTTCGAGCCCTACATCACAGCCACAGTCAAAGAAAAAGAAATAACGGAGAACAGGAATAAGGGAACAGAGATTTAAACCCAGGTCGGGCGCTCCGTCCTTCCCGCCAAGTAGTGTCCACATCGCCTTCGACTCAACATTGGGATGAACCATCAGATGCAATGCATGCCAGGCGATCCACCACTCAACCCGAGCCATTCAGACATGTCGATGTGTGTCGAAAACAGTCAAGTGCAAGCCTTGGGAGCCTCAAATTTGGCAAACTTCGTGTTGATTGTTGCTGGCTGAAATCCAAGACACAGTGGGGTAAGCTCCGTGGGCAGGATACAGGGCTGATATATTTGAATCTCACATTCCATCAACCCGCCGATTGTAAGCTCTCACAAGCCACCATTACCATCAACTTCCATGAGGTAGAGTACTTTTCCGGTAGGAATCCCAAATCAGATCTCGAAATCACTGAATTCTTTGGGCCACAAATCCTCACTGGAGAGAAACGAGAGCGCCAAGTGTCTGAGACCCTCGAAGCCATCCCCAGAGTGGGGGCCGCCAATGTAAATGTTGAAGGCATTGGTGTCTCACGAAAGTCCCAGGTCACTTACGCATCACGGTGGAAATTCACAGGGTCGCGATTTACCGATAACTCTTTAGACGACTCATATGTTGCAAGTAGTCGATATCGACAGCTCATCTGGCACCTGGAAGAGAACGATTTGGACCGTCAGGCTGTCCACCACTCAATCGTGCACACCGCGCTTGCCTTTCACCACGATACCTTTCCATTCTATATCGTCCTGCAGATCGAGGTCAAGATGCAGCGACGGCATCACCGAGCCTTACAACACCTTGTTTGTCCGCCGCGGGGCAGAAATGCGCCTTTCCGAACTACGATTGAGCCCGTCGGCTCCAAAACAGACGATCCAAAATTTGCCAGGTTAGTTAGGAATATAGACCAAGCGATGGTGAGAAAGAATCTACATCCAGTGGCAGGTAAGTCCCTCTAGAGACCGGCAACTCACTGAAATCATTCACTAAGATAACTACAGAAGTATCAGACCCGAAGCCTGCTGCCACGTCTGATGACTCAGAAATCAATCATCCTGACGAGAACTATAGCATCAATGATGGTCCAAGTGGACCCTTGCTTGGAGTCGCGCAAAGACTGTGTGGAAATAAACCATCAGGCATATCGGCGTTACGAAGGAGAAGCTCGTCCGCATCCACAAAGTCCGTAAACAGCTCTAGTAAAACTACTCTTGTCGGATATGAGACGATGAGCCAGCCTGATGACCAGGCAGGAATAAGACCTGCCGACTGTGAGGCTGATGATCTATTAATCGTCAATTCTACCAAACAGACCATCAAGGCCACTACGATCCATAAACATGCATCCATTGTGGCACTCTCCGTGGTGCGACATGCCTCGCAGCTTTTGGCGGCTTTAATAGCATGGCTAATCTTGGGGTTGAATGAACTGCACACATGGCTTGCTCGAACTGGAAAGGGGCTTGAACGGGACTGATGTCGCATCGTGATGATGCCATTGTACTACTGTCAACATTACTTAATTGAGTTTCGGAGCTACATGCTATCTTTAGGGACAAGGGATGGAAAATATAGCAAGATCTTGTTCCACGAAGAAATCGTCCTCTCCTCTAGAAACCAGCCGATGAATTCAGACACATAGTTATTACATAGCAGTTTCGCATGGCTGGAGCACTCCCGCTTCCTCTTTCCTAGAAATATCGGTACTTCATACGTCCATAAATCTGGCGGAACAGACACCCCAGTTCTCCCCACTTAGGGTTGCATTTGTGTTAGTACTATCTCTTAAACAGGTAATATAGACATCGTTCTCCAACTCCAAATGATCCTTCTAGCACAAACGGTGCCCTAGTATTCATTCGGGTTAAGTCCACGAGTCTTCCATCCATGTGGTCGACAAAAGGACAAGCACGAGCGATATGAATACCTATATAGAATCCAACTTGAAGCCTAGAAGTGTTATGCTGGAGTGGCATGTGCTAATGATAAATACTGTATTAGTTGCCATCTACTCCTCTGACGATGCTGCTGCTCCACCAAAGTCAATCCTACAATAGCACTAGTAGTATAGGAAGGTCAACCACAAGGCCCAACAATCTAGGTGATCGATCTGCTTCAATCAGATGGTTTTTATCCCGGCGTTTGCTGCTGAATCGGTAATGTGGCGAATATACATCATGCATATGCACGATTTATTTTTGACTGGTAACTGAAAGCTATGTGACTAGCTGCATTAGACGCATAGTCCGAGAAGCCGTATATTTACCAGCCAATCACGCTCCGGTCTTTAGATGGCTGCACGTCATTCTGCGCCGAGTTGTATCCAACTGTTTTCCGCAGTATGCGCCGGTCAAATCGAGTAGGATGTAGATGCCAGAAGTACACGGAGTACTAGCATTTCTATATTCGGGCCGCTGGGAATCAGGTACTAGGTCAAACTTAAGCTCGGCCCGGTTACGCAACAACCGGGCCGAGCATATCATCGAATGGCATCGCGAGGTGGAAGCCCGTACGCAAATATGGCAAAGTTCGGAAGTGCTAGGAAACAGAGAACAAAGAAACTCAGCCTGGTGGCGGGGATATTTAGGTTTGCGCTTATGCATCTGGAGACGTCCCGAGCAGGCCTGAGACATATGCCAGGAATGGAGGGAATAGACTGTAGGGCTGGTCGTTTAAAATGGAAAAGAAAGGGCGCCTAGCTCGTATCGTTGTTAGATGGCTTTTCTCGAACTCTATCTCGGATCTTGCGCATACGATATATTTTAGCCAACCGGGGCAGACAATTTGTCGCGAGGGTCGTACTATTTCTGTTTCAAATTGAGAAGATAAGCGAGATTGGAACTAGCACACAATATGCTCTCTGTATACCGGTAGATGACTCAATCGCCCATCCATTCTTTTCGATAAATCCTTTGAAGGCTTGCCTCCTCCTTATGTAGACATTAGCGATTCCAGATGGTAACCCCTAAAAGCTACAAGCGGCCCTATATCGGCCCGACCAGAACAACAACCCGATCGACCTTCTCGATAGGTCCACCAGAAATATACCTAGCGACGGTCCCTCCAATTGACTCGCAGCCTTAACTAGTGGCTGATAATTAACTCCCCCGCATTCGATCATAGCTCCTCCCCGCATCGGCCTTACAATCCGTAAACCTGGGGAAAATGTGGAGAACGCGCGGTGCTATACATCATTGCGTCGACGTTGGTCCAATCTGGACTCGTATTCCTGATTTCCGGTAACAACTGAGCAAATGCCGCATGCTATCAGCTGAGCTGGTGTGTGAGAAATGTGGCTTGCCACGCATCGCGGGGGCAAGCGCGGCGCTTTGTGTTGCGTTGTTAGGAGGGTTTTCATTGATATATGGTTGCAGCCTGCTTTGGTTTTCTTTTGGTTCAATCTATCTGATTTATCTCGGAATCGATTTACTATAGCTATTGTGAGCCATCATGCCATCTACTGATATTGAGAAACCTCCCAGTGTCGAGCGGATCGAGGATATCGATAAGTCTGGGGTTGATGATGTGGACTACGATGAGGAATTTACGCCTGCAGAGCAGCGCAAGATCATTCATCGGGTTGATCGTCGGCTGGTGACTATGGCTGGGTTGGCGTATTGCATTTCGCTTATGGATAGGACGAATCTTAGTATGGCGGCGGTTGCTGGGTAAGTTTCTTGAATTTGGTTGATGAGTAGATTATGTTGTGTTGGATCGGTCGTTGACACGAGGCCAGTATGACGAAGGACTTGCAGCTTGGAGTTGGGACTCGCTATGTGAGTTCTACTCTGTCATTTGAGGATGCATATTCTGATGAGGTCTAGTCTGTCGTGATTCTCGTTTTCTTCATACCCTATGTGGTCTTTCAACCTCCGATGACGGTCATCATCCGGAAAGTAGGCCCGACTTTGTTTCTGGGAACGCTGGTCATATCGTGGGGAGCAATACTTGTTGTACGTTGACTCTGTTCTCTAAACCCTTGCGAAACTAGAAGCCTGACAGTTGCTGCTCTAGGGGATGGGATTCGTGAAGAATTGGAAGCAAATGGTCGCAATCCGTGTGCTCCTTGGTGCGTTGGAAGCAGGTGAGTGTGACTTGGTGTTACAATTCTTTGCCTTGTATAATTGGCTCAAATATCTTCTTGCAGGTTACTTCCCGGGCTGTGTGTACCTTCTTTCAAGTTGGTACGTCCGATGTAAGTTACGCAGACCAACATTCATGTAATTTGGCTGACAACACAGATGACATCCAAAAGCGATACTCGGTCTTTTACCTTATCGGTTGTGTGGCATCAGCACTAGCCGGTGTACTTGCCTTTGGCCTGATGCAGATGGGAGGCATTCAGGGCATCTCAGGGTGGAGATGGATATTTATAATGGAGGGCGTGGTATGTTTTTGATCCTAATGAGGAGACATTGTGTTAATTTTCCTAGATTACGGGCGTTATCGGACTGTTGACCTTTGTCTTCATGGTTGACTTTCCCGAAAAGGCACACAAGTCCTGGAAATTCCTGAATGAGAGGGAGAGTGCATTCATCGTCCGACGCATCAACCGAGACCGTGCCGATGGAAATGGAGAGCCTTTTACGTTCAAGCGATTCTTCAGCCCTGCGCTTGACCTGAAGATATGGGGTTTCGCATTGATTTGCCTGTCAGTTCTCTTCACGCCATTATTCATATTAAGATCTGACAACAAGCAGATGCAGCACAACGGGGGCATACGCCATCGCGTACTTTCTCCCCATCATCCTCCAAGACGGAATGGGCTTCAGCACCGGCGCCGCACAGTGTCTAGTTGCACCTCCCTACGGCTTCGCGGGCATCGTGATGTATACAACAGCCTGGGCAAGCGATCGGTATCGTATACGGGGACCAATTGTGGCGTTTAACGCCGTAGTCGGCATCATCGGCCTTCCGTTGATGGGATTTGCCAAAGGCAATGCAGCGCGATACGTGGGAGTGTTCCTGGTAGTCGCGGGGGCAAATTCCAATATTCCCGCTGTCATGGCCTATCAAGCCAACAATATCCGGGGCCAGTGGACGCGCGCGTTCTGCAGCGCGACGCTGATTGGTGTTGGAGCCATTGGTGGCATCCTCAGTAGTCTGGTGTTTCAGTCGAAAGATGCGCCCGAATATAGACCGGGGATATGGACAACTATTGCGTGAGTATTCTTGATTTTTACTGTGTGTTGGTTGCACTAAGCTAAGTGTGATACAGGTGCAACCTTGTTACGATGATCACAGTGGCTGCTCTGAGTGTGTGGTTCCGATATGCGAATAAGCAAGCCGATCGGGGAGAGCGTGTTATCGAGGGGTCCGCCGATTTCCGGTATACTATCTAGGACGGGAAAGTAGGGTTTTTATATTTGATTTTGTATTGTGTGGATTTGGGCTGGTATCTCTGTCGGATGGGATATGAAATTACTACCTAGTATTCCGTTAATGTTTGTGCCGTCAAATGCTGGAGATAGCCAATGATGTGGAGCGTAATGGAATTGCCCGTCGGGAAAGCAGCCGGGGTGTTCGTGTTCTAGATCGGGAGGTGCCCGCTACGATCTATATTCTTGCATAACTACTGCATTGTGTAAGCAAGGATGTGTAATGCCCATTATTATCAGATGAGTAAGACTGCAGAGTACCAGTAAAGTGCTGAGGCTAGTGGCACACAGCAATGTAAGTCAAAGTCTGAGAGATAAAAAGTTCAAGTTGCAGCAGCGCACAGCTCGCAAGGGGGACTCTTACCGACGGGCCCAGCTCCACGGGGAAAGTCATGATTGCATCACCGGGGAACGCTATCGGAGGAGCTTCCATTGCGGAGGGAGGCTGTTCTTTTCCTCCATTCAACATTTTGTATAGGTCAATTGGTGAGAAAATTAGCAGTGGGGCATCTGCTCAGTGAGATATATTTAGTCCGCCATAGATTATCTTTAAGAACTGGGTATAACGAAAGAAACTGTGCAAGAACTGATCAAACAGATAAATGCAGGCAAGCATTTCCCGCGGGAAAGTGAATCTTATCGCGGGCTTATCGCAAATGGCGGGGCTCCATCGCGAGGGACCGGAGCTGTATTTCGTCTTGTGATTGGCCCGGGACCAGCGTTATCGGCCGGACAGACAGTTTCCCGACACGAGTATCCGTGGCGCCCGCGGTCGAGGAGGATTAATTATTCTTGCTATCTGCTCCCCTCCAGTCTATTCTTTTCTTTTTATCACTCATCGTCGCAATTAATTCATCTTCTCTCCTCTCTCCTCTCTCCTCCTCATCTCCCTTACCTCCTTCTACTCAACTGTGTTGCGCAATCTCATGTGCTGAAGTCTCGCGCAACCGGGTCTATACCTCCCCTTCCCTAGACTCCCCTCCTCCCCACTCACCTACCTACCGTCCGCCATTCCTGAAATCGTTGGACCAGCTCAATTGTAGGTATGGCTGCATCTTTGTGCGCTCTGCGCGGCACTCGCCAGCTGGCGCTGCGCTCTCGTTTGCGCGCTGCTCCCTCACCAATTGCGGTGCGGAGAGCTTCTCCCTTGATTCGTTCCCTTCACACCACCACACAGCAGTCGCCCTCTGCACGACGGCCCGTCTACACCAGCTCCGTCGCGGATCATGGCGTGCCTCATCCCCCGGATCTTTTCCAACCCCTCGATACTTTCCCCAGACGTCATATTGGCCCCAATCCCGATGCCGCCAAGGAGATGCTTGCCACCCTGGATCCTCCGGTGGCGTCGCTGGATGAGTTCGTCAAGCAAGTGCTGCCGGCGGACATCCTGTCCAAGAAGGACCTAAAGGTGTCTGCTCCGCACTCCACCGCCAATCTTCCCCACAGCAGCGTGCACGGTGGTCTGGGAGAGACGGATATGCTGAAGCTCTTGGATACCTACCGCAAGCAAATCGATGTTTCGGGCAAGACATACCTCGGAACGGGCTACTACCCGACCATTGTGCCCCCGGTCGTCCTCCGTAACGTCCTGGAGAATCCGGCATGGTACACCAGCTACACTCCCTACCAGCCGGAGATCAGTCAGGGTCGTCTCGAGTCCCTTCTGAACTTCCAGACGCTGACTGCCGATCTCACTGGTCTGCCCTTCGCCAATGCCTCGGTTTTGGATGAAGGTACTGCGGCCGCTGAGGCCATGACCATGTCCTTGGCCACCCTGCCCATGTCAAAGCAGAAGAAGGCCGGCAAGGCTTACGTGGTGTCTCACCTCTGCCACCCTCAGACCATTGCGGTGATGCGCTCCCGGGCAGAGGGCTTCGGCATCAATCTGGTGGTTGGCGATATTCTGGCGGATGACTTTAAGCTGGTCAAGGAGCAGGGTGACAAGCTGATTGGTGTTTTGGCTCAGTACCCCGACACCGAGGGTGGTATTTACGACTTCCAGTCTCTGAGTGACACGATCCACGGCAACGGTGGTACCTTCAGTGTTGCTACCGACCTTCTGGCTTTGACTCTGCTCAAGGCACCTGGCGAGTTCGGTGCCGACATTGCGTTTGGAAGCGCCCAGAGACTCGGTGTCCCCATGGGATACGGTGGTCCCCACGCCGCCTTCTTTGCCTGCGCGGACAAGTACAAGCGTAAGGTCCCCGGTCGTGTGGTGGGTGTCTCTAAGGACCGTCTGGGCAACCGTGCCCTGAGATTGGCCCTGCAGACCCGTGAACAGCACATCCGCCGTGAGAAGGCCACTAGCAACATTTGCACAGCTCAAGCCCTCCTTGCCAACATGACCGCCATGTATGCTGTCTACCACGGACCTGCTGGCTTGAAGGCTATCGCCCAGCGCATCATGTCGATGACCACTACTCTGCAGGCGAAGCTCGCCGGCTTGGGTTACAACGTCCCGATCAAGTCGAACAGCGCTGATGGTGGCGCTCTCTTCGACACGGTTGTTGTCGAGCTGTCCGGTGCCCAAGAAACCGATACCATCATTGCGGCTGCTCGGGAGCAGTCCATGTTCCTCCGCCGGCTGAGCGACACCAAGGTCGGAATCTCTCTGGACGAGACTGTCGGCCGCGAGGAGGTGAAGTCTATCCTCAAGGTGTTTGCCGCCCACGCCTCTAAGGCCGAGGTTGGCTTGGAAGAGGATCTGGCTGTTGCTCCTGTTCCCGCCAGCCTGGAGCGTACCTCTGCGTACCTGACCCACCCCGTGTTCAACACCCACCACTCCGAAACGGAAATGCTGCGTTATATCCGTCACCTCGAGTCCAAGGATCTGTCCCTGGCCCACTCCATGATCCCTCTTGGATCCTGTACCATGAAGCTCAACGCAACCACGGAGATGATTCCGGTCTCGTGGCCTGAGTTCTCTCAGATGCACCCGTTCCTGCCGGCTGATGTAGCCAAGGGATACACCCAGATGATCGATGACCTCGAGCAGCAGCTCGCTGACATCACTGGCATGGCCGAAGTCACCGTGCAGCCCAACTCTGGTGCGCAGGGTGAATTCGCTGGTCTGCGTGTTATCAAGAAGTACCAGGAGGCCCACGAAGGCGACAAGCGCAACATCTGCCTGATCCCCGTCTCGGCTCACGGTACCAACCCTGCCAGTGCTGCCATGGCTGGTATGCGCGTGGTGACTATCAAGTGCGACACCAAGACCGGCAACCTGGACCTGGAAGACTTGAAGGCCAAGTGTGAGAAGCACAAGGATGAGCTGGCGGCCGTGATGATCACCTACCCCAGCACCTTTGGTGTGTATGAGCCCGGCATCAAGCAGGCCTGTGAGATTGTCCACCAGTATGGCGGCCAGGTCTACATGGACGGTGCCAACATGAACGCCCAGATCGGTCTGTGCTCTCCTGGCGAGATTGGTGCCGATGTGTGCCACTTGAACCTGCACAAGACCTTCTGTATCCCCCACGGTGGTGGTGGTCCTGGTGTCGGTCCCATTGGTGTCGCCGAGCACCTGCGGCCCTACCTCCCCTCTCACCCGGGCAGCGAATACCTTCAGTCCAAGCGGTCCGAGTCGTCCTCGCCCCCGATCAGCGCTGCTCCCTGGGGTAGCGCTAGCATCCTGCCCATCACCTTCAACTACATCAACATGATGGGATCCAAGGGTCTTACACACGCAACAAAGATCACGCTACTGAACGCCAACTACATCCTGGCCCGTCTCAAGGACCACTACCCTATCCTATACACCAACGAGAACGGCCGCTGTGCCCACGAGTTCATCCTCGATGTGCGCAAGTTCAAGGACACCTGTGGTGTCGAGGCTATCGATATCGCCAAGCGTCTGCAGGACTACGGCTTCCACGCCCCGACCATGTCGTGGCCCGTGGCCAACACGCTGATGATCGAGCCCACCGAGTCGGAGAACAAGGCGGAGCTTGACCGGTTCTGCGATGCCCTTATCTCCATCCGAGAGGAGATCGCCGCCGTCGAGAGCGGCGCCCAGCCCCAGGAGGGCAATGTGCTGAAGATGGCACCCCACACCCAGCGTGACCTGTTGTCCAGCGAGTGGAACCGGCCATACACCCGCGAGACGGCGGCGTACCCGTTGCCGTACCTGGTGGAGAAGAAGTTCTGGCCTTCGGTGACGCGTGTAGATGATGGTAAGTCCCTATCCCACTGTTTTCATGAAGACTTGTGCTAATAATTTGCAGCATACGGTGACCAGAACCTCTTCTGTACCTGCGGACCGGTGGAGGATAGCGAGTAGATAGTCTATGATACCCATGTGTACGATTGCGTTTGATACCATATTTTCAACATTCTGGATTGGGCATTGCATATTGATACGACTTGCATGACCAGCGATTCAACATTGTCATGATAGACAAGGATGGCGTTTTTAGAAATAGTAATAAAATTATGAATGTTCCATCAATTAATCATTCATTTATTCCAGTTGCAAACAAGCCAAACACTCGACATCCACCCCAGATAGGCAATCCGTATCTTATCGTCACACTAGCCGCTTTCAGGATCGGAGCCGGCCGAGCAGCCCCGGAACCGGACGCGACGGGCCTCACTATAAGACAGCCATCTGCTGGGCTATTGCACTTTGTCGATTTTCTCTTCCGGAGTTTTGGACGGCTGCAGTTCTAAATCACCGTCGCATAGCGGATTGATCTCAATCCAGCACTCTTAATTGAGCCGAAGTGCGTGCAGCACCTGCATCGCCCCGCGTCAGCTTTCCACTACCCGCGACGCAGATTGGCACATTCCCCACACGAGCTCCTAGCTAGCAGCTGTCAGCAACGAACCTACCTATATACAACACTCTTTCCTGCATCCACTGCATTCGCACAGCAACATGTCCCCCAAATACACCCTTTTCGTGGGAACCTTCATCCAGCTGCCCCGCTTCAAGTCTGACGAGGGCCACAAGCTCGCCATCACCCGCGGCGCGCTCTGGGTGTCCACTGCTGACGGCACAATCGAGGGATTCGACTGGTCCATTGCCAATGACAGGGACTTGAAGAGATTCCTCCGTCACAAGGGGTGGACTGTCGTGGATGACAAGAGTAGCCATAAGGGCAAGCACGGAGTGAAAGTGACATTAGTCGTTGCGCGCGAGGAGGAGAATGAGTTCTTCTTCCCTGGGTTCATCGGCAAGTCCCCCTACCCTACACATCCCAACTCATCAGCATACACCACTAATACAGAGGAACGTTGAATAGACACACACATCCACGCCCCCCAATACCCCAACGCCGGCCTCTTCGGCGACGCCGGCCTTCTCCACTGGCTCCTAAACTACACCTTCCCCATCGAATCCTCCTTTGGCAGCACCAAATTCCCCTCCATCCCTCCCCCCAACGCCTACCGCGTCTACAACCAAGTCATCGCCCGCACCCTCGCAAACGGCACCACCTGCGCCTCCTACTTCGCTACCATCCACGTCCCCGCCACCAACCTCCTCGCTTCCCTCTGCCTCGCCCGCGGCCAACGCGCCCTCATCGGCCGTGTCTGCATGGACCGTCCCGAGCAATGCCCCGAGTACCTTCGCGACGAGTCCCCCGACATCGCCATCGACAAGACCCAAGCCAGTATCGACCACATCCACACCATCGACCCTGAGGGCGCCCTCATCAAACCCATCGTGACCCCGCGGTTCGCTCCATCATGTACCCCGCGCTCGCTGGGGAAGTTATCCAAGCTCGCGGCGAGCTACTCGCCCCCACTACATATCCAGACGCATCTGGCTGAGAACCTGGATGAGCTGAAACTCGTGCAGGACCTCTATCCAGAAGCAAGGGATTACACCTCCGTGTATAACTACTTCAAATTGCTCACCCCGCGGACCATCCTCGCGCACTGCGTGCATCTCTCTGACGACGAGCGTGCCATGATCGCCGATAATGAGGCGAAGCTCTCCCACTGCCCCGCGTCCAACTCGGCCCTCGGCTCCGGGATCTGCGAAGTCCGGAAGGCCATCGACTCCGGCATTACGGTGGGACTGGGAACCGACGTAAGCGGTGGATACAGTCCCAGCATACTAGAAACGGTTCGCCAGGCGTGCCTAGTATCAAGGTTACTTCCTCATATGTCGGGGACTTCTGAAGGACAAAATAAGGACAATGACGGAGTACCGAGAGAGGTCCTCTCCATTGAAGAAGCACTCTACCTCGCCACACGCGGCGGAGCAGCGGTAGTCGACATGGCGGAGCAAATCGGAGGGTTTGATCAGGGGATGGTGTGGGATGCGCAGCTGGTGAAGCTGGGGAAGTTTAATCCTGCGGGGAGGTGGGGGAAGACAGGTGGGGTGGAGACTGCGGTCGATGTGTTTGATGAGGGCCAGGAGTGGAAGGAGAAGGTGCATAAGTGGGTATGGAATGGGGATAGTCGGAATGTGAGGATGGTGTGGGTTGGAGGGAAACTGGTGCATCGGGTTTGGGAGGAGGGAGAGGATAGAAGGGAGGGTGGGGGATGGATGAGGTGGGTGATAGGAGCGGTTGGTGTTGGTGTTGTTGGGTGGGCGGTTGTTAGGAGGTTGGGGGGTGGTAGATGATCGGTGTAATGGATTTTGGATTGGCGTCTATAGATGACTATATTATAGATGAAAGAGTGGGTGTATCATTTGTCGGTTACTAGACTAGAGGTTATAATGATACCCCGATATAGGACTACTATCAACATGCATCAACCTATACCAGGACCCATATCCTCTTCTACTAGTAGTAAATACCATCCTCACTGAAACAGCTCCACACAATCAAAGATCTAGTAAAACACTCATCAGCCAAACTCACCATCTCATCTCATCTTACATCAAAGGGAAAAACTTACAAAATTCGGGCTCAAAAACTCATCCCCCGAACTACCCGAGATAACACTAATCGTGATCTACACTCATCAGCACACATCACTCCCACAACTTCACTCACAACATATATCTAAGTAGTATGGTAAGGTAAGGTAAGGTAGCAAGCATACCGTATTCTCCCCTTCAACAATCGTCCCCTCCGGAACCGAAACATCATACACCTCGCCGTAGCCTCTATACGCGCCACGAGTCACGCCACGGGAGTTCAGGTTCGTAGGTGCGGATGGCGCGGAGCCTTCGTAGTCGTTTATCTATTTGATTTAGTTAGTCATACTGGGTGCGGAGAAAGGGGGAATGAGGTAGGTAGATAATTACCGTCGCTTGAGGACGTCCACCCGCGAACGACAACGTAGTTCCGATACGCAGCGTCGCTGCACCGGTTTGGTCGGATGCCGCGGTGAATTTGATAGTTACTGGGTTGTTGACGGCCTTGAAGACGGCCATGGGGAAGTCAGTTAGCGAGGAGCTGCCGACGGTGTAGGTTAGGGGACCCCAGTCGGACATTCTGGAGTCTGAGGGGTGCATGCGGAGTTGGTTTTCTGCGTTGCGGAAGCCGGTTGGTCTGTTTCATTAATTAGTATATCAGATGTGTATGTGATGTATGTGGTAGATGCAGGTGACTTACTGTCCGTCCCAGTCGCCAATCTTGAAGATAGTCGTTCCTGTTTTGACGGAGCCGGAAATGTTCTTGGTTGTGCTCGAGCCGGCGCTGACCGTCACTTCGCTGGTGGCGACGACGTACTCGCCTTGGTAGTAGACCATGGTGTATGTTCCTGGTTTCATGGCTGGGGAAGTGAAGCTGCCGGAGGAGGATGTGTATGTCCAGTATTGGGCGTCGTCGTTGTACCTGACCGGTTAGCTGGGGTGGGTTGATAGGTTGGGTGAGGGGGCGTACCAGTGAACGACCCAGTCGAAGCTGGAGTCAGCACCTGACGCGGTTCCCGTTACGGTTCCTCTGTCTGCTTCGGCGACGTAGCCTTCGATGTCGAGGTCTGCGAAGAAGGACGTGTCGATGTCGGTGCTGGGGGTGCCGCTGCGGCTGAAGTACATCGAGTACGGTCCGTGGAGACCCATGCGGTAGGACTCGGTTTGGACGTGGCCCGAGTTCTGTTTTGTCAGTAGCCATGGATGTGGGTTTAGAATAGGATACGTACCATGTACCAGTAGAGGGAGTTGTAGTCGCCGCCGTTGTTGGAGTTGATGTCCCTGAAGCTGTGAGTATTGTTCTTGCGATAAATGCTTTGTACCTACCTGTGGAATGGGCCACCGGAAGAGGTTTCGTATTGGTTGAGGATCATACAGACGCGGTGCTCATCACCCGCAATGCCTTGACTCAGTCAGCAGGGACCGTGTAGATAGTTCAACATCTCTTACAGTGTCTTTGATCGTCAATGAAGCGCTGGCTGGAATAGAACTTGCTACGAGTTTCCCCATCGACGAGGAACTGCCGTGAAATTAGCAACGTCTACGAAACTATTCAATAGACATACCACGTCAGATCCTTCAATGGCCTCCCCACCGGCAGTGTTGGACACATCGCCGAACGGCTCCTCATTGGGGAGTTCGTCCGGGTTGAGTCGAGCAATGAATCGCAATTCGCCGATAGATGGCTCTGGTGGTTGTTAGAAATTATTTCGATTATTTGACGACAAACTCACCCTCCGTAATGTAGGTGGCCATATGAATAATAGGATCACCATCATGGACAACCATAAATTGGGTCAGTGTGTCCGTTTCACAGGTCACCTTGATGTAGTCGCCTGCCGGAATCAGCTTGTCGTTCTTGCTGTCCAAGATAGATCCAACTTACCACTCTTGGTAGCAGAAACAGTCGCAGTTCCGAGACCGGAGCCGATATGGCTACCCTTGCCGGAGTACTGCAGCTCTGTGCCATAATGCACGATGGAAGTAATATCGCAACTTCCGCGGTCCACAGTAAACACCAGCGAGTTGGGGGAATTGGCGTTTATGACATAGGAATCATCGTTCGTCGTTATGCCAAAGTCTGCATTGACGACTCCAACTGCAAGCGAGAGAAGCGACAGCAACGACGTTCTGGACAACATCTTGGCGTTTGACAGTGTCAGACCAAGGTACATTTCTTGTTATTTGCGAGCTGACACCTTAAATAAATGATTCCAGCAGGAGCACTGCCGAGCCCTGAGTACCGATGGAGCCAGAGCCGTCAAGCTAGCGACTCCTCATGCACAACCCCTGGTCTAAAGTCTTGGACAACGAATAGCTTCCACCAATGGCTGACTTGGCTCTTTCTGCAGCTGACAACATATCAGAATTTTATGATAAAATTTCGAATTTGAATGCCATGCATATTCCGGGTGACCAATATATCATCCTTCCTTATGATCTTAGCATTTTTCGGCATACTACGCAAAGAGAGAAGCTTCATGTCAAGACTCCAATTGACTTTGAAGGCACACTGAGTGCTCATGATGTTGTCGATCATTTACCCAATTAATCACTTTGGACGGCGTCGGACCCCATCTATGTCTTGGCCAGACTCTTCAGTGGTGGACGGACTCGTTTCTTGGCTGGCGGACGGAGGGAGCTCCGCGCGATATCACCTGGTGTGACTATTTAGCATAAGCGCCAATCCACGAGTCAGAAGTGCCGTTTTTCATGTTAGGTCTCGCGTACTATGAGCTCTCTCCTCAATTTAATCTATTCCTCGCCAAATCTAAGACGACGGCAAAATGGAAAACATCCGCACGTGGAAAAGGTCTTTATGCCCTTTGGATGTGTACTCGCTCCGCTAAATGCCAAGAGCTCAAGCTGATGCTGAAACGCACCATATGATGTCCGAGACAGCACCGGTGGACCGTACCTCGTCTCGAGCAACGCCGATCTTTTTAAGCGACATTTGCAGGATGTCTAGTAGTGTTTATGCTATCGTGTTCTCAACATCCTTATCCAACAACGACTGTTTTGTGTAGAATTCCATCCGGTCGTGGGTTGTGTCTTTTTCGAATATTTATAGATGTCAAGCCATGGTGTTCAAAAAAGCTGGCAAGTAGCTCGGTCCTTTCTGATAGAACAGAAGTTATTCTAAGACGATGCTATAGCTAAATTTCTCGAGCTGTTGTAGACCAGAGCATCGTCACATAGACTTGCCAACGATGAAATACAGTCTGCGTTTGAACAACTCTGGTGAGATGCATAACACCTTGATAATATAACCTTAACTTAGGCTGCACCGGCTTATAGCTGCAAGGATGGAACTGACGCAAGGGCTTATGATGCTTTTGCTAATGCTGTGAGGACCTAGGAACCCAATTAGTCAGTCTATGAAGATACTGTGATAGGATTGAATGACATTTAGTCACAGCCTCATCGTAGCAAAGGTCTTACAAGAGACTCTATGGTTTCTGAAGCTGCAGTTTTCAGTAGATCCTCAGAGATCCTCCTCGTTAGAGACGATCGGCCCACCTGTCAATATAGATACAAGAACATGGGTCGGGAAATGCCGACGGCATGAGGATTTCCGAACGCAAGAAAGGAGGAATGCAAGGGATTGCAAAACAAACACCGAACCGAGCCAGACTCGCCGCCCGAAACTAGTCCATCATTCCGTCCACTCTCGGCATTCTTCTTCACATTTCCCCTAGATCTCGGCAGAACTGCTGCATAGGTGTATATTTCTGACCCCCAGTTGCTGATGCAAAGCTGCAGCACGATTGATCGCATTCGGTTGTGTCTATACTCATGATGAGAGTCCTTGCAAGACAGATTATAGCTACGAGTTCGAGGGTGTAGGCATGCTGGTGGCTCATACAAGCTAAACTTTCAGTTGCAGTGTCCAGGAATATCTTTACGGCTAAATCTTCTGCTCATAGCCCACCAGTTTCTGGGCCCTGACTAAATCTTAAATATTCTTCTATTATTCCCTTCGACGCTACTCGAATGCTGCCCGGAATAGCGAAACTGACGAGACTGAGAATGCCTTGCACACAGATTGATTCAGTTACGTTCAATTGCAGACTCATGCCCCTGTATTTGTCTCAGTCAACTATTACGCTTCATTTCGGCAACTCCTCTTGGTTTCACAGCCCCTTGCTTCAGTATGCAGCCCAATCCTCGTGGCGACGGCGAGACAAAAACTGGGAGCAGTAACCCTACATATTGAACTACTGCAGAGTCAATCAACTTCCTTTAATAAAACGAAGCACAGCCTAGGACCGCGGAGACAAAGGTGAAAGGTGGCGATAAACATGGTGCACGCATCAATTCCGAGTGGAGGCTGGGTCCGGACCCTGCAGACGCATTCCCAACCATCCTGCGCTACACAAATGATCGACAGGGCATCTTCGGCAAGCGGAAGGAACCCCGCAAAAGCTACGTATTGCCATTGCTCAGGAACCCACTAATTAAGACACAGACATGTGGCTTTTGCTGCCCGTGCGCCCCGAAGCCACAGGCCGACGGAGGCATCAACCCTGATGCGTCTGTTGATTGTTATGGTCTTGTCCAACAAAACAGGGATTTCTGGCCGCACACGATGCCCAGCAGCCCACCATATCTCGGCTGGGCATGTTGACATGTGTTGAAATCGGTTTCCGTAGGCAGACGTCTATTAGAAGTGAATTTACTGTATGACAGACATTCGTGACCGAAACCGTCTCATTCACTGTCTACCATTGTAGTTATGTTTTATACATAAGACACAAAAGGAATGCCTTCTATCATGGCAAGAAGGGAATTTAGGAATTTGTGTGTTACTGCCCTCTTCCTTTGCTCTAAAACTTCTCCCCTTGTATACACTGTCCCTTAAAGGCCGCTATGCCTTCATACGCCACCACAATAGCAGCCATCGGGGCTTTCCTGCTCTCGCAGCCCGTTATGGGCTCGGGGCAGAAAAAGACCCCCTTTGGATGGGGTACTCAGTCGCTTGCTCACTTTGGTATTGACCCAGACCTGGGGAGGCACAATGAGCAGAACCTCAATACTCTCGTTTCACATTCTGCGATGGCCATTGCGTTGGAGACTGAATATGTCACCGTATGAAAAACACCAGCCTGGTTCTTTGTTCCTATCACTGATCACGATACTCAGATTCCTCTTGACCATGACAATGCATCGGCTGGCACTTATCAAAATCGATTCTGGGTTAGCGATGAATTCTATGAGCCAGGCAGTCCGATATTTGTATATGATACAGGGGAGGCGGATGGCGCATCGATAGCCTCGGCCTACCTCACTTCCACACTTTCCTTCTTCAGAGAATTTCTAATCGAGTTCAACGCCATGGGAATCGCTTGGGAGCACAGATACTATGGAAACTCGACTCCGGCTCCCATATCCTATGAGGCTCCACCAGAGACCTATCAATACCTCACCACCAAGCAGGCGCTCGCGGATCTCCCGTACTTTGCTAGAAACTTCACCCGCGAGAAGTATCCGGACGTGGACCTGACGCCGCAGGGCACACCGTGGATCATGGTGGGCGGCTCGTACGCTGGGGTCCGTGCTGCATTAACTCGCAACGAGTACCCAGAGACCATCTTCGCAGCCTATTCCTCGTCGGCTCCGGTGGAAGCACGGGTCAATATGAGCGTGTATTACGACCAGGTCTACCGCGGCATGGTGGCCGATGGATGGACCAACTGCTCGGCAGATATTCACGCTGCTCTGGAATATATCGACGATCAACTATCGGACGACGATACAGCTACCTCAATCAAACAACTCTTCTTCGGACCTGGCGCCGAAGCCAACTCCAACGGTGATTTCACTGGAGCGCTAACCGCCATCTACAGCTACTTCCAAAGCTATGGTATGGCAGGAGGGATTGGAGGTCTAGGCGCATTCTGCGAGTATCTTGAAGTTGACCCCAAGACGAACGGGACTACCGGGCCGGATGGTCTTGCCCCTACGTATGGCGGCCAGTATGTCGCTGAACGATGGGCAGCATGGCCCACCTTCCTCGAGCTGGTCAATCTGAATATGGGGACCAACTGCGGACCTCAGAACGCTTCTCAGCCAATTGACTGTGATTTCTCCAAGCCATACGGCGATCCCGCGACCATCACCTGGACTTGGCAATACTGCAGCGAATGGGGGTTCTTCCAAGCGAACAACGAAGGGCCACACTCGTTAGCCTCGCGATATCAGTCGGTGGAATACCAGCAAGAAGTATGTAACCGACAGTTCCCCGATGCGGTGGAGAAAGGACTGTTGCCTCCATCGCCGCGGGCGGATGAGGTCAACCAAGAGTTCGGAGGATGGACGATCCGCCCGTCCAATGTTTACTTCAGCGGAGGAGAATTCGATCCGTGGCGGTCACTGTCTATTCTGTCTACGGACGATATCGCACCGCAGGGGGTGGAGTTTACGAGCGCGATCCCAGCATGCGGGGTGCAGACAGACGAAGACACGGTGTTTGGATACGTCATGAAGGACTCGGAACATTGCTTTGACTTTCAGGCCACGCCGACCGTGGGTAAATTGTCACGCGGCATCTTCACGTCCGCCTTGTTGCAATGGCTCGATTGTTTTGGACAGAATTCCAGTCAAACCAGGTGATTGGTGGCTAGGGGGGGAAGGTGTTTGGGTTTTGCTGGCGCCTGGAGCCTGAAGCCTGGATAAAGAAAAGATGACGAGGGTTGACAGTGGAGTGGATCTTGAGATGCTACATAGTACTTTAGAGAAGTACACGCGGGCAACGTAAGTAGATGCAAGAGAAGCCTCGGAGGTTTTAGATCAGCGGTTGGATTTAGCGTCATGTCCAAAATCCTGCGACGCAACAGCCGCTTTTCCCTTTTGGGAGATGCTTGCGATGTTTCCGAGTGCCGAAAGCATCTGGAATCGGGAAATGACCCCCTCGCAAGGTTGGCTTTTCCAATCATCTCCAGCCCATTGCCGCTTCTGAGTTTGTTGCATCGCTGGAACCATCCATCCCTTCCCGTCTCCCTGTCTTCGTTTACTTACTGACTGTGTGGCTATGGAGGCGGGGGTTCCCCATTCCTTCATTTCACATGGGGCCTCACGACCGAGGAGTTTGGAACCAACCCTTCTTGGCCAAGTGAATCCAAGTCTGGATCTCTCCTTGCGGGGTGAACTAGGGCAAAGTATATAAGGTCTGTGGTCGGAACCAGACTGCCCCTGTCGATTATCATACCTCTTTGTACATAACATTCACTCTTAAGTTATTTATCTCTCATCTCACATTCCTCAAATCTCTCCTTTCCACTTCTCCATCTACTATCTAGGTTTCCTCCCCGCATTACTAGACTACCCGCAGTTGCGTCATGTTGGCTCCTGCGGTTGTCTTTCTGGGTGCCATCTACTTAACCTTTCGCATCCTGGGCTCCCTCCACCAGGCTTACCACCATCGCAAGAAGTCCAAAGCTCTCGGCTGCCAGCCCCCTAAATCCGTCGATACCGGTATTCTCGGTATCACTGGCTTCTATCGCATTGCAAAGGCGGCCAGGGAGAAACGATGGGTTGAATTCATTGCCGATCACTACCAGACGAGTGGACCGACCTTCCGTCAGCAGGCCTTGGGAGGACTCATGGTCACCAACACCGTTGAGCCAGAGAACATCAAGGCACTGTTGGCTACCCAGTTTCAAGATTTCGGCCTCGGGACCCGCCATCGCGAGTTCTACCCGTTGCTTGGAAATGGTATCTTCACCTTGGATGGGCCGGGCTGGTCTCATGCGCGTGGCATGCTGAGGCCGCAGTTCACTCGCGATCAGGTCTGAATATCCTAATAATACCATCAATGAGAACCTACTGACGGATGAGGGCGACTAGGTTGCTGATCTCGACCTTATGGATGGCCACATCACCAAGATGATGGACTTGATTCCCAAGGATGGGTCGACTTTCGACATCCAGCGCCTCTTCTTCCTCTTGACCATGGACTCGGCTACACATTTCTTGTTTGGCGAATCCGTCGGATCAATGCGCACATCCACTGAGTCGAGTCTGCTAGAGAAGTCCACTGTTGGAAACGCCCAAGGGTTCGCTGAGGCATTCAACCGGGCCCAAGAATACCTGGTATCGAGATCCAGAGCTATGGCATTCTATTGGCTCGTTAACCCCAAGGAGTTCCGTGAAGCGAACCAGCTTGTGCACGAGGTGGTTGACCACTACGTACGCCTGGCTCTCGAGGCAAAGCGTCACCCCGAAAAGAAAGAGTCGGGCAGGTACATCTTCGCAGAAGCCTTAGCGGAGGATACCGATGACCCGAGAGTGATCCGTGACAACATGCTCAACATCCTCCTGGCTGGCCGCGACACCACTGCCAGTCTGCTGAGCTCGGCTTTCTTCTACCTAGCACGTCATCCTAATGTCTGGACCAGACTTCGCCAGACCATCGTCGACGAGTTTGGAGACGCTAAACACCCCAACGGAAAGATCACGCATGCTAGACTGAAGGATACTCCATACCTGCGCTATTTCTTGAACGAAGGTGAGCAATACCCTCCTCCCCCGCCGCACCCTATAATATCTCCTAACAAGACCAGTCCTCCGTCTCCTCCCCCCTGTGCCTCTAAACTTCCGTGTCGCCGCCAAAGATACTTCCTTGCCATTGGGTGGTGGGCCCGACGGGAAGTCCCCCGTCTACGTGCGCAAGGGAGAGCTTGTGTCGTACAGCGTATATGCAATGCACCGTCGCACCGACTTATACGGCCCGGATGCCCATGCATTCCGACCCGAGCGATGGGAAGAGAACAGCAAGCGGGGTTGGGAATACCTTCCATTCAACGGCGGGCCCCGGATTTGTCTTGGACGTAAGTTGCCCTACATATATGCCACAGTCACATTACTAACAGTCTCTTCCAGAGCAATACGCACTCACTGAAGCCAGCTACACCATGGTCAAACTACTACAGCGGTACAACAGAATTGAGAATGCCGATCCTGATATGGTGGAGCCGATCATCAATTCCAGTCTCACGCTGTCGCATGACCGTGGTGTCCATATTCGGTTGTTTTCTTCGTGATTTGCCAGCACTGCTGGGATTTTAGCCACATCATCAATTGTTCAAGCCGCCGGATGGCTACGACTTCTTTGCATTTTGACGAGCTACACTTTTCATGCCCCGGGGACAATCCCAGAAATGACTACTTATACTAGCCTGGAATTTTAATATGATGAGATTTTACATTACGTACTTTGACTCTTGATGACATCCTCAAGTGCTATTCCTAGTAGCTCGGTAATACTGTGCCGGAGACAAGAAAGCAACGTCGATACACAAGAAATATATTTTTCATATATTTCGGGGTCCTAGCTCGTCAGAATATAGCAGTTATATTCATATGCTTTGATCATAGACCAGTGATCAACTCGTAGTAATCTTGTTCTTATAAATTGAAATGCATGGCGACAACTCAAGAGTCAATCCAATGGCTAGTATTCACATTGGAAAGCAGTACTACACAGTAGTCAGAAAGGAACGACGACTTCTTGTAATGGATAAGATTGTGATGGTAGCGGGATTTGAAACCGTGACTACCGAATAGAATCCTCCCCCACAGATCCACCCATCTATCTTACCATTTCACCACCACAACTAACAATGTAAAAAAAAAAGCAAAAATGAAAGCCCAACGCGGGGCTCGAACCCGCAGCCTTGAGATTAAGAGTCTCACGCTCTACCGATTGAGCTAGCCGGGCTAGTTCGGTGAAAGCTGAGTTGTAGTTATGCATAATATTCTTGCTTTTTCCTAACGGCGTACACGCATGTTAATTCCAGCCACAGGTTTCTGTGGCTATGCAGTATGTGGCTGGATCCGTATGCGTGCTGAGTCAGCCAATTTCGGCGGCGCGATTCCCTCCACCGAGATTCAACCTATCGCCATTGTTGACGTTGTCTCCAGGTCCATACCTACAGCGACAAGTGGAGTCTTGAATTTTGAGATCCCTAGAATTTGACCAAATACACGACTCATAAAGAGGCGTACCTCATACGTGCATTCATATTTCAGCTTGTCAATTACCTAACCTGGACTGAATACACGTGCTCGCCTATCAGCTGACGATTGCTGGAACTTCCCTTCACTTCATAAATTGCGCTGGATTTTCGCATCTGGCTTTACTATAATTTACTATAGCCATCCTATCCTCACTGACAGTGACAATGGCGGCTGCTCCCAACCCCGGTCAAACACTCCCTAGAATGCCAGTGGTCGTGCCTGCAATGGTCCCTCCCTCGAATGGCGCTGAAGCCTCTACAGGGGCGGCTAGTAACACTGACCCCAGTCCTGATGCCTGGGACTCTGAAACGCAACTCGTTTCCTCGCTCGCGAAGCTTCAGAAGATGGAAGCAATGGTGAGTATTACTCCTTCCAGTCAAGCTCGACAGCAATTAACATTTCTGACAGATCCATCAACTACGGACTCTACTTCCCGAGCGCCTTCTGGAGCCCCTGGCACCCATTGTCAACCCCAAGGCCGCTGCGGGAAGATCCGTTCCCAAGTCCCCGCAGATGCTGTACGAGCAGCTCGCTCAAGCTGCGCGCGCGGGTGTCTCCGAGCTGCAGGAGTTTCAGTCGATGTGGAGAAGTCCCGAGATGAAAGCAGTCTGGGATCGCGTCGACGCGCAAATCAAAGAAAACGACGGCGTGATGCTGCAGCCCACGGGGAAGTGGGAACGAGATTACGATACCATTCTCGCGGATCTCCGTGAGGAGGAGCAGACGCAGAATGAGCAGCAGCAGAAAGCTAATGAGGAGATGGAGCGATCCAAGATCCAGGCTACTGAGGGTGGGTGGAGAGCGATTGTTGACGGCTTTGCTCAGAAGAATGTGCCTGGTGTGCGGGTCTTGGCTAGTCAGAGTGAAGCGGCTGTTACTGTTGTGCTTGTCAAGGCTGGGATAGTGTTCAGGGTCGAGGCTATTGCTGGTCAGGATGGGAATGGGGTTCCTGATTGGCGGGTCTTTACTAGGACGCCGGGGGGTCAGACGCCTTCGAAGGTCGAGACCGCTGTGGCGCAGTGCTTGAATGCGAGGCCGCGACAGTGGGATTTGCTTTATTTGCTTGTAAGACTGGCTCTACTTTCTACGTTACTCGATATGGTTTATGTGGACAAAAAACTGACTTTTCATGTTAGGACATGATATCGTCCTACTCGACTATCAAACAGACACCCTGCGCAAAATGCGCCAAGATGACCGACAGCACTGCAACCCTTCCCACCATTCGGAAGCCATCTTCTACTCCCCAAGAACAGGGAAATCAAAACTGGGAAGCCTATCATCAAGGATGTGCCGAGTGAAAGGGTAACAAAGGAAACATCACAGGAAATATAATTATCGATGGAATGTTCCATTCCGACAATTGCAAAACGCCTCAGCATCTCAAATATATATCAGTCGATCCGAGACTCGTCACCCGCATCGGTGGCATATCGCGGGTGTCACCAGTGCATGTTCTTCGGAACATTCAAGACAGAAAAACAAAGGTGCATTGGCATCACATCTACTCCTCCACATCCAACCGTGCCGGGAAAAAACTGGCCACTTTCCCCTCAACAAGTGGCTCGAGAACCCTGTGGCCGGGACGACGACGA